TTTAGAAATTTTTGTAAAGATTTGCAAAATTTAAAACGTTCTAAGACTTAAAATAAAAAAAATATTTTTGACGAAAAAGTTAAATTTTGAAAAGCGAAATTTCAAGGTAAAAAATTGTAAAAAAAAGTCATAAAATTACAAATTAGAAAATAAAATTACAAAATAAATAATTACAAAATTATAAATTACAAAATTATAAAAATATAGCTCACAAAAAAACAAACACAATAGAAAATGAACAAAAATCGTGGCTATGCACACCAACGATCAAGTCGAAAAATAGTGCGGCCAATTGCAAGCACAATATATACAGTGGTGCCAAATGCTGGTGCGTCGGTGGCGAGGTAATTGCCACCGAGAATAGAGGGCTCGCTTCCAGTTTGTCGATGCACCGATCTTCGTTGGGCTGCAATGTTGCTTAAAGGAAAAGAGAAGAAGTGGAATAGCTCAGTGGTTGCTACTCAGTTTCGAGCAGCGATGATAGGGCTCCATTCGCGGAAGGTATATAGGGCTACGCTCAATTCAAATATATTTATTAGATAATTTTCGATTCACAAAGGTTCCTTTTTTCCGGCTTACTGGCAGCGGTTGATATATGATCCACTGAATCTTAGAGAGTCCAGCATTTTAAATTTTTTGAGAACCGTAAAATTAAAGGATAATCCGTATAATTAAAGGATGACAATAATTAGTTCCTCTTTCAGCTCTCGGTATTTCTCTCATATCTTTCTTTCGTTGCATGGTATTGCTTATCAATCGCCAGTGCTAATTTTTGATTCTTGTTTAGTGCTACGAAATCTGGTTGGCTCTGTTTGGCAGTACTTATTTGTATGTTTGAATCGGGAATTACATGTTTATATATAGATAATATATTGAAATCTACTCTCGCCCCATCCATCTAACACCAATTATAATACAGAAAAAGAGTTTAGTTCCTTGATAAAACGAGTAGCGCACGTAAATTTGACGATATGGAACAGAATCAGTTGGCTATGGACTATGTTGAATGCCTCGATATGCCTCACTACAATAGCGCCAATTGACAAAAGTTATACCAAATACGATACAAATCGAACTTTTCGTACCACGAAATCTTTATTCTGAATCTTAAATGAAAATATATTTGAATTAATTTCATGAAAATTAAAGAATTGAATTTAAACAGTAGTCGAGGAAATAATCGTTTTAAGATGTATAGCAAACTTAAATAATTCCCACCCACCGATCCTTTTGATTTTCAGTTATTACGAGAATATTATGAGAAATTTTTAAGAAAGGCTAGTAGGCTAGGATAGTATTAAAAAATTTCGTGAGTTTTGCTTTTAGGGTTTTTTGTTGTTAAAAGGAATACGACTTCGTATTTCGGATTACAACAGTCTTAATTGCTTATTCGCACGAAATGACATGATTTCAGGAAAAGAGACAATTTTTAAAGAACACTCAAAGTAGAACACTTCATTTGAATAAATATAGCATAAATAATCTAGAATAAATATAAGACAGTTATTTAATAGCTATTTAATGATATTTCAAAAGTTTCGCTGTTTTTCGCTCTTTTGTCGATTTTTTCGCTATTTTATCGTCTCTGCCATCCTTTAAAATATCTTCTACTTTTCGTTCTTACTGCATTCATGTCTTCAAAATTGTTTTAAATATTTTATAAATATTTTAATAATTATTTTAAATTTATTTTATATAAAACTATTTTATTTAAAATAAATTTTAAATAAATAAAAATAATTTAAAAAAGTACTGATTTACCATAGTATTGATTTAATATAACCTTCGTATAGTTACTTGTATTTATTTATCTCGAATTTTTATTTCATTTTTTCTAAGAATATCACAAAGGGAGAAATAAATTTTGCCTAAACTGGATGGTACCTCACCTACTTAAAAAATGCAAATTATTTTTCAAAACATACGAATTCACAAGAATTATAAAATCAAGGAAAAAATTAAGTTGAAAAGTTCTTTTCAAAAAAAGATTTTGGAATTAAAAAAATTTCTTAGAAAATTTATTTTTTTTTAATTATGAAATCGTTAAATTTTTTTTCAAAGAGCCTTCGCCATTTCTGGTTACTTTCATTCATTTGGTTTAATATTTGGCTATATTTTTGAATATTTTTTCTTCTATATATTTTTATCATTATTAATTAAACAATACGAGTGATATACTTCCAAACCTGTAGACCGAAAGTAAGAGAAGTCACTCCTTCTTCCACACATGCCTGCATATCACCTCTGATCGCTTCTGCGGCCAAAATATTCTAAAAATTCTTCATTTTAAATGTATAAATGTAGGGTTTTCAGAGCTGCCAGTGATGCTTAGGTCACTGATATATTTCAGCTTTGAGCTAAAGCACGGTCTGGTCCGAAAACTTGTCAATTTTAGCACCTCAGAAGGAATGGCTATGTAATATGGAATTGTTTCAGCGATAACAGAATAAAGCCAATCTGGTTGGGCTCCTGGTTATCTGGAGTGATAATGTAATTTTTGCATTGTTCTATTGATAAAAAGCCAGGTTTCCAACTTAATCAGTTAACAGTTAACGTGTTTGATAGAATTTTTGACATCCATAGGATCATCTAATCAATTTAAAACCAAATCAGTTCATACTTACTGAGTACATAAATAATCCATCATCAAATTTCCACTAAATATTCGCATCAATGGCTGAAAAACTAAAAACAGTTTGCGGGGCTTTACTTTATAAAATCTTTTTTTTTCAAGTTATTTATGATGATGATCTATGTTTATACATTTAATCTAATGAAATATTTCCTTTTGCGGATATCTCATTAGATTAAATAATATAATAATCTAATCTGTAATAATCTAAATTTTATCATTTATTATCAGTTTATTGGGTTTTGCACTATAAAATATTCTTTTTTTTCAAGTTATTTATGATAAAAAGCATTTTGGAAATAAATAGAAATAAATAAATAGGATAAATGGAACAGAAAATGTAAAATAACCAGTGATGACAAGTTTTTCTTACTACTTTTTTTATTAATTTATTTTATTAATTTAATAATTTACAACGCGAATAAATTTTTTGTGAAAATTTTTCCAATATTTTTTTCTTGAATTTTCTCAATTTTCTTGAAATTTCCCTTCAGCTGAGTGATATTTTAATTTAATTAAAAGTCAAAAGACCATAAAAGATTCGATTCCTTTTCCATAGTGAAAAACTTATCATTCTTATCATTGAAGGTGAAATCAGAACACTTGTCTGCCTTTTTACACCCTCTCCCGGTGAATTTGGTCCATTTCAATTGTGAGTGAAGCTAAGCAAATATGATAAATGATGCGAGTAAAGTTGAACAGTTTTTTTATGCTTTAATATTAGTTTCAGCTTACAAATAAATTTTTTTTTATAATAACAAATAATTTGGAGATTTGAAAATTATCAATATTGTGACTCTTTTCTCTTCTTCTCAAAACAAAAACAAGAGGATTTTCGAACATCCAAGTTAGCTTTTTATAATGCCTGCAAGGTATGATTCCAAGCGTGCAAATGTCCGCTAATAAATTAAAAATTTGGCAAGCAAATGTTCTTTTTCCTCTAAAAAACCCCACTAGGATCCCTCTGCAAGTCTCTTTGAGCCAAGTCCATTTAATCTTAAGTCCGTTAGTTGAAAGGACATAAGAAATAAATCAGATATACTATAATTGGAAACCTTTGCTTTCCTTGGCTGGCAAATATGAGTTTTATTTTTCTCCTTACTATTTAAAGAAATTGGTTCCTTCCTATTTCATTTTTTATTCTATTTTTACAATATATTTCCATTCATAAGAAACCTGTTTATCTATTGGTTCTTCTATAACTGATTTAGCAGTTTTTATTCATAATATAATAATATAATATTCACAGAATAAAACCCATATAAATTACATGCAACTCATTTTCTTATAAGAAATCATGAAAAATTTGTTATTCAAACAAATATATTTACCCTATGTTCATTCGACAATTGAGGCAAACTCTGCAAAAATAGGAAAGGCGATCTGAAATCTCAACCGATGGACCTTTGAGAGACTTCAGCAAATCAAGATTTCTGTCAGAGGCGTTTCAATGCATAACTGTAATTATCAGTTCGACAATGTCCGATATAATTTATGACACTCTGGATTATCATTAGAAAGTAGCATAAAAAGTTGTTTAACCAATGGTTCTCATGCAAAATCCTTTGTAATTCTTTTTTTTCGAGAATTTTTTTCGAGATAATTTTTAACTTCATTCCCGTTGCGTTTTAAATGACTCAAAAATTCCAAGAGAATTATTTTATTTTCATTTATTTTTATTTCTTCTTTAATGAAAATTTGAATTTTCATTGCCTCTTTAAACAAAAAAAAAATAAACATTTTCAGCACAAACATTTTCATTTTTAGGATGAAAGAAGCGTAAATTCCATTAATTTATTAATTAATAATTAATTAATTGAAAAAAACTGTAAACATTTCACATTTCACACGTTTCCTTGCTCTTCAAACATTCCAGCTGGTATCATCTGAAAAATTTCTTGTGGAAAGAATATACGATCTTATATAAAGGGAAGATGAATAAGGGGATAATTCTATTAGTATAATGATTCTTGGCATAAGAATGATGCACCCAGAGGGGTCTGTCCATGTAGGTGCTCCAAAGTATGCATGGTACTTGGAAACCAGAATTTCTCCTGGCACTAAACGGTTCTGCATAATCCTCGTGGGAGGATCACTGAGCACAATTCACCTATAATCTATCTTAAACGAATCGCAAATTAGAAGAAAATTAAAAGAAAAAAGATATCTTTCAATGGAAAGGCAGAGCTGAACACTATGTCGAGCTCATAATGAACGACCTAGATTTGTTTAACTGGATTTAGCCTGGTATTACGCTGTGGGCGACGGTAAAAAACACTTTTTTCTCCCATTTTCTCTTATAGTTCTCTTCTAAGCAGTTTTTGGTAAATATTTTTTGGCAAGAAAATCTAAAAATTTTTACCTCTTATTATTTCTTCGTATTGAACTTACAGACGAGATAGAGTGTAACTGGTCCTTTGATGTTGGAACACACACCTATGCCACAACCGACACGGTTTTTTTCTTGAACAATTTTCTTTATCTTAAGATTTACCGAATGAAATAAAAAATAAATGATTATTGATAAAATAAAACTGTTCTTTCTCATTGATAAAAGTTTTTCCCTGTTTTTTTTTTTGTTTCCCGAAAAGTTTGATAATTTAAATATGAAACCTCTGCGAGATCTTTCGTGCTTTTATGCAATATTGAGTCGCTATACAAATTTTTTACCATTTTGTGCATTCCTTCTTCTAAAAACCGAATTAAATGAATGATATTTTCATTTGATATCAGTTGATCAGATATTTTTCCCATTTTTCCCGTTCTCTTTTAGTACGAAAAAGATGATCACAATAAGATTGCTCAGCAGTTAATTCAAAGAATTACGTTTTCTTTACCAAGTGGAACTCAGCATATGTGGCCGATAGCCAAAGGCCGGTCGGCGATTTCCTTTACATGTAAGTCATATCCACAAAATTGTGGAAATAATTTTTGGATGCTTCCAAATAGTTTAATGGAGTGAAAAAATATAAAGATTACCAACTGCCTTATCGTAGAACGCCCTAGTTGTGGCGTATATATTTATATAACCCTGAACGAAGAGGATTGTGGCAAGGCCTTTGCTAGTTTCATTGATCTCAATACTACGATGTGATTGTAAATATGTTTTTGCATCGCAATCATTTTTATCAGCTCTTTTTTCTGCTTCTTCCTGAGCCATTTTTTCCAACTTGCAGCCCCATATCTTCAAATTCAACTGATGTTAAAACAATTTTTTTTTAGAATATTTTAGAATATTGAAATTTCTTGGTACCATTCAAAGGAACCAGTATAAATGGCCAAATACCATTTAATAATAGAAGCTAATGAGGAAGTTCGGATGTGAACTTAATGGAGGCTGAGATTTCTCTTAAGAGGAATGATTGATTAATAGGATTGAGAGGATGATAGGATAATAATATTAAAGAAGATCAAGAAGGAGAATTCTTCAGCGATAATCTCCTCGCTGACTTTTGATTCAAATTTCTATAGATTTCTACTAGCCAAAACTACATAACAGAGGGGAGTGCAATCGGTTTCAGTGGACATTATTAAAATTGCGTGAATAAATTCCAATATCGTTATAGCAGTTCGTATATTTCTGGCTGAGCTCTATTATTTATCCTTTAGTATTGTGGGACCATAGAGCCATTTAAGGATAAATACGTAGATAAGTCCTCGTCAACATGCAAATTTTTAACAACAGATTCGCTGTGGCAGAAACCGAACCAGTATGCTTGACATAAAGAAGAATCTTCTGGCAATGGCATTTTTGCAACGAAAAAGCGAAAATAAAAAAGATAAAAGAATAAACCAAATTTTTTCCATAGGCTTGTATTTCATTAAAAATCTGTTGACGACCATTTTTGCTTATCGAACCATTACAAGAATTGCCTGATAAGAATGATTATTGGAAAAACAGTTACGAACCGTAGCTAAAGAATTTCTTAAAGAAAAATTTAAGACAATGAGAAGTGAACGAAGAATTACTTGGTTTATTCCCGCTTGGGCGAGGAAAGCCTTCAAGCACATCTGAATTTATCACAAATTAAAATTAGCTTTTAAATTTTTTTTATTCTTAGAGAAAATTTGTGAAAAATAAATATGAAAAAAGATTTCTGAAAGAAAGATTTAAATCAAATGAAGAAAAATTTTAGTAAAAACTCGCCGATTTTCCATAAAATGAACAACAAAGCCAAATAAAATTGCATTATTGCTGGTGATAGTAATGGAGTAAATAATTTTTTCGAAAATATTTTTCGCTTATAAATGATTTTGAATGAATTTCAAATTCTATAGCTAAGCAAAAAGATTATTGTTTCAGCTGTTTTTTTCGACGATAAAAAAATATGAATTTTTATAAATATTAAATATTTATTATTTTTTTAATACTAATTTTTCGTGATTCTTTTAAATATTTTTCATAAAAGGAATAAGATAAATTCATAAATTTTTTTTCATAAAATTTTTTTTAAATTTTTTCATAAACATAAATTTCCCGCATAAATTCATATTATTCGCAAATAATATTAGCAGAGAATCCATTAAGGACTCCTATGGATCTTCGATTTCTTCCCTTAGGGCATAGGCTAATGGTTGTAAATATTTCTAAAAGCATTTATGGCAAAGCATTCATCTCATTAGTTTTATTTTAAAAAAAAATAATATTTGATGATTTATTTTTGGTAAATAAAGCAACAGATTTCCAATTTCACTCGAATAAATAGCAGCAGATCTGTGGAACCGGCAATTCCTCCATGAATTTTTTCTCCGCAAATTTCCTCTCAATAAATTTTGAGATGTTGCGAGAATTTTCTCGCCTCGTTGTATAGCACCTCATTGATAGTATTAACTTAAGCGTGCATCTATTGTTTTTTGACAAAAACTTTACAATTCTTTGAACTCCATTTGTTTGCTACACCATTAATATATCAATTTAAAATATTTTCTGCCATCTAAGTGAATTTTTTGTAAAATTTCGCTATTAGCTGTCCAATATTGTTGGTCCATAAAGTGAACTCGAGACTTGTTAAAAGTCCTGAGGAAAGTGTATTGCACCGCGAAATTTAGAGAAACTTGTTTAACACCACTCTTTTCATTGTATTCTTTCAACATTTCATTAGTGAAGAATGGCGATTTCTTATTTAAAGTAATTTGAACGAATGGAAAAGTTCCAAATGCATTACTGTTTTTTGGCTCCTTGGATTATTTGTTTTTTAAAATTATTTTCGAATTATAAATTTGTTTATAAAGAATTTTGAGAAATTTCCTAAAAAACATATTATTTTGCAAAAAATTTATTTAATCCTATTTTTTTCTAATACTAAATTCTATTTTGTTAAGCCATCATTTCTTTTCAGACTTGCTGCATCCGCTGATCCGCTTAAAGCGACAAGAGAAATCCGCCAGAAGGCCGCTGATCCGCATCATCGCCGGATTTTGCATAATCATTCAATAATAATCTATATATGATCATCGGTCGAATACCACGATGTTCAAAACGATAATCAAAAGAATACACCATTCACTCACCGTATTTCGAGCTGTGTTACTATATTAATGTGCAAGTGTGCATGGAATAAATGGAATGCATGCAAGCAACAAATTGCGCAAATATGACAAAATAAATATTGTATTGTTGTAAAAGTAAAATAGTAAAATAAATATTGTAGTATTATAGTTTTTGAATTATCTTTTCTATTCAAAATTTTCTGTCCATTTTGTTTCATTTTTTCAATAAAGATTTCGAAATTTTTAATTGTCTCTTTTCGTGATAATTTTTTAAGTTTATCTAATTTTACCCACAATTATTACCAGTTCGGTACCAAACGGTTCTAACTGCCATTCTTCAAAGGCACTCCTGATAAAGAATTATTTTGATATTCAGCATAACAGTAACTCGAGTTGAAAAAGTCTGTGTGCCTAAGATATATATATTATTTTTTATTATTTCAGCTATTCATATTCAATTTTGATTTTTTCTATTTTTGTTTCTATTATTTATAAATTATTATATTATAAATTATTTTCCTATATAAAACTTTTGAATTCCTAAAAACATTGAGAGTTTGTCTTTCACAAGGCTTCTCACCATTACTATTAAGACATTTCACGTTATCAAAGCATTAGCACTCTTCCACTGTTGTGGTGTATCCTCACCTTCATCTTAAATTCCATTGGTTCTCTCTCAGTTAAACTCCAATTTTCACTTTTTTGATAGAAATTTAAAGTTCCTTTCTCAGATTCTATGTACTTTCATTTTGCTCTTTTGCTCACTTATTATTATTAAATATTATTAAATAAAACATTTGAAATGTTGAACAAAAACGTATAAATTTATTTACATATCATTGAAATACACAGTTTTTGTGGCAATTTCATAAATCAAAAAAAGTTTTATCAGCTTTATCAGATGGCAATTTGTAATGAATTTTTTTGTATGTAAAGCAAATATTATGAAAAAAATAGGAGTGACACAAATGAGTTAAATTAAATAAAACAGCAAAATAATTAATTATATTTGTCTATTTCTCATTTTAATATTGAAATGATAAGATTGTTTTAAAAAATCTGCCTATTCAAATTTGACTTAAGAAATGAATGGTTTGCACCAATTGAAGGTCCACTGGAAGTCTACTGAGCGGTGTTGGTCGTGCGATAATTGTTGGCCAAATAATTACTATACTTTTTTAAAAAATTTCTCATAAATCTTGAAGTTACTATTGAAAAATAATAGGGATTCATATGCACCAAACATCTTTTAAGTATCAATTACTTATACATCAATACAAAAGGCCTTAAGCTTTCTTACTTATAATAATTCATAAAGACGTAACTGTGATTAATTTATCAAATCTTCACAAAATCGCTGATAAGAATCAATTATTCAGCCTATGGAGATTGCCAATGATGCCCATTTCATTAATAGTTGCTAGCAGCCTCTTATGTGGGGCAAAAACTTTAGCAAAATCTGCGTAAATCGCCTATAACTGCTTATCCACGATATAAATTCGGTCCGATCATGAAGGCTTATCAGTAATTAGTAACGAGGGAACAGTAGATTTGCCGGTACAAAATTTATGCTGCGAAGTTAAGATTATTAATTTTCTAGTATACTATTATCCTTTCGTTTTCTCAAGTATTTTGCCAAGTATAAACTCACATATGTGTGGCTAATCAGCAGCTAAAAAATATCTATCACCCTTTTCAGAAACAGCTATATTATGGATTCCCAAATTTTAGGATCAACATTTCTGAAATGTCCTTAAATTAAGAATAAAAGATGAGCTAAAGAAGCTAAAGCTTAAGATTTTTTGAGAGTTTTAAAAACGACTAATAAATTTATCTTGATATAAGCACAGATATTGAATTGGAACATAAGGACTGCCATATATTGCTATGCTGAAACTACTCTGCAATGGAACTTAAAAAATAGCTTCATTTAAACAAAAAGTAAAACGGACTGGCATTCAGCGTTGTGGCTCAGTACATTTTTTAGCCACAAATCTTCGGCTAACTTTACCTTAAATAATCTTTTTCTTTATTTTAATTATTTTAGCTTTATATGTTAACAATCCAGAGAATTCGATTATTATAAATAAAACTTTTTTTGAATTTTTAGAATAAAAATATAAATTTGCCAAATAGTATACATATTTTGCCACTAAAAAATCACTTATTTTTAGAATATTTTCGAAATTTATCTTTTTTAAATTCATAGAAATTCAACTGTTAAGCTTATTTTGCATAGCCATTGTAATCATCGTTGATCGCTTAAATTCCAGAAAAATTGACTGAAAAAAGCTTCCACGATGGTTAACAACGATATTTTCTTGCATTATTGTCCTCTCTTTTACCATTTTCCTTTTTTTCCTTATCGATATCTTCGTTTTTCTTCTCTTTTACAAAAATAAAAAAGCAAAATAAAAAATAAATAAAAAATTTCTAGTTGATGCATAACTGGCGCTAGTCACATTCACATACAATTTCTTGCCAAACAATAAGTATTATTATGGTTTTCGAAGTCCCGCAGAGGACTTTCAATTCATTTTTCTCGGATTTGAATCCTTCCTTTGGCTCTCCAAGGTTGTTCCCATCTCCATTTTTCGTTTGCTTCTTCCCGATCGTTTTCTGGAAAAAATTGAAAGAAATTTCCATGTGATATTAATATTTATATAAATTCCCTAGTAGAATGACTCCGTGGTTTGTCACTTTTATAATTTCAAAGCGTTGGGGTTCTATTCCTAGTAGAAGTTGTCTTTCAAGAACCCAGGCTAATCCACTAATGCTCCACCAGCATTTTTCTCTCCAAATGATCCTCTGACGAAATTCGCTTCGTCCAAAAAGTCAGCGAAGCGAGTCTAATTAGAAATGCGAAAATCTAATAGAAAAAAAGATCCACAAACAATTATTCTCCACTTAAAGTTCCACTTTTTGTAATGGCAAAAGGACTGCCACTTTTCCTTCCCATATTAACGCCGACTTCCCATCTCAACTATTATTATTTTATTGCTTCGTGCTGCTTCTTCCTGTTTAGCGTCTGCCTTCCTGAATATTCCGCATAGCATCGCAAAAATCACCATACTTCTCCTTAATAAAAATTTTAAGATAATTTTTATTCGATAAATTTAAATTTTGATTAGGTCTTGAAGCGATTGTTTATAGTCGGTAAATTTTTGTATTCATTTTTTATATTTTATATATTTTATCGTTATTTTCAGTCTTATGACGTGGAATGAGTCTTGCGCAAGATCGTGATAAGGAGAATCTTCAAATTTCCGAGGAAACATTCGAAAGTGAGATTTCGTTATTACAATTATTTTTATTATTACTATTATTATTATTTATTATTGTTTTCATTAAATTTAAATAAAATTAATTAAATAATTAAATAAATTAAATTAGATAATACTCGTTCTAATTTCATTTATAATCGTATAAGCAATATGGTTTTCACCGATACTAAAAACTTATTTCGATCTTCTTTGTAGTCATATAGTGCCGTAATTAACAGTGTTTCGAAAATCATTGCTTCTCTTTTGAAAGTGGAAGGTGATAATTTTATGGATAAGTTCGAGCGAAAAGATTAAAAGATCAAAAACTTCTTCAAACTGTCTCCATTGCTCGTTAAGCCATAAATTCTGTGGAGTGGCGAAATTTTTTCGAAATCCAATCATTACTTATATATCTCTTCGAATTTTACATTACTTTTACATTACTTTCGCATTATTTGATACATTATTTTTATTAATATTCAACATTTTCCATTGCGCTTTTCGCAGCACTCCTTCGTTAACCATTAATATTTGCAACAGCAATGGTTTATCAATTAAACGAGCTTTTATTGGTCAGTAAGCAATCGAAATGATTTAGAAATGTATTATATTATAAATGAAAGCCCAAGAAATTGCAAAAGAAATTTTGCGATATATCATGAAAAATAAAAATTAATTTCATTATTTTAATCAAATTAATAATTTAATTAATTAATTAAAATTAATTTTATTATTTTTATCAAATTCTACTTAATTATATGAAATAGAAAATTGAAAAGAAATATATTGTTAGCTTTTTTTTAAAGTAGATTTTAAAGAATTTTTGGAAATGATTTGTTTTTTCGATAAATATAAATTATATTTAGTGGGACTATTTTCAGTTATAAGGCATATTGCTGAATTATTTCGTGTTGATCTAACGACATCTCAGCTCGCAATTTGCGTAGAAATTCTTCATCGTGGTGTCTCACATCAAGCCCTTCAAGAAGCCATTTCACTTTTCTCCAAACCAGTTAATATTTTTCATCTTCTTAAACTTTGGTTAAAATTTTAATTTTTTGCCTTTTAGAGAAAATGAAAGGTTAATGATAGTTTTTTGTTTAAATTTTTTTAAGAAATGCCACGAAAAATAAAAAAGCACAGTGGTGAATTGGAGAAGGAAGAGGAAAAACTTCGATCAGCAATTGATGATATTCACAGAAGAGTATAATTTTTCTAAATCATGTATATAAAATATTTCGAAGAGGCGTAATTTTTTATTTTAATTTTTTAGGAATATATTCATTTTCTTTATTTTTTAAATATTTTTTCTTTGAAATTATGAAAAATACTTTTTGTTTTTTTTTAAGATTAAACAAGTTCCTGAAATGAAAGACAAGGTTAATGAATCACTTTCTGCAATTCAAGGGCTTATTGACAAAAATAAATTGAGTATTGGCTCAAAAATTAGTGGGCCACTTCGAAGCAAAGTTATCAATATCTATACAAATGGTTGGCAGTAACCTTATTTCTTTATTCCTTTGTAAGCCGGAGAAATTTGGATTAATCAGAGAAAATTATGAAAAATTTATTCTGAGTTTTCTCATGGATTCTTTCTGATAAAAATCCTTGCTCTGTGACTTTGCAACTTATTATAGCAAAAGAAGCATGTGCTGCTGAAGAGAATTTTTTACGCGCATTGCTCACCGATATTGACAACGTTCGTAAAGTGCAATATGAAATAAGGAGAAGTACACAAGTTGGACGTGGCGAACTCATGCAACTCATTGCACATCACGCCCGAACTGCACCATTGTGGATTGGACCTATTGACACTCACCCACCACCATTAGTTGGGGGAATATCAGCTCCTGAAACAATGGATTTGAAGGTTCCTAGTTGGTTGTTATATTTTTGAGATCATTTAGTCATTTTTCAAAATTTGATAGGGCTTCGAGTATATTGAATTTCTTATTTTAATATTGTTTTGGCATTAATTTTATTTTTTTCAGGTTGGTAGTGAAGTCGCTGCTTTCATCGACGGCATTTGGATATTAGCTGAAGTTGTTACAATTCTACCAAATGGAAAATATGAAGTAAAAGATGTTGATGATGAATTAACCAAAAAACATTTAATTAAAAGAAAAAAATTAATTCCTCTACCACATTGGCGAGCTGATCCATTGCGTGATAGTCATGCGCTATTCCCTTTAAATGCGATCGTTCTTGCTCTGTACCCGCAGACAACATGTTTCTACAAGGTTTTAATTTTTAATTTTTTTTCCACTCCTTTGAAATTTTTTCAAATATTAGTCCTTTAGAAATGCGTTCTGCAATGTAAACTGAATTATTTTGTCTAAAATGATTTTTAATTTCATATACTGATTCACTTGAAGGGTGTTGTGGAGCATGTGCCTGAAGTGTCATCCGATGATTATTTGGTAGCATTTGAAGATGCTTCTTTTTCTCAAGGATATTCACCTCCGTTACCAGTTCCTCAACGTTATGTTATTAATCATGTTTTACCTAAACAGTATTCAAAAACTAAAAGGCGTCAGTAATCAATCAGTACAATTTTTCGAGTTTTGTTATTGATTTTTTTATTTCAAGCAATAAGATTTCATTATCAGTTATTGTTTCTATCTCTTTTAGTTTTCAAATTCATTTTTATCGGGTTTAACTTTTTCTTTCATTTTCAAATTCCATTCTCTTTTTTTGCATTTCTTTTTTGCTTATATTCATTGTGAAAATATTTGTGTTCATGACATCAGGCAGAAGCTTATCCGCCTAGTCTCGAAAACAATTGTAATTTAAATAAATGATTGATAGTAGCAATAAATAACAGCGACGAAGAAATGTTGTATTGCAGTTTTTAGTCCATTCGATTTTCATTGTTCTTTACTATATAAATAAAATTTTTATTTCGTTTAGAAGTATGAGAATCATTATTGAAAAAAAACTTTAAAAATATCTCCATATATTTTATATACTTGAATGAGTGTACTTTTTTAATTGCTCCATGATCGTTCATCGATATTTTATAGTTTTTGGTTTTATTTGATGAAATTGGGGAAAAATTCGTTCAATTCTGTGTGAATTAAATTAAGAGTTCAAAGGTAAATATATAAATTTCTTTTATATATTTTTCCATCCTTATTTTCAGTGTTTTATTTCTGTCTGATTCCATCGCCATAATTTAACTTGCAATACTTTTTTTTCCATATGTTAATTTTTTTTATAGATTTTTCGGTATAATTTTTTTTATTTCTAAATTTCATATTTGCTAAGTTCTTTTTTTAAATTCTAAATGCATAACATAAATTTTAAATGTATAAAGCTTATACTATATATTTAAAGTTGTATTATTGTAAATAATAATTATTAATAATAATTATTAATAGTAATAATAGTAATTAATAGTAATAATAATTAAAATAATAATTATTTTAAAATACAAATAGAAAGCAAATTCAATATCTATTTAAAAATCTGTCATAGTTGTCATTTATTTAATATTTTTCAAATACTGTTTAAATTACTGGTTACGAATATTTAATAATTGTTCATTAAGGTTTGTTTCTATCTTGTAAAGAAGGATGACAACAGCGGTTTGTCCTATTTGCTGTTGTGCCGATTTCGATATAATTGATGGCTTCTATTACTGCAGTTTGTGTGGTGCACAGTCACAAGTTAGTTTCTGTTTCGATGCGTATTTTTTATATTTTTTTTGCCTTATTTTTCTTAACAAATTTTCAAACTTTCGAAAGTTAAGAGCAAAAAAATTCTTTTTCAAATCGATTCTTTTTTGTAATCGATTCTTAAGATAAATATTATAAATATTATATCAAGCAGATAATATTCTCTCTCGAATGAAATTGAATGAAAATATGTGAAATCCGAAACTAATATATACTACCGAAAGCATTTTAAGTTTTTTGCTTTTTTACATTTGTTTTACGAATAAACAAAGCGACAGATAAAGGCGTGCTAATAACAATAAATGAAATGAAAATTTCAAATAAATGAAGTCCATGAAAAATGCAAAATAAAAAAATAATGGGAAACTGACAATACCTTGATCCTAGTATTTTTCGTGATATCCTATAAATTCAATTTGGCAAATATTAAATATTGAAATTCGAATTTAGGTCATAATATTGTTATATAGCAAAGTTATAATAATTTGACATCCAAAATCTAATAAGTAATCAGAAATCAAATCTTATTTTATACATCAAACATATAATTTAGGCAGAAATTGATGTTTATGTAGAATATTTCTTTAAATCTTCGGCTAACGGATTTACTATACTCAAGTGAAGAATACACTGTCATGCATTCCAAGCTTAATTTAATGTTGCTGTGATGTATTTCAGGCTTAATGTTTTCAATATTTTAATGAGAAAATCATCCATCTGCCTGACACATTTCGCAATTTTAAGCAGATCAAGCAGTTAAAGAATTTAGAAATTTTTACAGCACATCCACTAATTAGCGAAAATCAGAAAATTTTTTATGTTAAAATCAAGTTAAAATCATTAAGAAGCATAATTGTGAAAAACTGCATTGCATACAGTCTTATCTCTATAGAAAAGTGGTTGGTCTTTCTTGAAGTGGCTTAACTATATGGCAAGGATATAATCTAATGCTATGCTCGCTTCGATTCGCATTGCATCATAGATTCATTTGCCTGTTGTGACAGGAATAAACCTGTCATGGAAAATTTTGTGAATCTAAGTCATTTCTACTTGTACTTTTATTTCCGAAGATTTCTAGTTGTCCTTTTTAATAGTATCATAACTGATTTGGTTCGCTGTAGTGTTGACTAGGTGCTATACAACAGAGGTAGTTTAATCAGAAGTGGTGAACTGATAACTGCTTAATCTGTTCACTTAATTATATATTATTCATCTATAGCATTTCTGAAAAGATTTAAATTTTGTAAGAATATTTCTTGTGAGAAAATTGTGTATGTACTATATACTTGAACTGGAAATAACTTCAACAGCATCGTTGGCTGCAAGCAAAAAACTTATGCAGCGACTGAAAATTGGTTAGCGATGGTAAGCATCCCTCACCCCTCGAATTTTTCTACGATTAATTAAAATTAATTTTTCAATTTAGTCCTGTGGAAATTAAGAGTCCAGCTATTGTCCAATCAGTAGAACATTATTAATACGTATGATCTGCTAATAGCAGATTAAATACTCAATTAATACCCAATTACTCAACAAATTCATCAACATTCTACTTTTTTAATTTGTTTCAAGGGATAAATCTGAGTGAGCCGCAGTGTCATATAACCACAATTAGAATAAAAATAGTGTTGACGAAGTTAGGAAATTATAATTCCTTTCTAGAGAAATTTTATTCCAGAAAACCTTATTTAGATTCGTATATTATTTTTTCAAGTTTCGGAATTCCAGTAAAAAAACCATTAAACTCTAATGTACTGAGAAATCACTGGGAAAATGTTTTTTTATATTTATCATAGGAATATTTCGCTTCTCAAAGGTTTTAAAAATTTGCAAATTTTATAAATTACAGGAATGAAATGCTCAACAAGACTTTGCAAAATATTATTAAAAGACTAGTATTTAATTAGGATTTCATTTAACTAGATATTTATTTAGGAAGAGCTATATTTCAGATCCAACGCGAACTGGAAGATGACAACGGTTTCTATTTTACTGGCTTAACAAAAAAATTGGCGACACAAAGCCAGCATCAAATTGTTGGTGATAAGAGGAAAAAAAAAACACATGAAGTACGATTTATATTCTTTTCCATATATTAAATAAGTATACTTTCTCTATACTGAAGTTATAAACTAAACTTTACTAAAGTTCTCTCTTTTAGATTGCTTTTTGGGAGTTACTCCTTTTTTATAAATTTTAAAATTCTTTTTAAAATGCTATTCATATAATTTTTAAAAGTTCGTAGAGATAATGGTAAATTTTCTCTTTTGCTTAAAAGAATTAAATATTAAAAATTTTTATTTAAGACGATTCATGAAGATGAATTGGGAAACTTAGCAGGGATTAGCGATGAAGATTATCCTCATTTTCTCAATAAAGCTGGTTCGCGTCTTGCTACAGCTTCCAAGTTGTTGTCACGTTTTTCCAATAAACTAATTATGGATTGTGGTGTGCCTAATACAGCAAGAGTAAGTCATTGTTTAAGTTAAGCCATTAAAACAAGGTGAATTCAAATTACATTCTAAAAGGTCCACTTTCAACATGAATGGTCCGGAAATTCTTTTGAAAAATTCGAAAAGTTTATTTTGCTAAAAAGTTATTACCACTGTCGCATTCAGTTTATCGTTATAGGACCATTGTTTACATATATTCCAGTTGTATTTAAAACACTTCAAAGTGGCATTCTGTGAAGATGAATTGGATGTTTCAAATCCTTTTTGTCCGATCGTGATTGAACAAAAGTAGTAAGTAGCGTTCTTATGATTTTCATATGGATTTAATTTATATGAAATTTAATTTGAAATTTGATTTAATTTATATGATTTGTATGAAATTTCAAAGGGAAAATATTTTTCAGTGATATTTGGTCTAATAAAGGAAATTTCTATCGTTCACATCTACATTTTAAATATATTTTTCTCACACGAATTTCAAAATCATATTGCTTCTAATTTTAAAAAACTGTTCATTTTTGAGTTAACAGTGGTTTGTTACAGTGATGAAATAAAGCAAAATAAGAACGAGGAGAGAAAAGCAAAAAAAGAGCATGATATATCAAAGGGGGTCAATGTTCTCGGTCATATATTTGATATGAATGTGGAGGTGAATTTGAAATTTATAAACAATTTTTGCCTTGAAAAATTCATAAGAAAAGGAGAAAATTGTTACAAAAAGAAATTTTTTTCCGTTTTTGATTGAGTTGTCAGGTAATCTTTTTTACATTTTCATTCTATCTATACATTTGAAGTCTAAATAAATAGTCAGAAATTTGAACAGATCGATGAACTATAAGTGTTGAAAAATTCTATAAAAAGGGAGGTGTGATGGCCATAATTTGTATTTGATTTACCATTCGATCTCATAGCTATTTAAAACGTAGTGAAGAGGCACTTGCCACACTTAATCGTGGCCATTGTTAGTGGAGTTTGGAGGAAGATGGTGAAATAGCTTTCAGTTCATTTTTATAGCATTCAATTAAATAAATATTTTACAATCATTTTTCCGTTTTTCTATTTATATTTAAATTTTCAAGGAAGATAGCTTATTCCGTTTTTTTAAAATTACTGTTATTCAGTATAATATTATAATATTATTCAGATTGAGGATGACGCTGAAATTTCTGCATTTACAGAATTGCGGACTAAGCTTTCGAAAGTTGCTGTTAAGCATGTTAGTTAATATTTGCTAAATTAGTAAACTGATTTAATATACATAATAAATGAAAATTTCTCTCAGCTGTTTTGTGGTCAATAAATTAAGCACACTGTTCAAACACCGTTTTTAAAAAAAAGGTTCCTTATTTATAGTAATAAGCAAAGAAATTTTCTGGCTTTTCTTTATTTCTAAATTTTAGCTTTTACTGATACCATTTACCAGTGAAGTGATGATCGTTATCTTGTATTTAGCATGTATTTGTTCAGGTGCTACTTGGATTCTTTTGTCAGATATCACTAGGTTATTTTTAGTATTTTTTATATTAAAGAAAGTCCAAAATTTGTTAAGACGTTATTTATTTTTCATAGACATACTTAACTAATTCTATGTTTCTTTTTATGCGTCTGTTTCTTTTTTTTTGAAGCAACAGTAATTTGTGAAAAAATTTTTAATATCACTTCAGGTGGTTTCGCGAAGGTCGTCTGCGTAGAACTTTGCATCAAAGATGTGCTTTAGCAGTTCCATGTTCCGCTAAGAAGGATGAGAATTGTAATAACAGACAAGTATTCGCTCCTAAAAATTCAGTTAATATTTATGTTTATATATATATATATTTTTTTTCATTCTTCAAAAATAATTTATTTAATCATTTGATGGTATGGAATAGTTTTTGATGGATTGCCAATTTAATAAAGAATAATGTATTTGAATGGTATATTACAGATTTATCCACTTTTTGAGTATATACGTGTTTTAATTGCTTTATCGCAAATTACGGAAATTCCTAAGCAACCAGTCTTACGTAATATCCATCAGGTTTTTGTTTAATATATTTTTATTTTTTTTTGTTATTCACTTTTAATTATACTTTTTAAAAAGAAATGCATTGAGAAATAACGAAAGATAAAAATTGAAAAAATTGAAAAAAACTGAATGTACAAGCATACAGTTGATTTATGATTTTTTCAAAGCATTAATTTAAGGTGTCAAAATTTTTTTCCGATATTTTAGTTCAGTGCAAATGATATTTAAAAAGAAAAAAGTGAAAATATTTCTGAAAATTTCCTTTTTCCTGAAGCAATTTTATATTTAATTGAACTTAAAGATCGTAAGGTAATTACGCTTATTGTTTTTATTATTTTTACAATGCTTTTTATTAAGAAATTAACAAGAAGACGTAGGAGTTATGTTCAGATTTGTATAACCCTTGTTATTTCCTTAAAAATTACATTATTCTATTACATATTTCCTTAATATTTCTTCGAATCCTAATGCACTGATTTTGTCCTCGCCAATTCCTAACCGTTTTCAATAATCTTCGATTCCTTCTACATTTTTCTCAATCATTATGCAATGTGTATTTCGCAATTTTATAATTTATCGCCTTAGCAAATATTTTTTACCATTTTTTACCAGTTTTTTTTATAATTTTTGTTAACTTCAAAGCGCATAGGCCAGATAATTTTAAAATAAATGAATGAATAAAATAATGAATATAAGAGAGTTTAAGTTGTTATTGTTGTCTGATTAAAAAGATGTCGCCGTTTGATAAGTATATTCGGAGGATTTTAGTGTGTGGAAAGTTATAGTAAGTCTGGGAAAGGTTTAGATGGTATAAAAGTTTTATTAACGAGTATTACAAGGGAAATAAATCGTTAAAGGGATGCAGTAGGGATCTGAAGTTGGTCACAGTAGTCGTAATAAATAATCGCTTTTAGGAACTGTGGGAAGATTTGCAACGATATATGTGGTCGAAGGCAATATTATTAGAATAAAAGAGAATTTGAGACAAAGGGGATTTGGAAAAGAAATTACTGGATTTTAGAGAGCATTAAGAGTTTGATCAGAAAAATCAGAAAATATTTTCATTTTTTCCACACACAAAAATCATAGCTTATGGTGACAAATTTTGACTTTAAAGGCAGTTTTTAATTTCATATGATAATTTTTTCAAATTTTTATTCTTAAATCTTTTAAATTTTAATTTTTTAAAATTTTTATAGGACTTTTTTCATAACTGAGGGGACTTTTTTTCATAAATGAGATCATTTTTGCTAAAAAAATTGCTTTTTCACCAAAAAGAATTTTCAGACGAAATTAGTTTTTTATCATTTTTCATAATAATGTTCAACTGAACTTGACTTTTTTTAAATAATAGTAAATATTGATCTGTAAATTTAGGAAGCAAATCTATCAGTAGAAATTCTTCAACATATTCTGATACATTATTGACACTTATAATAATATCATATATTTTTCTGGTTCTTTTTTTGACGATTCTTTCTTATTAAGCTATCCATCAGACTTCTTTTTTAGGTTATAAGTCGGTTCTGTTTCAATCTCAATTTGCCGTATGCGTTTGCTCATCGCGTCCATCGCCTATGTGATACATTAAAACCATCCACCGAAATAAGTGCTGCAATCACGCGTCGTTTCGGTGATTTTGATTCATCCGAAGTGTTAGATAATGCTAATGCGAACTTCAATAATTATTTTAGCACCGGTTTTGAAAAAAGGTGTCAGCGTTCAGATTTTCGAAAGTTGGTTTTTGTGATGGCTCAATTATAAACTATCCAATAATTCATTTAGTTTTATATACTTCAAATCTATAATTTTTCGTACAAAATTTCATTTCCTTACTTTCGCTTCCAAAAATTATATATTATTTTATTATTAAATTATTATTTGAATATTATTAGACGATTTTCGTTGATTGTTGTAACGTCATTATTTGAATCCATTAATTGTTTTTTTTAGATATTCCGTTCTACCGTCGATTGAAGCTAAGGCATTGGCATTAATCCTATTCGCATTTAAATTAATATTTGGATTAGATGGTCATCGTGAATTTAACATGGTTCCTCAGGTATGTGTTTTAAGTGAAAGAAATCGTTTTACTTTCACTTCATTTATTTAATTTTCCAAGTTTTATGAAAAGTCAAAAATTTTATTTAATTCTAAACTTATCTTCATTTTTCCAAATGCAATTTTAATTGAATTGATATTTGAAGTATAATTAATATAAATATAAATTAATTAATATAAATATTATCTATTAAATTGATTGTTTAATTTTTAGTTGATTCAGCCGACTGATTAAGTGAAAACGATAAATATTAATTTTCAGAATAGTAATGACGTATTTAATTTTTCTTCTTGGTTTCATCAATTAAAAATGCGAATGGAAGTATGGCGTGGTCGACCAGTTCAAAATGTTTTAAAAGTAAGGTTCGGTTTTTTTCTCAGTTTTTCAATTTATAAATGTGACTGCATAATATAAATTTTCCTTCTTTAATTGCATAAATATTTGGAGGATTTAGATCGTTGCCGGTTATTCAGTTCTCAATTGATGTTATTTCAGGTACCGAACCTTACCTTCTTACGATGCAATTCATGCTGATTATCGAACAATGTATCGCAATGCTGATTTTAATCAGATCTCCCATTCATTACTCTTTACAAAGCGGAATGGCTATTTCAGTGTATGTTACTGCAATTAAATTTTAATGAAACTAAATTTAAAATGAATGACATATTTTCAGGGTTGTATACCGAATTATGTTGTACAAGAAGCGAAAGATTATGCACTTCTAAAAGTATTTTCTGATAATAATGATGAGATGCCGGCAAAATTTACTGATAAGGAAGCTATTTTAAGTGATTTTTCATTCCTTGTTCTTTCTTTTCCTGAAATTTCTGGATTTTGGTTGATTTTGGCTTTTTACATCATTTTCTTTGAATCAGTCATCTAAAACATTTAAGTTTAATTTAATTTATTTTTATCTTTCTTTTTGTTTCGGTCTATTATACAATTTATATTGTTTTTGCTTTCCTATTATTTTTTCGGAAAATGCATTCGCCTTGCCTTTTTTCTTGAATTCTATATGATACTTTTGGTAAATATACATAAATGAACTAGGTTAGGTTAAATTATTTTGAAATATCATTGTCATTGGAAAATGCCATGCAAATTTTTTGGAATATCAATGTTTCCAGCTCCTCTTTGCTTTCAAGCAACAAAAAATCAAGAATGGTTTCGAAATCAGCGGAAAAAAGCATCTTTTAGAGCAGATTCCATCGATTAGTAAGTCATAGTTTTATTTTTTTTAAATATTTTTAATTACTTAAACATAATTGAATTAGAAAAGATGAATGATATACCTTTTCGATTCGGGTATTTATTATCGTATGCACCATTTTATATTTTTGTGGATTGTTGTCCGACTTAGCTTCTAATTTGTAGCCCTTTGCGATTATTTAATTTTTACACAGTTATGTTTAATAAAATGTTTATATTTGTCAAGTTATTATTTTATTTTTTATTTTTTTTCTCGAAAAATTTCCATCAAATTGTTCGTTTGGAAAGGAAGAAAGAATTCTTTAAATTTATGATTTGAGAATTCAGAAAAAGGCTTTGAAGAAAATTTTTTCAAAAAAAAGCTTATTCTTTTACCACTGGGTAAATTAATTATTTAGACATTTTCCTTCATTTGATTAATTATTTCTTTTGTAATTATATCAATGATAACTTTAGTTATAATGCAGACATTTTTTTTGCTGACTTTAAATCCTATACGCTCGACTATCATACAGTGGATGCAAATGTTGATTCAACTTCTAACCAAAAACAGGTTCGATTGAGATTTATTTCATTTTATATTATTTTATTATTTTCCTTTTTAATTTCGAATGTTCACTTAATTTTGTAATTTCTTATTTCTTAGATTTTAGCTTCAATTTTCAGCAAATGGATAGATCAAATGAATGGCAAGATTTATTTCCTTGTTCACACATCTATCACGTATTTGCTTTTTTTATTATTTCGTAATATTTCCTAGATTCATTTGAGAAAAATTTCTATCTTATTTTTATTTCCATTATTTGCGAAATTATTTGCGAAATATTGATAAATATGCGTTTATTTTAGGTTTTTCCTAGGCCTCATTATTGTGGTTCATTAATGAGATGTGATCAGTCAAATATCATGTATTTCCCAATTATTTACACCTGTGGTAAATTTTTATTTTTTTAGATTTGGCAATTATTATAGATTCAATTAAAACTAATTTTGGTGATTTAATGATTTTTTAAATTTTACATAAATGATTTCAATTTTTAAGAGAGAAGCAAATTTTTAATTTATATAGTAGGATAAGTAAAAGTAAAATATAAATATATAAAATAAAGTAAAAAAAAATATATAAAATAAATAAGTAAGTAAAATAGATATTATTAAGTTAACTGAAGTGAAATAATTAAAATAAAAGAGGAAAGAATATAAAAGAGTCTGAAAGTTAAATATTTATACAGAGTCAAACTTTATTAGAATTCAACTTGATTTTTGAATATTGTCGGTTGAGACTTATTTCATTTTATATTATTTTGTTATTTTCCTTTTTAATTTTGAATGTTCACTTTGTCGTTTCATTTTTTTTCAGCAATGGATGCAGTTTTATCGGTTGCTCATCGTCATTTTAGCGACACTTTTGCTTTTCTTTTTGAAACATTTTGCTTGCTTATTGGTGAAGAACAAAAAGTATTATATGCTTTTTTCCTTATGATTGAAATGATTTGTCTTTCTAGAGATCGGTATGAATTTTTGTTGATTTAATGAGATTTTTTTCATTTTCTTATAAATATTTTCGTTTGTGTTGCCATATCATCATGTTGTGGAAGAATTCTCCTCCATAGTCATTTAAGAAGAAAATTTAATATATAATACTAATCGCAAAGATAAAGTTTGGTAAATTTTGGCCACGCATAGAATATTAAAGGCTCTGTAACAATCTCCTCATCATTTCTCAACATTGTCTTTCAGTTTATTTTGATATGATAAATTTATTCTACATCCTTTATATAAACCAAGGTGAAGGGTTTTTTTTAAAAAACATTCAGCATATCTGGTTAGGCATTGTTGGCTTTGGGATCGTATAATTTTTCCGAAGAATAATCTGACGATTTAAATATCTATTTAAATGAGTGGTCAGTAGATTTTTGAAATGCAGATGTGGCATTAGCGCTTCGAAATTAGAGGAAAAATCTGTATCTTTCTACTAGGTGAAGAAGAAGAAGAAGAATGAGGTTACTTTATTCATTTTTTCCATTATAGATTGGAAGAAATTTATAATTTGGCAGATACTGGTGCCGAAATTTCAATGAAAGGTCAGTGTATTGATATCTTTTCCCGGCCTAATCAGTACTTCTTAAGATTACGTCGAATGCCAGGAGATATGTCGAGAGCTGATTACGCGTACAATATGATAACAGTTTGGTTTTTGATATATAATATATAATTGTAATTCAAAATCTCATCTGTAATTTTTGGGTCATTTTTTTGAAATATAATATATAATTGTAATTTAAAATCTCATCTGTAATTTTTGGGTCATTTTTTCTGTCATTCCGTTAGTGTCCATTTATGCCATCCGAAATTCTTAGGATATAGGATATTTGTTAAGATGTTTTGTAATATTAAAATTATCAAGTTATATTTTGAAAAAGTCAGATTGAATATCTTTCTATTTAAAATGAATATTTTATAGTTTTCATTTTATAGTTCTAAAATTTTTATTATCTGAGAGAAAAAAAATAACTTAATGCCATAGATTGTAAAAGAAGTGAAAAACGTGACGCTTATATTATAATTCAGATTGACTCAATATTACCCGAACCATCTACTGTTTTTGTGCCTTTTCATGTTTCAATAGCTAATTTAAAAAAGAAATATCAAAAAAAGAATTATGAAGAGGAATCAGCGAGTCAACCAAGTCAAGAAGAAAAATATTTTGTTGAGAAAAAGCGGAGGAAGCGAGGTTAATTCATTCTCTTGCTTAGTAGGCATTTTTTAATTTATCTATTTAATTCGATTATTCAATTTAAATTGAACTTTGACGTACATTAGAAATGAGAATGGCTTATATCAATCGAAAATTCTTTTCTTGAACCAAATTAAATGTTTTTAAATTGTCGAGCGTAATGTGCCAGTGAACTGTATCTTTATCTTTAATTTTCAGCACAAAATCCGTCTATGCATCGCCCACAAGTCAGTGGTTTTCTTGCATCAGTGGTTCAATTTATTAAGTTTAAATCCTTTTATATAAAAATTTATTTGCAAATTGGTGCTTATGCGGAATTTTGATTTGTGACCGAAGAATAGTTGAAAAACCGAAGATTTAAATCTATTTAGATAAAATCATCAGATTTTGATAAAAGCAATGTTTTTCGTTTATTCATGATTATGAACTTATGGTTGTCAACTTAAGATTTATGAACTTTTCTCACACGTTTTTTTTATGCAAAAAGCATAAAAAAGCATAAAATTGGTTTTTGTAGTTTGATTGTGTTTTTTAAATGCTGCGGTCAAATATAAAATTTGTAAAAAAAATTTGAAAAATTGTAAAAATTAAATTTGTTACGGAATTTGTTATTTTTTGTTATTTTTTTAATCGCAGAAATGCTTTGTAGAGAGATGCTAAGTACAACTGGACAAGATTACTGGAACTTGAATTCGATGTAGCATTCGCTCTAACAATCCCAAAATATTGGTGATATACTTTTAATTTTTCGTCTTCACAAATCTTTTTTTGTCATTTCAAAGAAGTTGTGGATATATTAAAAAATAGTTGTGCAATAAAATAATTTATTATTCAGATGTTGTGATTACAGGATGATAACCGTTTTTCGCTAATATCGCTTAAGAATTTTCAAAATAATATAGAGAAATATACTTTTTTCGCTCATATTTTTGAACATAAGAAAAAAAATTGTGGCTATCAAACGGTTCAAAGAGGGTTTTTATCAGTTATTAGGTATTAATATAATGTGAACAACGAATTTTATGCCTTTGAAACAGACGACAGAAAAATATATTTTTGTTTTCGTTGTGTAATATTGCTTCTTACAACAGCATTTATCATTTCTGGTTTTGGTGATTCAGTTGAAATAATGGCGAGAATGTTTTATTCAAAAAAGTGTTTGAAGGTGAAAGATGGATCCTCATTTTGACTTGGCTTTTGGTGGTAAATGTACATACTCTCATGAAAGTGAATGAGGGGAACTCGGTTCCCACATTCCCCATATCGCCATTCGATATTCCAAAAAAAGAAATTCCAGGGAGTTCGGCAGTCGAAATAGGAGTTGATCCATCACGTTTTCTAGCTTTGCGTTGTCCAAAATTTTTAGAATGTGCCATGCATAAATGGGTGACCTAGTACGAGATGCATTGCGTGCGGTTAGTTTTTCGACCATTTTGTAATTTTTTCTTACCTCTTCGAATTTTATTTTAATAAATAAATCGTTTTTTTTTTTGAGCATAGTAAGTTCTTCGATACTAAACTGATCGGCCATTGCCCTAGTATAATATACAGTGATTTTTTATCATTTGAAAGCAGTCAGGAATTGATGAAGAAATAGAAAATGTAATAGCTGAAGTCATATTGCAAGGATGGAATGACGACTCGCCCAAAGCAATTCAGTCGAATGGAAATCGAAAAAATTTTTCTAAGGTTGGTTATTTATTGGTTAGCGTTTAAATTATACTTTAGCCAAGTTTTTTAATTTCTTTGACCAAGATTTTTTTGAAATTTATGGCTAGGGAAAGGTGAACTGACTCGTTTAAGAAAAAGATAAAATCTAACTAAAGTTGTTGTTTTTTTGAAAGCTAAAAGCAAAAATATAAATATTATTAAATCTCTCTCTTTGTTTATGGACTTCAATTTTTGTTATATTTTTCTTTTATTGAAGAACATAAATGGAGCGAAGATTCGGCTTATATCTGAGCAGCTTTGGCGTAGATTGGAACGAAAGTATGAAGCAAAATTTCAAGCGTGGAAGGAAAATGAAGAAAAGGAAATTGATGATATGGTTATTAGATTACGAAACGAATACAAGCAGAATATTGATAATAAGCAAAGTGAAGTAATGTTTTTGAAAAATTTTCAATAAAAACTTATTCAATTGCGTTTTAAAAATGAAAAAAATAGGTTTATTAGATTTATCAGGATTTTTTTCAGTATCAAAATATGGTGAAAAGGAAAGAAGATGAATTCAGTAAAAAAGAGCGCATTCTTAGAGAAGAGATGCGTCTTGAAACAGAGGTTTTCTAATTTTTATTTTGGCTAATACTAGTTATTTTCGAATGAAGCCCAGCCACTTGTTTCGTGCGGTTTAAACTTCGCTACTTTTCAGAAAAGGCAATTGGAACTTGAAAGATGTTGGAGAGAAGTAGAAAGCGCACAAAATGATTTACGGATAAGTAAAGAACAGCTGGAGCATATGAAAATGAATTTCGCAATGTAACATTTCGTCTCTATCTTTCATTTGGCCTTCATCTGCGTTTATTTCTTTGCTTTTTCTTGTTTTTTTTTTAAATTCTTATTTTTTCCATTTAATAGGATGAAAGATATAGAAACAATGAATTTACGCCGAGAGAAGTTGGCACTTGAAAGAAGGCTTGATGATTTAAATCAAAGAGAACAGATGACTGAAGATGCAATTAAACGAGCTATTATCGAAACGGAAAAAAAGGAAAGAAAATGGTTTGGCCAAAAAGTGATGTTTTTATAAATTTACGAGATTATAAAATATGGCGGATATGCAGAATTCATAGGGCATTTATGATGATAATGTTAGACTAATAGATTCCCGATTTCAAAGTTTGTTAAATTTTCTTAAATTTCTCTTCTTTCAGATAGATGAATGGAATAAAAAGGAAGCAGATTTAAGAGCCAAATATAATAATTTATTACAAAATATTAGGCAAATATCAGCTTTAGAAGATAAGTATCAAGAAAGTCTCGATCAGATACGTTCCTTAAAGGTATTCATCAAACTTATTAACTCAAAAAAAAAAATGTAAGACTTTATTGATGTCTTCTTTAGTTGGAAATTGTTTCGCGTGATCACAAATTAGACGAAATAAATGGAGCACTAAGGAAAGCGAATGAGCTTATTCGTTCGAGAAGTGATTATGATGATTTAAAGGAGGAAATATCAAAGCTCAGAATCAAAGTATTTGTATAATATTTTTTATTTCATTTATTATTCCATTAAGACTTTTCATCAATAAGTTTGTTCCAAAGTTTGAAATTTTAAGTGGAATGATTATTTTTTTTATTGTTCGCTTTCTGCTAGATTATCTCTCAGCTTACACTCCTTTTTTATTGTAATTAAAAGTTAATTAAATCTTCTGGAGATTACCAGTAAGTTCCACTAAATATTAGTATAGTTATTCCTGTTAATTGCTTTTCGAAATGATTTTTTGTCAACAAATCACTTGATTATTTGTAATATATTTCGATAATAGATAGAGAAAGATAATGAACCTCTCATGAAAACCATGCAAATCAAAGAAATGGAACTGGGAAACATGAAAAAGCGATATGAATTACTGGAAAGCACTTCAGCCATGCGAATTCAGCATTTGAATCGTCAGCTTCATCACGCTGTGCATAATTTTCATTCTTCAAATTTTCTCATTAAAAATTATTCTTAATTCTCTCTATTTAATATTTTTAACCTAATTTTTTCTTAGTTCGCAAAACTTCGAAAAGCGGAATCGAAATTACGAAATTCTCAAAGGAAATTCTCTGAGGGAAAGAATGAATTGATTGTTGCCGGCGAGGAAATTTCCGCAGCACAAAAAAAGTATTTCTTTATTTATCAAGGACAAAGAAGGAGATCTAATTTGAGAATAGGATCTTATCTTATTTAGAATATTGTGAGTTTCTACCAATTGGTTCTAATGTTTTCTATGCTATCTTTGAAAAAATTGCAGCGGGTCATTTGTTTCAGAACTCTTTCACCTTCAATTTCCGATTCTTCTTTATCTTCTTCATCAACATCATCTTTTGATCGAAATATTCGCCAGAGATTGCGCAATTTGGATTTTATTACTAAGGTGCATTCTATTTAGAAAAAAATATCAGTTGAAATAAAATTTATATCGTTGTTTTTCATTTTTTGCTGTTGATTTTTTTCTTCTAAACGACTGGAATAAATTTTGGAAATTTGAGATTTTTTTATTTTATCTTACATTTTACTTCCTTTATCCTTTAGCAATTGGATATTTCCGTCGAAAAATACCGCGCAACTCATAATTCTTTACTGTTGGAAAGGTCTTTGCTGCCTTTAAAACAACGTGAATCACAATCAATGTTTGCGCAGCCATCACTGAACGAAGTGAATATAAAATCAACTCGAGCTCATAGCGATTTTGCCCAGCAATCAGTCGATTTAATTGATGCTAATAGTAAGGAAGAAGTCGATCACCATGATGAAGTAATTTATTAAAATTCAAGAGAGAAATTGCATTTGCAGATTTTGTTCATAATTGTTTTTAATTGTTTTAATTGTTTTGTAGATTGATTCATTGCCACTGTATCAAAAAAAAACGGAAATTATAAAGTCCAGCAATTTAACGATTGATTTGGAAGAAAAGTTAAAACGACGAGCGAAAGAGAGAAATATGGTTCTGTCCACTGTCACCTCAGCTATTAGAGATGAGGTTTAATCTATGTGTCTTATGTTTTTATGTATGCTTTTTGTTCTTTGCTTGATCTATAAACATTAAATTATTGTAGGATCCCCTGTCTTTCTCGGAAATTTGATGATTTTTTTCAAATTTAGAGAGGTGACGTAAGAAAACTGGAAAGAGAAGAAGAAACGAACGAGATCATCGAGGCTGGTCCAGCAATATCGCCATATATGACAATGTTAGGAAAAGAGAGTCTGATGATGAGTGCAGCTGATTCAGCTGAACCAGATAAGGTTGTTTTTCGAATATTGTGAAATTGTACATTAATTAGCTAAAATGACATATTTGTGATATTTAATTTATATTTAAATATTTATATATTTATTAAACGATGTTAACTTTATAGTTAACTTTGAAATATTTTTATTTTTTTACAGTCTAAATTTTTGGATTTCTAACTTACGTCTTGTTAAATTAAATTTACTTCCTCGGACTTGCAAAAAATATTACGGAAGATATTTTGAAGGTTTATTACCTATAAATTTTTTTTTTTGTGAACTTCAAGCTGAAAAATTCTTATTGGATTTCTGTGATCGGTGACATTTTTTCGTTTTTTAATTATTTTAAATCATTTTCTAATAGTTTTTAAAAACTTCCAGGTTAATATTAATGATCTTCAAGAAAGATCTTCGCCAGTATTAGCTGATTTGAAAGTCGAAACTTTTGACATGAACGATTCAGATTCTTTAAAAATATGATTCTCATACCTATATTTTTCATATTTTTATTTTATCTCCCTTCGTTTTGTGTTTTGGCTTTATTGGGCCATGAAGCGCTATCATTGAAGTGTTCAAAGGTAGTGAACTCTTTGATATCCTCCATTCTTATTGGCCACCAGAAGTTAAAATTATCATGAAATAAATGCGAACTTTAATCTCACTGAGTAACATTTCACTTAAATTATTTCAAGAAATTTTGTTTATATATATATGTGTATTTTGTTAATATTTTGAAACGTCCAATATTATAAATATTGTAAAATATTGAAAAATTTTTGAATAAATTATGTTTACCGTCATTTGATAAAATTTCTCCGCCGCAATTTTCGGTTTTCAAATTTTTATCGAAGGCAATGATCAACTGATGGGTCAACTGCTGACTAATTAAAACTTAAAATCCTTAAGGAACACTTAAGATTTAGTCAGAACCTGGATGCTTTAGAGCAGAAAAAGGATTTTATTGATATTTTTATATTGTAAATGACTAACTCTGCGGTGGTAGTGCTGTCTATAAATAAAATTTTTGTTCACAATAGAGGAACCATAGTTTTGATCGGCTGCCAAGGGAATTTTTACAAAGAATTGAAAGAACGGAACGTTACTTTCGACGGTATCTCGAAATATTAAAGACCATCAGGAAGGTCACAAGAGAGTTCCGAAAAAAGTTTTCAATCAAAGTATTTTTGATAAGAAGAAAATTGTTTAATATAATTGCAATTATTCATAAAATTTTTTATTGCCTTTATTTTGCAAAATTCAAAATTCCTCTTTATTCCATTTCCAGTCGCCTAAGCCCCACATCTATGTGTTCAAAATCTTTTCTGGCCGTATCGTTCCAGATTTTGATCGGCCTCCATGCTTTTGACACTATCCATAACAGATTTAGTAAGTAGCGAGATGTACATAAATTCCTGTGCTAGAAGACGAAGAATATGGTCAAACCAGACGAAGCTTTATGACGATCTGTAATACAGATTAATACAGATTGTATTCGAGCGAAGACGGATGTGATCATGGACTTTATCCACTTTGGCCAGCATGTAGAATGTGTATTAAGTAAAAGTGGTCAATCTCTAATAGCTTCCTGATGCCTTCCACTTTTCAGCTCGCGGACCATCTCTAATAATTTGCTCGGATTTCAGCTCGTGAATTGCAGAAGTCACCTCATGTTGGGCTGATGATTCGTATTTGCAATCGTACCAAATAATCTAAATACTTTGCAGTATCTTCGGGATGCTGGATGGTCCTTCGTAGTTGAATTTAGACTCATAGAACTCTCTCCATGACGTGCGATGATTTTTGATAGTCTTAGCGGGTTGATTTCCATTCTTGTCTCAGATCTCTTCACTTTTCGCGAGCCTCGCTTTGTGTTACTTATTTCCTTTGTTTATTATCTATAAATAATAAGGAAGGAATTATGTTGGAATTGATTCGAATTGGCCAAAACTTAAAATTTCCAGTTTATTATTTCGAATCGACTTTCTAATCAATTTTTTTTTCAGATTAAGTTAAACTATGCGAGTCGTTCCATGTTCATTGCGGCTTATACGTGCGTTGGCCTCACGTGAGTTCTCGTCCTCTTCTATTACTTCAGTTGAAGTTCGAAATGTTGCAGTCGTAGGGAGCGGTTTAATGGGATCTGGCATTGCACTGGTTTTTTTTTCTCTTTTCTTAACTTCTTTTATTTGGCAATTGATTTCGAATCATGCAGATTCGATTCTTATTCTGCTAACATCTAAAATTTCATGTGATATTATCTATTATAACTATTGATATTATCTAATATTATCTAATTACAAATTATTATTGGCACGGTTCAATTACAAACTATTATTAGCACGTGCTTCATACATCGTATGGTACTGAAAAGGCATATTGCTGACATAATATGATAAAATTTAGGGACATATTAACAACATACTCAAAATTGGGCCTCCATAATAGCTTCAGATTGATTGTGAATTAATAAATGGCTAGCGTTGAATGATATTCCATAGCTAATTTGTTGATATGATATGATATTTAATAATTTGTAATTAATTTATAACTATCGATATTATCATTTTGGAAATAGACTTTTTTATTTCTCACATATTCGCAGAAAATGGAATTTTTGCTGGAATTTACGCAACTCATTAAATTATTCTCAGGTAAGTGCGCAAGCTGGATTAAATGTGGCACTAGTCGATCGTACGGATGAAATTTTAACGAATGCAAAAAACTCAATACGAACGAGCCTACAACGTATTGCGAAAAAGAAATTTAGTGATGATTCTAAGGTGTTTTTTATTTGACATTTCTGGTTTTATCTCAACTCTTTTTTTCTGAAATGTTCCTTAATTATTAACTTTTTTTTTTAAATCTTTTAAATTCTGATTTCTGATTTTTCATTGACCATCTTTATAATTTATTTTCTTTTTTTTTCTTGAGAAAAGATGTGTTAATGAGCACTTTTTTAAAAAAAATTCTTGCGAGTCATCGTATTTCAGTTTTACAGGCACAAGAAGCATTCACAAGTAATGTGATGAAGTGTATGAAAACGACAACCAGTTTATCCAGTGCAGTGAAAAGTGCCGATTTGATAATTGAAGCAATTATCGAAAATTTATCTATCAAACAAAATTTGTTCCAAAAGATTGAAAGTGCCTGTTCTGAGTAAGTGTTTTAATCTGCCTTAAGGCATTTTTATTACATAGTTGAAATGGGTGAAATAAAGTTGTTATTAAAAGAAATTCAGTTGTTTCATCGTCATCTTTCTTTTAGCAGCAACAGAAATGCTTTTTGTTTTAGCCGTTATGATAATTTTGTTTTTTGAGTTTCTAACATCTCATGCTTATGTATTTGAAGTTCTGCAATATTGGCAAGCAATACTTCATCGTTGCGTTTAAGTGATATCGCAAATCATATGAAAAAGAAACAGAGATTTGGTGGCCTTCATTTTTTCAATCCTGTACCCATAATGAAGTTACTCGAAGTTTGTTTCTGTCTATTTCTTATATGTAAAATCATAAAAAAACAATTGAGCGTTTAGGTACAATTGAGCTATGACATCGTTGCCTGCATTGTTTATTTTTTGCATTGTTTATCAGTCGTTTTTTTTGTCTCTTTTTTCAATTATTTAAAAAATTATAGGTAATAAAATCCGAAAATACTTCCGATGAAACGTTCAAATCTCTGATGGATTTCGGCAAAAAATTAGGAAAAGTTACGGTCGCTTGTAAGGTACGAGTTTCCTCTGGAATGTTTTGAGAGTTTTTAGTTGGAAATGCTTTTCTTTTGCATTCTATGCTATTCTCGAAAGAAAGAAAGTTTTCATTTATCATCTGATAAAGTATTTCGGAATATGATGGTTTCAAATAGTTTGTGATTTTTCATTTATCATCTGATAAAGTATTTCGGAATATGATGGTTTCAAATAGTTTGTGATTTCAAATAGTCCTTTAATCTTTCAACCGTATTTATTGAAATTTCAGGACACACCTGGTTTTATCGTAAATCGCTTATTAGTGCCATATTTATTTGAAGCTCTTCGACTTGCAGACAGAGGTGATGCTTCAATAAAAGATATTGATATTGCTATGAAACTTGGAGCAGGATATCCGATGGGTCCTTTTGAATTGATTGATTATGTGGGACTTGATACCACAAAATTCATCCAGGATGGTTCGTGCATTTTACATTTTTTTGTAGAAGCTTTTTAAAATATTTTCCTATGAAAATTTAAGCTAAACAATTTAGAAGTTTTAAAATATTTTCTCCAGATATTCACAGCTTTTGTGCAAAGGCTTCGCCATATTTAAATTTATGAATTTTTGTTACTTTTATCGTATAATTTTCATCTTACAGCGATTTTCATCAACTAAAAATAATTATATATAAAAATATAATTTTTTATATTTATATAATTTATATATAAAAATATAATTTTTTAGGTTGGCATTTATCTTATCCCGATGAACCTTTATTTAAGCCCAATGAGAGGCTTAATAAACTCGTAGCAGAAGGCAAACTCGGCAAAAAATCAGGCGAGGGTTTCTACAAATATAAATAAACAAAAATTATATTTCAAACTAGTGGTTTCTTCCATTTGCTAATAAATTTTTTTCCTTATTATTTTTTTATCCAATGGTTTTTTTCCAATGTTGACACAAAAACAGCTAGTTTTATAGATTTTTATTTTTTAAATCAGTTTTTAAAAATGAAAACAAATTAAAAGCAAAAAATAGCAAATTCTTGCGAAGCTAGAGTTTTCATTTTTTCATAAAAATTTCTCAGTAATTACCAGAATTCGAGCAAAATGTTTCTTTTACGTATGTTAATTCGAGTGCATATGTTTTCATCAAAAAATAAATTACATTAAAGACTAAGTTTTTAATGCAACAAATTGGCGATAGTGACGTAGTATTCGATTATCGATATCTGAATTTGCAAATAATTCTGTTTCCATTTCATCTTTGATTTCAGATAATTCTTTCCAGTACTTAAAATTATGAATTTAATGAAAAAGACAACAGAGAAGCAAAATTGTTCGTCTTTTAGCTTTGAAAATTTTAAATTTCTGATAGACTTGATAATTTCTAATATGACGGAAAAAAAGTTTTTATATTTAAAAGATGAAAGAAATAAATCAACACTAATATCTTAAAAAAACTGTAAATGATTATTAAATTTAATAAACTAATTAAATTTGTTATTCATACTTATTATTTATACTAATTTAATTTAATTTATATAAATACACCAAAACTTCACTCGTTGAAAAACATTTTGTAATCGCCCATCGATGTAAACAAACCAACTTGTTTCAATATCACTTCCGTTCATTTCGCTGTTGACTATGTGTTCAGACATTAATATAATGAACTTCTAAAAAATTTAAAACATTAAAGGGTATTTTAAAACCGTGCTTACTCCATATAATAAAATATGTAACACTTCTAAACAATCAGATGCATATAAAGCCTAAAATAAAGTTATCGCGTACGTGAAGAATGTATAGTAGCAAATTCTTTAAACATTCTTGCAAACTCGCAGCTTCCGTTTCTCTTGCCGGAAGATCCTCAATATTACCATCATCATTATTCTCTTCATCTTTTTCCTTATCACTGAAGTCACCTTCATCTCGATTCTGTGAAAATACAATTATAAGCAACAATTTTTTAAATTGTTATAATTTCCATTTAAAAATTTATATCAAATTATTAAAAGTAACAAGCAAAATTAAGAAAAATACGATTAAACACCACCGCTCATCACCATCAAAAATTTTTTCTCGAAAAATTTAAATTCAATTTTTTTCCCAGAAAAAATTTACTAAAATATATTTAAAAAAATATTTATGCAATATTTACCAAAAGTTTATTTCATAAATATTATTGATCAATATATTATTCAAAAAATATTTGCACCTGCTCATCTGAATGGTAATCCATTTTATTCCTCAATTTTTCAATTTGAGATCGCACGCGATTTAATTCACCAGTAACATGATCTAAAGCAATGCATAACAGCTCCCATATCCACATCCTAAAAATAATTGTTTGCCTGATATAAAAATAATTTCATTTTCATTTTCTAAATATATTCGATACCACCATATTTGAATACTGCGTGTAATAAGGAACTATTAAAGCCATTCCAAAAAAATTAAAGCCTATACATTTTACGCCAAAAAATTTGGAAAAAAAATAATCTTTTCCTGAAAGAAAAAAACCAAGCTTAATTGGAAAAAGAACGAACCTCAGAAACTCTACCTTCATTTTCTCACTGAATATCCAAGCAGCCACGGAGCTTGCATCAATAACTGACATTTTAAGCAATTTTGTCGTAATAACAATCACCATCTATAATGCACTTCTAGAAAAGCATATTTTAACAACTATATCAAATTTATAAACATAATAAGGATATACGCACCTGATGGTTCAATTTCCAGACATCGTAAAGTGTTTGCAGTAATAAAAGTTGCAACTCTTCACTTTCACCAATCAATTTTTTGAAAGTAATGTAATATCTAGAATTTTAATTCGAATTATTCTACAATCTTCGTTTAATTAACAACAATGAATCAACGAAAAAAAACTGGATAATTTGGCGAACTTAGTTAAAGCTGCGAAGTTGTGGCTGAATGTTTTTCGAGCAAGATTCAATAAAACGGAGAAAAAAATAATCAAACATTCATTGCCACTACGATCATTTTCACGTTGAATAATTTCTATCATATTTTCCGCAGTTACTCGTCCACGAAATCCTTTTTCAATCTCAACTGCTAGAGAATGCAAAGGATGATCTTCTGCAACATATCTTATACATATCTACAATATCTTCTGCAAATCGTAAAAATAAAAATGGATGTTTTCTAAAGAAAAAACCTCCGAACTTGAAAATCGCTTAGTATTGCACCACAAATTTTGACATTAACGCAAATTTTTAAAGATATTAGGAAATGACCAACTTTTTTAATATAAAACCACGATTATGTGAAATATCTAACCATCTCCAAGATCGTAACAAATTGAAATTTTTTCAGGCACCATTTTTTCAAAACCAATAGGTAGCACCTCAAGAATTCGTTGACGATAAGATAAACGAACACATTTTTCCAGTACCTGGTAAAAAAATAAATGGAAAATGCAGTCAGCAAGTTAGTGATAAGTTAGTGATAAAGCAATTAAAAAAATAAATATAAAATAACAGAAAAAAAGCAAACCTCGCGAACAAAAATATGCCGTGGTGCTAAATGGTCCATCTCGATGCAACTACTCCAATCGTTCCACGACCACCGATATTCAAAATTAGACATATGGTAGCTGAACCAATCGACCAATCTAAATGAATTTTAGTCATTGTGAGGAAAATAATCTAAAAATGCATCAAATAAATAAGTTTACCGGTCTATGCAGATTAACTGCATTGTATCGATTCGCTGGTACAGAAGCTCTGCTGCTTGAGCTATTACCTGGAATATGAATATACGAATTTTTCAAATATTTTCTTTTCTTTTAATTTACTAAGAAATTCTAAACTTTGATGAGGACAGAAGACAGAACTTTCATGGTCTGTCACCAAAGAAAATTAAATTTAAAAATATAGGAAATAAAAAACCTACCTGTGGCATCGTTTTTGTTTTACATAGTTCTATCAATAAGCTACCATAGAAAATAGGACGAATAGGAGAGTCAGGTATTCGAAATAACTGTGAAAATATTACTTCCAATATCACATAATTTAATGGCACAGTCGATTTTTTATGATAATCTAATAAATTTGTAGCGCTAAAAGAAATGATAAAATAATATAATAAAGGCAACATTAACGCTTATTTTTAATATAGCACTGAATATTTCCAAATGGACTTCTACTAATATTAACCTTAGATATTTGCAATTTGCTAATTAAATGAATAAATTTCCTTACGTCTAAATATAAGATATAACACCAACCATTCTTTTCGATTTCCTTGGTTTTCAAGAATAATCCAATTTATTTCTTCTTCCATTAGAAATCTTTCAATTGAATGCGCTCCAGGCAAAAGTGGGCCCTAAAAATAAAAATTTGGAATAAATAAGAAATGTAAGAAAATTTGCATACAGAATAAATACGTTTTTTCCTGTTATTTAGTAATATTTTTATATTTTTTGGAACAAAAAATTTCGAAAATTTATTAATAAGCAGAGTCAAAAATACTGTTAATCAAAAAAAATAAGAGGCTGAATATATAAACCTGTTCAGGACAATCTGCATAATCAAAAAGACGAAACACAACGTGCGGCAAAGGATAAACGTTACTAGACGAGTGAGGAGTAGGAATGAACCTGAAATTTTACTTTCAATGCTATCTTTTTTATTGGAAATTTCTAATTGAAATTTATTTTTCACAATAAAAATATAAAAGATTATAGATAAACTTAAATATAGATAAATGCATTAATAAAGGACTTCATCACATCATATAATTATCAAAACTTTATTAAAATAAAAATTATTATTAAAATAAAATTATTATTAAAATAAAAAAAATTTTGTATAATTTAATAAAAACAGAAAAACGAATTACTTAGGTAAATTATGCTGTAAAGCATCAGCCAATTGCCCATCAAAAGCAACGTAATGTCGCATTATATGTCTCTCTGTCCAATCATCGCTTCGTAATTTCATTATTTGTGCCCACAAACAATCCAAATAATCTTCTTGCTCATGAATTGAGGAAGTCCAAACTCTCAACATCTAAAAGCAAATAAATGATAAATATTATTTTAAAAAACCACATAATATAAAAATAATAGAAATATTCTGACAAAAACCATACTTCAACATAGCTTTTATTTCGTTTCATCATATGCCCTTCCACAGCATCAAGAATACTTTCCAAAATATCTTTTTTTCTTTCAAACATTTCTCTTCCGACCCATGGAAGACAGTGAAGTATTGCATATATGAACCAATCACTACGAACCTGCAAAAAAAATGAAAAAAATGAAACTTTCTTTATTATAGCAAATCACGAAACATTACAATATTTTCTTCATCTGAGTCATTAGTTATATCTAAATTTATTGAATGAAGATAGAAATGAAACAAACCTGAGGGATATTATCTTCAAAAGCTTCTTGGACTAAATCTTCCAAAAAATCAGCGAACGAACTAAGAGTAACAACTCGAGTATTCACGAGATCTGCCAGAAAAGTCATCTAAAAAATTTCTAGATATTTATATAGATTTAATAAAATATTTCAGCAATTAATAAAATCCAATTTATACTTTTTTATGACTGGTTGATATTTTTTGACACTATAGTTTCATATAGTTTCATTTTTATATCAAGAGTCATTCTTTTTTGAGAGTGCTCACCAATGCTGGTGAGGCTAGCTCCACAGGTTTGTCAAGTCAAATAAATTTTTTAATTCCCCGCTCTAAATTCAGCTAAAATTTTCGACATTGTTTCACATAAAAAACTGCTGGTTATATTCATGATCTTCATATTATCGGGAATAGTTATTTTTTTAAGTGGACAGTGGAAAAATGAATGAATTAATAATGTATGAAATTCATTTCTCATTAGATTTCAAAATTGTTATATAGGCCGCTAATGCATATTAGTGATCTTATTGAAGTATAATTAATTGTTGATTAACTATAATTCTAATGGTAGTAAAATTTATTTATTTTTATTTATTTTATTTTTACATAAGAGATCTTCAAAAAATATGATTTAAATAGTCTAAGGGAAAATGTAACTTTGTTATTTGCCTTCAAGAAATCAAATTATCTCTTGACAAATGCAAAATTGTACAAATTTTATAAACAATCCTATGGTTTCTCAAACATATTGGAAAACAATTTTTCACATCCTAGATTAATTGCTTATGAGAATCAGTCTTAAATCAATCATAGGTTTGTCATCAAATTAAAGCATTTCAAAATAAGTCAGAAAATTTTATCAATAAAAAACACTTTTTCTCATCTGATAACACAACAAAACTATTTTCCAGATATGACAAATCAGCTAAATTAATTAAATGTCGTTTTGTATATCGCTTAAATGACTCCTTAATTCCTTGCTAGTTATGAGTTTAAGCAAAATTTATATTTTGCTTTAAATTTTAATTCACTTAGAATTGAGATCTAATTTACAAGATCTTACAAGGCTAAAAATATTAACTTAAACTCTTTGAATTTCAATTCTATCAGAGGCAGTGGACTGAGGACACGCAAATCAATTAGTGAATCCAGCATATTCTCCTATAATTTCACTACAAATCTAAGTTTGTGCTATTTGGTTTTAAAAATAAATGTTTAATATTACTCATAAATTATTTTATTTAATTATTTAAAGATCCTCGATCCATTCATAATATTAGTTTTCACTGCTTTTTATGTTACCTAATATTTTACAACTTTTATTCTTGTTTCTTTATTTCAGTTTTTCCGTTTTGATACCAACGCATGACATTTAGCCTAGTTTTGTTTTTAAATAAAAAAGAATTAAAAACGAATAAGAAGAAAAGAAATTTAAGGACTTACAAGATTTAGGCAAATACTAAAATGACTTGCATTCATATGCTCTTCCAATTTCTTTAAAATTTTTATAAGTAACTGAAAAATTTCTATTAGTGATATAAGTCAAAAAATCAAGACTTATGGACTCAAAATCGTTTAAAAAAAAATATAATAAATAGATTTATAAATAAATATAAATATCAAGATATCTAAATAAAATCGGAAACATATGAATAAATAATTTACTTTTTCACCAAATTCATATTTCTTTGCGTTCAATAATCCAACCAAAGTTGAATAAATGGTTAATTTGCATGGCATATGACTAACACTGTAAATATTTTAAAATTTCAAATCAGAATGATAAAAATTAATGCTAAATGAATAAACCATTATACCATTTACAATCCAAAATCTTAAAAAAAGAACTCTGAAAATAAGAAGGAATCAAACACTCACTGAAATAAGCCTTTATTTAAGTTTTTGCCGAAATTCTCTTCAATGTTTTAGCCATTTAACATTTTTTAGACCTTAAAATCTTAGAAAACTCAGCGAAAGATCTAAAAATTATTTCAAAAAAGGAGATTATGAAATATTTCTTTAAAAGTTTACCAGAAAAAAATTCAATATTCATTATATTAAAGCCACTTACCAATAATAGACAATCTTTATAACGTCATCTTTATAAGTATTTAAGTCGGTTTCCAATACTTGTGCGAGACTTTCCAAATTAGATTCAAGTGACGAATTGCTCTAAATTCAATCCATGTTTCCTACAGTTTTTTCTACTTTCTTTTTTCATTTATAATTTATAATTTAATTATAATTTAATTAAACAAAATCTGAGAACGTTCGTATATAACGTATTTAACATTTAACATAGATTATAGATTCCTACGAGTAGATTACTACTCGTTACTCGAAATAATTTCCGAAAAGAAAGCTAATTATATAGAACACTCCCAGTGGACAACCTTTTCTCCAACATGAGTAATAAGTTCGAACAATTTTGAGCTGATTTCTTCTTTTTCAGCACCAGATCCACGCCGGCGCTTAGCAGAAACAAATTCATCTGAAATTCTCAAAAGAATAACCAAAATATTTGATTATTTCGAATAAAATGAAACGATTAATCTTCAAAAAAGAATGAAGAAGCTAATTTTTTAAAGAATGACATCAAATCAATTGTCAAATTTTCAAAATCAAAGTTTTTAAAACATTTTAAATTTTTCGCGATAGCTAAATGAACGATTGCACTAATTAAATTTCTAAGTAAACCTTCATAGAAAACTCGTCGCCTTTTGTCGTGACTTTTCGAAAAGTCATCCTCCATCGTTTCGAATTACTTGAAATGGAAATCCAACTTTCTGTCAAAAAAATTCTTCAAATTTCAATCAACTGAAATCATACCAATAACAGTACAGCACTATAGCAACCAAATTATCAGACAAGCAAAACGAGAGATACGATTTTCAAAAAACAATGAAGACTTTGTAAAGCAAGAGAATACATAGAGCGAATATCATTTCAATATCAAAACTTATATTTAAACTTATTCAAACTTCAGATGCATAGTGTACACAGATTATAATATACGGTTATCTTATATTATATTTGATCTGATTATTTGATTTCATTTCTCACGTTTATAATCCACTTTAATGGAAATTCATAATATTTTGCCACGGGCATCAATTTGGAGATTATTCTCACTGAAATTAATGGCTTACGTTTTTAAATGATATAAACTGATTTAAAAAATGGATTTTCCATTTATGAATTAAATATGCATATTCACATTTAAACTTCTCAGCGATAACCACTGCAATCTTATGGATACCATAACAATCTTATGGAAGCGATGTAATATTTAATCATTTCGAAATAATATATTCGAAAACGTCTCGAAAAAGTGCTTTTAATATGATATTTTTAATAAGATAATACGAAAAAATATAAACTGACATTAAGAAAACTCTTAAGAGATATATACTCAATAACTAAATGCTCTTTACAGTGAAAATTTGGGAATAACTTATTAATTTAAAACAACAGCGAATCTCTTAGGGATCAGAGCATTATTAATACTATTTGGCTCAATGGAAAAAAAACTGCCACCGAGAATCGAGATTTCGGCTCGAATTCGCCGATGCACCATTCTTCGGGGGGGAGGGGGGGAGGCACTGTCGTCTAACGGAAAAAGCAAAGGAAATTAGAACAGGCTCAGTGGATAATTGCACAATTCGGAGCTGCAATTCTATTCCGAAAGGGCAAACCTGCCCAAAAACCGGAGCGGTGCTACCCTATACTTCTATCGCCAGGGGATTTCTTGGAAAAATATGTCCAGTCCGGCAAACCAATGGAGTGAATCTAACCAATAATGGTGAGTCCTTCGAAAAAAAAAAAATGCGATGAATAATCAGATTCGATAAGATATTCAGCGAGGATTCCCGGCAAAAGCATCGCTTAGCAGACCAAGCGATTTCGCGAATTACATTTGTGATTTTGGTTAATCCAATAAAGTTGGTTTACAAAAGATGAATTGTTACAATATAAAAAAATATGGGTTCATAGGGGGTGAGGGAGAAGAGAAAGGGAAAGGAGTGATCCCTGCTAGTTTCAAGAATGGTACCTGACCGAATGGCTTACCAGAGGTGCCAGCAGCGGTGAGAACTTTCACCAATACAGTAGGAAAAAAGAAGAATAAAAAATTTGCTCAATTTTTATAAAATATTTTAAAAAATTCCCACGTCAAAATATAAATAAACGATAATAGAAGATTCAATTCACATGCGCAACAAATAAATTTTTCAGAAAATTTGCGAATTTTGAAAATAAAAGAATACCGAAAAATCGGCCGAAAAAAACTGACAACAAAGGTTCGATATATTTCGTACCGATTTTTAGCTTTATAAAAGCTTTATTAAAAAAAAATTTAGAAACTAAATAAATTTGAAAATTGAAAAAAAAAAATTCACCTTTGGGAAAATTTTTACAAAATATCGCATCAGAGTCAAAAGATTTTTCGAACAATTTTTTTATTGAGTATGATGGTTTTAAAATTTTATAAAATATTAAAAAATGTATAAAATATAAAAAATTTATAAAATAGACGAATTAATAAAAAGGGGGCTTTAAATTTAGGTTTAATTTTACCCAAAAGCATTCCTAAAATAATAAAATTGAATTTCGTTGCGCGAAATTAAAAAGGGATTCGGCTGCGCTGGCTACAAGAGTAAAATATCTCCAAGCTGTCCGGTCCGACGCCATCGCTAGCAGTAATAGAAGCCATTCCTTTTTCCATCATCTAAGATCATATATCGCTTATTTATGCCCCTATACGTTCAAAATTTTCCCTGACTGTATCAGTCCAGGTCTTAACTGGTCCTCCTCCCTTGACGCCAACTATCACACGGTCTAGCAAGTAACGAAATATGCGTCAATTCTTGTGGTGGACGACGGAGAATGTGCCCTAACCAGCGAAGGCGACGCTCTGTGATAATATTATTTATGCAAGTGGTATTTGAAGGTGATGCGATCATATGATATCCGCTCAATGGATCCATAAAATGTACCTTAGACATGAGTGGTCAAAGGCTAATAGCTTCTTGATATCTTCCACTCTCATTAGTCATGTTTCGCAGCCATATAGCAAGATCGAACGAATTGCAGCTATATGGACGCGGATTTCTGTCTTTATGGTGATTTCGCGATGGTTCCATAAAGGTTCCATCAACTGGAAAAAAATAATTCTAGCTGCCATTATCAGGGTTACGACGTTATCCTTTGCCTGGCCATTTGGGATTAGAGTGGATCCAAAGTATTTAAAGTCAAGCACTTCCTCATCCGACAATGAATTTATGATAAAAATTGGTATTTTATCACCTTTTTATATATATTTTTTCACTGTATAAGACATTATTTTTCTTATTTTAAAGTTGCAAAATGTTCTGCGAATTTTAATAAACCAAATGCGTGGCTTTATGTTCTCCGTTTTAAATAGAAAGGATATTTGGAATTGCTGAAAATTTGGCTAAAGTTGTGGTGCAAATTTGCCTATAATTTATAACTGATTTTAATTTAATTTATAAAATTTATTAGGCATTATAAAAGCAGTTTAAACTTGTGTTGTCAAAAAATTCTTTCCTTTCCTTATAATTTTCTAAGCTAAACGAGTAAATTAAGTGGTTAGCGCTCACTATTTCTGGCTCTCCTGGCTGTTAATATGGCTAGAAAATTTTCTCAACGAGTCGCTTGGCGGTCGTCGAAGTGCAGTTAGATCGCCAATACCGTTTTTATCACGAACAACGGTTTTTCTCCTCAAGGCGATAAGCTGGATCTCTATCCAGTCGGCTATTCAGTCCCGAACACATGCGATTGCTATTTGATTAAGTATTTCTATATTTTTCCCTTAAGTGCACCTTACATGAACCATTAGTTTAAAAAAAAAAGGAATTTACATATTGCAAGGATGATTTATGAGATGTTTTCGAATAGCGAAAATGAAATGATAAGAAATGATAATGATGAAATGTCTGAAATTTGAAATATTTTTCCGATAATAAATTTTTTTTAAATCGAAACTAAATTCAGTATAAATTATAAAATATAGTTTTTTTTTTTTTTCAGTTTTAAATTCTCAACTGAAAATATTCGTTTTTCCGATTTTTTTTTCGGATAGCTTTACTATTTTACTATTTTTACTATTTTAATTTGCTAAAAAGTATACCTCAAACGGAAAGATTTAGTGCGTCTTTCGTTCGGGCTTCGGCTATCCTATAAATTTTAAGCCCTAAGACTCTCATTGATTTGCCCATAGAAATTTTAAAGTAACTAATAAAAATGCTTAAATTTACAACATAAGTTGCTTGGCCTGTCTTACGAAGAAGTATACGAGGAAGTTTCTTAACTGTTACTTCACTGTTGCTAAATTTTGGTTTTAAAAGGTGAATACTGGCTCCAAGAAGTGCTTGAAAAAAGGCTTAGGTGATACGAATAGAATATAGTAGGAAAAAAAAATGCTGAAATGAAGAGAATCATGAGAATCACAAAGAGGCCTGGGATATTTTCCACAAGATATGGCTGTGTTTGGAAACCATTTTCACGGGGCCAAGATTTTGCAGTTTAAAACCACAGTTGAGTTTTTTCCAGTTGCACGGTCATTGTTTATATAAATCCCTATAATAATTTGCTAAATGCTATACGAATCGAGTGAATGAATTGTAGTGAATTTATACTGCTTGCATAATTTCTGCAGGAGATTTCTGAGATTTCAGCAGGAGAACTGCAAAATTTCACAGTAAAATTAAAGTATTATCGGATCACTGAATTTGAATTTATTTGCTTTCGCTCAAAGAGGCCATTTATACGATGATTTTAATCGTTACGGACAATTAACAAGGTACAAGTGGAGTTCCAACAAGATATTCGTTATTTTCGATAAGTTCTATCAAATTTATCTTTTACTGAACGTTCATCAAAAGTGAAGAAGAATGTAAAAAATCCAACAACAACGATTTTCAGAGTGGTAATAACTACTTGTGGTGATTTATTACAATATAAGCCACTTTTCTATCAAAGTAGAAATATTGAAAAAATCGTGACACCAAAAAAGAGGAGTCACGTCACATAGATGACTTCACCTTAGGGAATCAAGTTAAGACACAAAAGCTCTTAGTCGGCAGTACCATGCGGATGACAGGTTTGCTTTTGTCAGGAAATCATGAGATCGAATCTTTGAAGCACTTCGCGCACTAAAGCAATCTTTCTACTCGGCTATCCTAACCTTTAAAATATAATATAAATATAAGAAATGTGTGCCAGATTTTTGCAAAAAGATTTTATGCGTTGGATAAATTGGCGATCTTGCTTGCAAAAATTAACCGACAAAAAATGTGGCACGAATATGAAATTTTTCATAATCAGTCGCCAATATACTGGAAAACTTACTCAATCACTACCAAACGCTATTTCTTATCTCCACGAGGAGCCGAGTTCGAGGATGATTGTGAGCAGGCACACTGGCAGCCGAGTTCGAGGATGATTGTGAGCAGGCACACTGGCAGCCGAGTTCGAGGATGATTGTGAGCAGGCATACGGGGAACCGAGGTTGAGGATGAGCAGGCACACTGGCAGCCGAGTTCGAGGATGATTGTGAGCAGGCACACTGGCAGCCGAGTTCGAGGATGATTGTGAGCAGGCACACTGGCAGCCGAGTTCGAGGATGATTGTGAGCAGGCACACTGGCAGCCGAGTTCGAGGATGATTGTGAGCAGGCACACTGGCAGCCGAGTTCGAGGATGATTGTGAGCAGGCACACTGGCAGCCGAGTTCGAGGATGATTGTGAGCAGGCACACTGGCAGCCGAGTTCGAGGATGATTGTGAGCAGGCACACTGGCAGCCGAGTTCGAGGATGATTGTGAGCAGGCACACTGGCAGCCGAGTTCGAGGATGATTGTGAGCAGGCACACGGGGAACCGAGGTTGAGGATGATTTTAAACACGCACAAGCCGAGGTTAATGTTAGAGTTAATGGTTATTTATTAGATATCCCAGTGGTGCAGCGCCAATGTTTCTGATTTGTGATACGGTGGTAGAATTATAGATTAATAGAGGTGCAAAATGGTGAGCTACGGATCTGCCAAGGGAAAATACAGAGATTGAGGTAGTGGAACTAATTATATTTAGCAACCAGGCAGAAAATATAAGTACATTTTCTAGCATCACACAGTTAGTAAGTACCATCGATTAACAATTAATGGCCAAAATCTTAAGCGGTGCCAGCTGGCCATCCATTTGAAGGGCGTTGGCCGCGTTTCGTTTTATGTCTTATTTTCCTCGTTTTAAATTGGAACTAGCGGTGATTTTTTCTTTTTAGATTATTTTTCAAGGGGGAGGTATTTTTTTCATTTGCAATCGTAGATATTAATTTACTGTTGAAAAAAAATTTCGACCTTAAATTATTCATCTATAGCGTCGCCCATTGGCTTGTTTGGCAGTTATCGACTTTATTCCGACAATAATTTCCCGGAAAATTACTCCATAGATCCCGCATCCGTCGTGGATTTATTACTTATTTCGAATTACAACACTCGGTAACAGCCAATAAGTATAATTAAGGAGCACTACGAGGCACACGCGAGCAATTGACTTATGAAGCATTCATCGAAGTGAAAAAACAGTATTCTCAGAATCCGCAAATTGTAATTATTATTAGTGAACAGTTGCAAAGAACTGGGTTGACTGCTTATCACGATTGATTGATTGATATAGAATTAGTTGATCATTCTTACAAACATTGGAATAAGCCAAATCAGAAATGGCAGAAGGAGATAATGATGTTGCTAAACGAGGGTCCATTAGGCCATTACGGCCATTCTATATTTATTGTCAGACACTTAAATGATCATTTATTTTCAGATGAGATGCAAGCTGCTTCATTAGTACGAAGAATAAACGAAGTGAGAGATCGCTCTCAAATTATTTCCATCCTCAATGATATCTTTGCGGTTAATTTTAGTTAATTTATTTGAAATTTGTTGATTTATAAATAAACTTCTGCAATGCTGAGAATCCATGAGGCTGCTGGCCAAGAGGTCACTTCGTAATAAAACCAATAAAATCGGCCAAACCAGAATTGGCGGATTTCGTCGTCAGAACGAAGACGAGGAAGAAAAATTCGTCAAAATTAATGATTTTACTAGTTTTTTCCATGCTTTATTCGGATAGACAATATTTATTTAGTTTAAATTTAAATTAATGAATTCCAGGTTGTGTCTGATGAAAGCACAAGTACAATCTTACGAACTGCAATTTTACAAGCATTAATTGAAAATTTTAAGCCTTCATTTATTGGTGAATTTTTTTTTTTCATCTTTATTATTTGCAGTTTTAGCAAAGATTTTTGAAGAAATTGCAGTTTTTTAATTTAATCGCGTAAAATCACAAATAAGAAAGCTGAAAAGCTTTTTATTTGCTATAATTAATTAATTTGATTAATTTTAATTGATAAAAAGTTTGCATAGTGAATTCCTTTCATTTTAGGCCTTTTGACATTCAATGAAATCACCAAACGTTTAGGAAAAATATTCACCGCTTCGCCTATTGAAGATTCAATTATTTTACTTATGAATTCGCTGCGAAATTGTAACAGAGATAATCTTTGGTATACTTTAACAATACTTCTTCACGTTGAAGAAAATGGACTTAGTAAACTTCTATGCAAAAGTCTTTCAAAAGATCCGTCAGATGGTTAGTTGGTTTGATAATCTCATTGCTATTCAGTTCTATCTTGATTTAGATGCTGCTTTTATATAAAAATATTTTAAATATTATTTCTTTTATCCTTTTTTTTCTAATAGCAGTCTAAGGTTGAGTTTCTTTCTCCAGAGAGTCAGTTGGGGATAGAAGTGCAAATGAGTCTCCATCTGATTTAATTGTAGTCCTACTGTCTCGTCAAGAGGTGGAAATTGAACCTTTGATGCTTATCCTCGGTCGGAGCAAAGATTTTTTTAATCTGGCTACATTAAATTTAAATTTACATTACGTTTAAATTTAAATAAGTGAATGGCTGTTTTTAAATTTTTAAATTGAAAATATCAATTGTTGTTATTTTGCTCAGTTCATTTCATTCGATAAATTTCTGGATTATTTAATAAATAAAATGGATAATGTTGAAGTGGTGCTAACAATAGTGCATAATCTATTAAAAAATTTTATTGCAGTTCATTGGTCATCACTCGTTTCCGAATTATCCGTTTCTTTTAAACATTTTCCTGACGTGTTACATAATTTTTCTGGTGAAATCACGACACCTTATTCGGTGAAAAATATTATAATTTGCATATTTTTTTTCACAGGGCTCATCGCATAGTTTCATTTGGTTGTTTTCATATCTTTAGCTCATTTCATAATCTTTTCACCTTTTCAGCTTCCTTAACATAATTCGTAAATTAAAAAGGCCGAAATGCTGGCTTTTTTTAAAAGTCTTTCATTCGTTCTTAGATTTCTAAATGTATATGCACTAAAAGTCATGAGAAAGATAAAAATATTTTAGAAGGATAAGGACGATAAATATAAATCATTGTCAAAATTTCTTTCGAATCATTGGTCTTGCTTAAGTCAGTCCATGAAAATTGCACTTAATCGTGCAAAAGAAATGTGTGATAATTCTGAAGATGTCAATTTGCGTTTGCTTACTGCATTGGTGCCTACAATACTTTCTAATCTCAAAGTTTGCCAATTAATATTTTTCGTTTTTGTTGATATTTGTTTACTTATTTTATTTTTTAATCCTATTTTTATTCTATATTTTTATAATATTACCGAATGGTTTTAATGAAAAATTGCTGAATTTAATTTGAAAATTTAGAAATTTAGATATTTAGTAGCTTTATCGATTGGCTTGAAAATTATCCATCTTCTATTACTTGGGAGCACTTATCGGCTAAGCTTCTATCCGATACGGCAAATGGTATTTTATTTGCTGAAAAACTCGTTCAAAATGTTGTGATATGTACCAAAAATGGAAGATCTCTTCATGTATTGTTTATTGCAGTTTAGATTGTTTAGAAATGTATAGATTGTTTTATTTTATTTTCACACCAAATTTCCCAATTTCCAAGCGTTTATTTTCATGTGGTCTCTATTTATTTTATTCCTTTCAAATATTTTATTCAGAAACTATTTGGGGATGAAATTGTCAATTCTCGTATCATTAAGCGAACCATTTTTCACAAAATGTTATTGATAAGAGTCTATGATCAAAAGGACAACATTCCGAAGAAACTGGCACAATGTTTGAAAATCGGCAACATGAATGGAACCAGTATGGTTCTATCATTATGGTTTTATTGTGCAATTTTTCCAAATTTTTTTCTAAAAATTTAATTTAAAATTTAATCTTAATTCATTTGTAAATGAATTTATATTAAAATTCATAATTTTTCAAATTAAATTCAATTCAAAATTCAAATCAATATAATTCATTTGAATTCAATATAATTCATATATCAAAAGGTTTTGAGTGCTAAATATTGTAGGTAATGATGCATGGAATGTGTTACACATTGAGACTATACATAATTTATTAGACGCTTGGGCTGATACAGCACATATATTGCACTCATCTGATGAACAGCGTACTTATGTTGCAATTGCTTTATTATATTTTGTTAAATATGCTAGGTACCTTTCCATTGTGTTCTATTTTTTAGTATTTTTTTTAGTATTTTTGGCCAGAATCAAATATATATATATATATATATGTACATATTTAGCGAACATATTCGGTCTCTCATAGGACAAAAGGTGAGTGATGCAGTTTTGGCTGGCGTTGAAACTCACCTGAAATGTATAGATTGCAAACGACGTTTCCGTGGATTGTACGTTGCTGGTAATTATTATTCCCTGTTATTGGCCTAATGTAGTCGAAATTTTGTTGCCCAATTGTAAACAATTTTCTTTCTCGCCTTCTCAGTAAATTACTTGTTCCTGATTAGATTATTTAGTTATTTCTCTTTACGACTATCTTTTTGAATATTATTTTTAAAAAAATTTGCCTTCCATTTTTCAGAGTTATTACTTGGGTGGCTATCTATTGGAGATTTACATTTTGATTATCCAGCGAATATTGAGGATGATCTGTCTGATCTCCGAAAAATAGATCAAGAAAATATTAATGATATTAATGATACTCGAGAAGTGAATGAAACAAACTTCCAAACAACAACTGAAACTGCTCCAATAGAATCTGATTTAGCGAAAGAAGCTGTTGAACCAACAGTTCGTTCGGATACGCTTGATAGTGATGATGACGATGATTTTCCTCACTATCAATTACCAGAAAGAGAACTTCATCCAAAAATTGTAATTTTCAAAGAGTTTGTTTCTGAAGTTTTTTTTTCATTTGCTATCTAGTTTTCTTTTTTTGTTTAATTTTGTCTTGTAGATGTCAGATGACGATTTATATGTTCCAATCGAAAATCGTGTTAATCCTCCCAAATATATTCGTGATTGCTGCGAAATGCTGAACGAAAAAGAAAACTACGCCAAATTTGAAGTTGCTTTCAACACACTGAACCAATTAATTAGGTTAATATTCTCTATATATCTTATTATTTTTAATTGGTTATTACTTAAAATAATGGTAAAAAGTGGTAGTAATTTTTTAGTTTATTTCTCAATTATTTGATAATCTCGTTTATTTCAAATGAATTATTTCGTGCCATATTTTTTGTTTTTATAGACGTAGAGTTGTGGCTTATGATGAAATTGCAGAAAATTTAATAATACGACTAATTAACCTTTCTGATAATTTCAAAACACCTGATTTCGAGGTAATTCTGTTTTACATGTTTTTTTTTTTTTAAATACACTTTTCGTCTTTGATATTTTTATATTTGATGATATTGTCTGGTAAATTTAGGTGAAACGTCAAGAAATGATTGTTTCATGTCTGGTAATGAGTCCCCAACTGGCTAGCATTGCTATCAGTACGATGTATTCAAGAAAGTAAAGTTTTTAACAAAATTCTTTTCTTGTTGAAGCTAATGTTGTAATTTTGTAATGCTTTGTTTCTTATGTTTCCACTATATAATCTTTTTTCTACTAAAATATTCTTTCTCGAAGTGTAAAATTATCTGTATATTAATGCTTTACAATTTAAATTTTTTTTTTTTAAATTCGTCATAAATGTGATTCCTTTTAATGTTTATTTATTTTCGCATTTTAGTTGCTGTATGTATAATCGGTTCGTAATATTAGAATCTTTATCTGCCGCTGCAACAGAATTGTCAAATCCTCCTTCGTCATCTAAATCTCATATTGTCGATTCTAAGCCATTAGGTTAGTTATTTTTTTTTGAACAATGAATTTTCATGAATTTTTTTGCATTTTATATATTTAGGATAGTATGGCTTTTAAGGCAAAATTATTTTGGAAAAAAGTACGATTTCCTTATAGTCAACATCGAGACATCATGGAGGCAAATCATTGATGAAAGAATCAAAGCTAAGTCTCGCCACTTTCGTAGTGCCACATCGGAGTCGAATCCAGTCAAAAATCGTTTCGCGAATCTGGCCAAAGTTTTCTTTTATCCGTTAACAGTAATGGAGCAACATCGCGAACATCTTGATTTACTGGTTTTTTTACAATTAATTTTTTTAAATTTTTTATCGAAAAAACCTACTGCACTTACAGTCAAAAATGTTATATTTTAAAAGCTATGGATTGAAATTTTCGATTTTATGACTCAATGATTCAATTCATAATCACTTTACCTATAATATCACTAATATTATATATTATACTATAAATGTAAATATTATACTATAATATTATAAAGTTTTTCAGAATATTGACTATATGCTTCTAGCAAAAATTTTATTTACTCTTGGTCATATATTGCAGTGTGCAAAAAACTGTACTTGTGCTCCGAATATGGCGAGGTCTTTTTTTTATTAATAGAAAATAAATTTTAATTTATAAATTAATAAAAAAAAATGAAAATTGGAGAAAATTTATATATCATTAACTATTAAACTATTAAAATTAAAATTAACATTGTGACTTATTAAAAATTATGAGGGAATTTTTTGGTAGGTCTTTTGCTATTATGCGACAAATTTACAGCAGTGTATAAAATATCCGAAGATTTACAGTTCAGTTATCTTTTTGACTATAGTGATTCGGCTTATGCTTCTCATAAGAGTCATTATTATCTGTCAATAAAAAGTCCAGATAATGCATATACATCTATCGTTAAGTTACTGCCGAGCAAAAGTTTCTAGCTGTACTTACGGAATAAGCATAACACCTGGAAATAGTGTGAACATTTACTGAAATAATTGGTAACAAATCATGGCCATCATGAACGGCCTGGTATAATCAGAATTTTAATTCATATTATCGGTATTTTAGCACACTGGTTGAATATTTAAGACCATTACGTTATCACGAACAATGTTCTGTGCGGCAATCAGTTTTGTTTTGTTATTGTTCTATATGCTTATCATTGACTAGCAGTGTTCTTTTGGAATTATTTACAAGTAAATCATTTTTTAAATTTTCTTATTCTTGACCAATGGTGGAAGTTAATTTTGGTATTATTTGGATTAATTATTTATTTAATATTTTTTAATAATAATGATTGGAGTAATAAATGAAGATAATTACATAATTGCGAAAGAAATTTTTATTCTCAGTTGACCTTATTTATTTATTAACAAATAAATGGGACTTTGCGCTCTTTTCCAGCTACAAATTTGCCATATTTAATTTCCTTATATTTTTTTCCTCATTTATTTTTTCTATATGAATGAAAAGCAAAATATTTTGCTTGGAATTGGAAAATTTTTACCGATTGGTTCAATTATTTAAAAAAAGTCAATCATTTAATCACATTATATGTATCACTTAGTTTCAAATATCGTAATTATGTAACAAAATTGGCTCATGTTTTTTTGCTTTGATCGTCTCATTTCATTTCTTTATGATATTTGAACTGCAAAGTTGAAGTAAGAAACCAAAAAAATGTTTCAGATTCTTTACACGACTGGATGGATTATGCACAAAAAATGGCTGATAATGATCCAAGCAAAGAATGCCGAGAATTGGCATTAATCACCGGAAAATGCATATTTGAGCAGTTGAATAGTGGTGGCGCATAATTAGGATTATTGTTTTTTTAAATATTATTGATCATTTCTTTCTTCGATCTTTCAAAAAATCATTTTTAAAACTTAGGTCTTAAAAGGAATAATTTATGAATTTCTTGAAAAATTTCTTCCTTTCTTTTCCGGAAAATAGGAAAGATTATTCAGTTGCTGAATTGAAACTCGCCAAATTTTGCAAAAAAAAGATATAACGAATATAAATAATCAGTATTTGCATGCTATAAGGTTTGAACCACATGTATATATTTCTATTTCTTATTTTTGTCTCATTTCCTGTGTGCTTTTTGCAGTGCTATCGCACCTGAGGAAAAAAATGTTTAAAGATATAAAAAGAAATAGAAGGAATCACGAGAAGTAAAATTTGGCGTGCAACCGTAGGAACAGAAAAATAGAAGGAATCACGAGCAGTAAAATTTGGCGTGGAACCGTAGGAACAGAAATTAGTCAGTCACTTCTTAGTTAAATGTGTGTACTTATAAATTACGTAGTAAACCATATGATATTGCCTAAAACTAAAACGGAAAAAGCGCCGCCAGGTGTCATCTCAACAATTCTTATTTTGTCTTGGGGCATTAAGATTTGAGAATGGCGGACTATTCTTTGAATTTCTTCGGCAAATATGGGGTTGTATGGGTTCCAAGTTTTAACATAGTTTGCCATTAAATATAAAATTCGCTTTCTAAAGTTCTATTGGTCTGAAATAGAATGTGCTTGGTAACATGCTTTGTTATTTTTTATTTCTTTTTGCTATATCAAATTGTTTATGCCAAAATGTTGCAATCAACTGCGACAAAATCCATTCTTCGAAAAATTAAAATAAGTTAGAACCAAATGTTTCTTAATAAAATTAATAGCTATTTCTTGTTAGAAGTAAAATCCTATTTTTTGGCTGTTTTCTGGCTTTTTATTCGTCTTCAACTATCTTCTTGTTGGATTAATTCGTGGTTGATTATTTGCCCACAAATGGGCACCAATAATTGTTGAAAATCGCTAAGTTGAATGATTTCCAAATCACCAATTTGCAAAATGAGCAGCACCGCCCAGTGGATACGATAATATAGGAAACAAAGATAGGTGCTATTATAACATCCCTTATCAAAATTTTATTGGTGCTAATGGTTCTGAAGTGGCAAATACTTTAATGCATTTCTTTTCATTTAATAACCAAATTATTATTTTGATATTTCGCGGTTCATTATGGATCCTTATTAATTTTATTGAATCATTTTATTTATTATGAATATTTATTTGGTTCAAACTGTAAACTGGCAAATCGGTTGTTGCATTTTTTTTACCATTATTTATTTACTGTTTGCTGTTTTGTTCACTATTATTGAGAAGTAGTGATTAGTGATTCAGGTTGAAAGATAACAATTCGGCTTTTACTCTCAATAGAAATCAAATTATCAGTTAAAGAGAAATCGAATGATTTTGGTGTCCTATGTATATCTCCTTTGTCGAAGGAACTTCCTGGCAAAAATTTTTAACCAGCACCGTCGATGAAGCTAGCATTAATCATTTTTTTATTTCATTTTACTGTAATTATTACTGTCATTATTACTCAAATTGTATTATTCTTTATATCGTCCATTGTTTCGCAGTGTATTAATAAAAATATTCATAAATCGAAATCGTAAATATCAAGCGAAGTCTTCTAATGGTTTTCAAAATTCCGGACGGACGGATGGCAGACTGGCAAATTGGATCTTAGGAAATTAGGAATGCTCAAAGCACTGATTTTAAAATATTTTCATACTGGCGTATTCGGCGAAGAAGTTGCCATTCTTTGCAAAAAATTGTAGTATCGTCTATGAATATTATTGAGAACCAAAGCTACCATTTATTTCGAAGTGCTTAAGGGTCAGTGCATAATTCAATTAATTGCGAATTATTTCCATTCATCATTGTTTATCTTATCTGTTATCCCATTTCGTTTTGGAGCGGTGGTGTTCTAGAGAAAAAATATGTCAAAACAAACATGATAATAGATAAGGCAGGAGGAATTAGGCCGATTTTATGCACAAAGAAGATGTTGGATTTAAGTTCCCAACTGCTTTTAAAAATTTTCTTCAGTTTGGCCATCCATTTATTACTTAAGTAATGCCCATCACCGTATTGATAAAACGATAGGAATGAAGAAGTGTGGCTTAAGATCTCTTAGAAGTAATGTAATCCACTGGCATTGGAATCGTAGCCATTGTCAGAGCAATTCGATTAGCATTTTTAAGATGGTTTTTGATGAAGAAATACGTTCGAGCATCGTATTTCAGCTGATTTTAAAGATGACGAGCACTAATCGGTTGTATTCATGCTATACCCATAAATTTTTATGAATTTTTATGAATTTTAGCATTTCGCGAGTTTTGATAGTCGCAATTAACTAGTATAGCGATTCTTAAAGTGAGCCACTAGGCTCTTAGAGATCTCCGAGATACTTACTTATAAGTTCGCGAAGTTAAAATTAATTTCACAATAATAAAGCGCTATTTTTTTTGTCATAGCTATTGATAAAATTATTGCAAGGTAATGAGTCTATCATTATTATCACTAAATATATCATTGAATTGAAATATTTTAATAAATATAATTATTAATTATTTTAAAAAATTCTTAGTTTTTATTTGCAAGCAAATAGTAATTTTTAAATAAATTTGTAAATTAGTTCAGAGGGAAGCAAAAATTTCGAAAACTACTGGGCTAAAGGATCGGGAAAGAATTTTACTATGCATTTAGCTTTAGGAAGAATTTTATCGAAATTCTCTTCAGCCAGAATTATTGTGATAAAGCACTGTTAAGGAATGCTATTTCTAATTTATTTATATCATTTATTTGTGGAAATTCTATTAAAATTTCCTCATAAACTATATTATTTAGGTTTGCCATATTACTTTAATACAAATAATTATTACAATAAATAAATTATAATAAAAAAAAAATTTATAAATATTAACTCTGTCAGATATTAATTTAATAAATTTGAATATAACACACTAAATTTAAATTTAAATTAAATAAATTTTAATAATTTTAATAAGTAAATTGAGTAAATTTAAATTTTCTTAAGCAAATCGAGTTAACGATTCTTTTTTTCGGCTTTTCAAGGGAAAAATTAAAGCAAATTTGAGAATTTACAATAAAATTGGTGCAAAACAAGCGGAATACTGTAATCGACAGAACAGTATAAAATAGTACTTTTTTGTGTTAAGTCTCTTAAGCTTTCACCAGTTTTTAGGTCTTCTCGGTTCTTAGATCAATGGGTTTGGAACGGAATTTAACCATAGGCCACCAGGATCACTCGTATTTCGCGAAGGGTTCATTCACATTGAGCACATTGCCTCATCATTGCCTTGCCTTTGGCATCATTGCCTTTCAGCAATAATTTTGCAATAGCAATATTTACTACTTTTGGAACATCCGATTTAAGATTTTTGCCTGTTTTTTCTATTTTTATTATATTTTTATCATAAATTCATAAATCTTAAAAAATAAATTGTCCAATTTATTTTTTAGTTTAATTTAACAAATTCAATTTATTGTTTTTAAAATTTCACTCGAAAGTCGATCGCAGATGATTCTCAATTAGTCGAACTATTGCTAAAACGATAAGCGCTATCAAGATTGACCCTAAGCGGGGATTCGAATTCACCCCAACGCAAAGTTGATCATTCATAAATCTGCGATTGGCATTTGCAGTTAATCATTCATTCTCCAAATCGAATAGTTCATTTTTATTTTTCGATATTTTATCATTTTTTATCGAATATGATTAGCTGATTTGCGAAATTTTTTAATTTTTTTGACTTTTTTGACTTTTTAATTTTAATTAAAATAATTTTAATTAATATTTTTGATTAATTTAATTTTTTTAATTTTAAATCTTATCTGAAAGTTTTTATTTTCATCGTTAATTTTTTCCATTGTTAAACTTTTTGAAAGAGAATTTCTTTTAATTCACGGAAAAATAATTTTAATCGTTCAAATTTAGTTGATAAATTGAAAAAGAATCGAATGGCATGTGAAAGTGGTCGAGAAGGCTTTGACTGAAGCTAAACTATAACAGTTTGAGCCAGTGAAATTCCGATGGCGTTTTCGATCCCATCGTTTCCGTCATTTCTATCCGCTCATAGCTAGTAGAGTTACCTGAACCAGAAATCATGAGAACTGCTAGAAATAATCACTGTGGCGAATAATTGCTCTGTTGAGGTGTTGAGATTGATAAGTTCAACCAATCAACTAAGCATTCGGATGACAATGATTACATTACCGTAGGCATATAACTTTTTTTCCAATGTTTGCAGGCCAGACAAATATTTTTCGCTGGAAAAGTGAAGAATAATGATGCTTATAACGCATCTATCAAAGCCTTACTGTTAACCACTTCTGGTTAGACGAGTTCTGGTACTAGAAATTTTTGTCAATTGCTGATAAGTGAGATCGCTAGTGTCCTTAAATCTTTTACGTTAACTATTACTCAAAAAAATATTTCTCTGCTATTTTTAGGTTTTTTCCCTAAGCCATACACATCTTAAAATATAACTAGGAGATCGATGCTCTTCCGATTTAATTTGCTACAAATTTAATCGTTAAATATTTACGTATAATACCGAAATGACTATTAACAACGATTGCAAAAATTTTCTACAGAGAATTTTCTATTTCTCGCCGCATAAAATATATTAAATTATTTTTTTCTGCAAAATCAATGCTAAAAATGGTGAACGAATTGTCCTATTGGTTCAAAGGTCAAGCAATGAATTGGCTATTTAATGGCACATAGTGAATTAAAACAGAAATATGATCCACTTGATAGGCACTTATTTTGAAAAAACTCTAATGAAGCTTACACTATTCTTCTACAGAATACTTTGCACTATAATTTTTTTCTGATAAGATTTCCGTACATTTAGAAATCTCGTCGTATATAGAACGATAATTGGAAAATATTTCACTTATTCCACTAACAACTGTTCAATTTGCTAATTAATTTGCGCTAAGAATATGAAGTTTAAGCTGGACAAATACATCTTCTAATATACTCAAAACGACTTGGTTAAGCGCATAATTTAATGTTTTGTGATGGCGTGAATGGTATATTTGTCTTGATTTACCTTATATGAGATCAAGTATAATGAGTTCGAGCTTTATGCTCATTGAACCTGAAACTGAAAAACTTAATTCTTGTGGTACTGGGAGATTACCTATAATAAACGCAAGTCATTCTTACGAAAGGCCCCCATCGCCTTAATTGTAGAGCGAGAAATTGCTAAGTTGGTAGAAGAAGAAAAGGAAACATAGCCTACAGTATTATTAGATTCATTCATTACTTGTCCTTGATTTTATTTGATAATTCATAATAATTTTATTTACATTTCTATTTGGAAATTTTTATAAAAATTTTTATCTATTAGCTCTTTAATTTTCAATATTAATAAAATTGCTTTTTTTTATAAATATTATTATTGTTTTATATTGTTTTTGCTAAGATCAATCATTTTGGCCCTAAGGAATAGAATGGCTGAGTGGGTTGTTGCTCGATTCGGAGCACCGATGCTGAGGTTCGATTCTTTGCAGGAGTAAATGTTTATCTCAAAACTGCCAAAAAATTTTATGGTTTATGATTTAATTTAATTTCTTTCTCGATCTTCTGTAGTCGTTTTTTGGTAGATTTTTTCACAAATATTTGTTCTTACTCATTTATCTCATTTATATTTTTTTATTTATTTATATTTTACAATTAAGGATCCATAAAAACAAAATTTTGGTGATTTTCCAGTTTATATTTTTCTATTAACTTTTAACAAAATTTGCTAAAATTTACTGAATTATTGCTAAAAATGCAGAAAGGAAATAATAAAAATTATTACAAAATTGCAATAAAATAAATGAATTTTCAGGCCATCTCTGCCGAAAGGTGGCAAATATAGGAAGTGCTTATCATTTATGTCTTATGCTGGCCTTCCTATCTCATTTGATTCTCCTACAAGCTCGTCCGTGCAAAACTTTAGTTATACACAGCCTCATCTCGCGAATAAAATTGTCTTTTCTGGCCAAAAACCTTCAGATGAGTTTATAACTGATGCTCCTAGACAAACTAATTGGCCTAGTTTCTATCGTTAGTTTCATATGCCTATTATTAAATAGTTTAAAGCTTATTCAGTGCGTTTTTATCTTTTTGGAGATTTCTAAGAAAGCAATCAAATTCTACCATAAATCTTTTTTAAATTATTTAATGAAACTGTGAAAAACTTAGCAGTCGACAAAACTGGGATATTTCTTTCAGGATGGCAGAATCCATCCACAAGTAACACAGGTAACGAGTTTTTAAACAGTTTCGTGCAAGCACCCGTCAGCGAAGAAAACATTATGTCCCAATTCTGCTGTACATCAAATACCAATTTCTCCAATTATCCTCAGCAAACTGCCATGAATTTTTATCAAAAACCTTATTTTTGGAATCAAACGTATGTTTCACTGATAAGACGAATTTTTGATAGATGTTACCGCCCTATTCGAAACTGGATAGAATGAATGATCGAGTTGTTTTGCCCAAGGTCAATTGGCTCCTGTCCCTCAATTGAGGAAAATGAACTTATCAGTTAAAATGCTGATAAAGCTGGCGATTTATCTAAATTTCTGCCTCCAACCGATTTTAGGCTTTGCAAAAGGTCCCATTCAACCAATTAGTGGAATCAACCAAGCCAGCTAGTGCTATTAGGAAGACCGTAATCTTTGTAATAGATTCATACCTTAAATTCATTTTTTTTTTCTCTTAACCGATTCTTATCAGATTTCATTCCAATTATCAGAAAATTTGGACAGTTATGATTAATTAATTTGTTTACTACTAATTGATTCTAATGAATTGTGAAATTGTGACCAAACTGTTTTACATTTGCAAAATTGAGAGAATTCCTTATTCTAAAAAGGTCTATTATTGACCTCTATAAGATAAAATAATAAGTGAGCTGCTTCGCTTTCAGGCAATACCAATCATCTCTCCACAAACAGGCAAGTCTTGTTCCACTGGCTCAGGAGCTGCAAGTAAATAGGAGCATTGCTAGCGTACACAAATCAAATATATCTCAAATATCTTTTCAAGAGAACGAAAATAATCTCGCAGTAAATACACAAATTCGACAACACTATTACCAACAACCACCAGATTTCACGTATGGAAATACTAGTACAGTGATATCAACGACTCCCATGCAACAGCAATATTATCATTCACAGGCGACAAATTTTGCTCAGCCATTTATTAATTCTCCGGTTATCTATTATTATCAGTTCGCTTAAGTTATAATAAACTTATCAGATTGTTATCAATTATTTTCAGTATAATATTCTTTATATTCCAAAATTATACGCAGAAAATTACCACATTCCCATGAAATTTAACGAAAACTTTGGCATTTTTTCTTAATTCCTTTACTTTTAATCCCATAAAAAACTTATATAACAATATAAATGTACAGCGCTATCCGACACAATCATCGCAAACGAATAGAGAATACAGAGATTCGGAATCAGTTGCGCAGAAAACTGTTTCAGTACCATGGTGGACGCTTCGCAATCGGATTAAGGCATATACTATATTTACTGGCTCGATTGTTAATTTTAAAAATAATTTCCAAATTTCTCGGTCTTTAACTTAAATATTACGAAGGAGTTCGAATTTCACTTCACCGCTCATTGCTCATTTTTCGGTTTTTTGCTAAAATGAGAAAATGGGCACCAAAATAATTGCATATTTTATGAAATATTAATAAATTTTTTTTTAAAATAAATTTTAATAAATTTATTTTTATTCCACTGTTAGAATTATTTGATAACGTTTTTCATCATTAAAATCAAAATTAAATTTATCAAATTCTTAGATGAAAATTGATCGAAGAAAGGGTGAACGGCGATGTTGTAACTGTGGATGCACCGAAACGACATTATGGAGAACGAATTATGAGACTGGAAAATATGAGTGCAAGTCAGGTTTCCTCTTAACTTATAGCAATTTCAGGCTCTTTCGGTTCTTCTAAACGCAAATTCTAATTTGCCCATATGTCCTTAGCAAGTTCTTCTATACGTAACTATTTAAGAAGATAAAAAATTTCGCAATTTGTCCAACGGAAATCGATTATTACAGATTCAGTTAGTGATAAATAGTGATAATATCACAATTTCATGAAATTTATTCAGTAAATTTATCACTTAGATTCGTAAAATGAAATTCCATTTCAGTGCGTGTAATTTGTATCGTGTAAAAAACGGTCAAAAGCGCCGAGTTAATGGACCACCTTATCAACCAATTCAAAGGCGAAAACGTGCCAAACGATCACATCTGCTTACGCTCAATACGAACTGAAATCAATCAAAAATTATTGGCCTTAAAAATTTTTGTACCGTTTTTTTTTATATATTTTTTTAAAATATTTTTTAATGTTTTATTCCACATTTTTAAAATATTTTTTAATATTTCTATTTTAATATTTATAATATTTTATAATTTTTATGTAATTTTAATGATAATTTCTAACAATTAATTATATTTTTTTAATATAAAATAATAAAATAATTTATAATTTTATAAAGCAAAGAAATTCTCCTAAATTTTTAAACAAACTGAAAAAAAAAAAAATTTATAAAAATCGCGAAAATAATGAAAATATATATTTGAAAGATTTAAAATATTTTATATTTTTGCAATTATAAGTTTCTATAAATATTTATTTTAGCTTTTAATATTCTTTTAACGAGTAATTTTTTCCTATTGTTGCATTAATAATGTTCGTTTGTTTTTTCGTTCTTTGTGTTTTCCTTGTTTGATTGCTTTATAAGTGGTAAATATTTCATATCATATCAATTATCAGTGATTATTTCGATTTATTTCGTTGATAATTAATATTTGATTTGAATAAAAATATTCGCCATTTCCATAATTATTTTACGTTAAAACTGGAACTTAAATTTAAAAAATATTAGCAATCTTTTTTTGTTCATTCTTATGTTGGAATGCTTATGTTGGAATTCCCTTTTTTAACTCATCGAACAGCATGCACCATTTCTGAACTGACTGGCTCCACCGGTAACTGAGGTGACAACCTTTCACCATTGAACCACTGTCTGACATAAACGATGCACCAAAATACCACGGCATATACAAATGCACAATTGAATAATCACTCAGTGCTATGAAGATATGTGCAAAACCAGCCGCAAACATTGCGAATCCCCACCCACTAATATGCAGCTTTCATCTGCAAACAAATTTCCGGATCTCGACGAATCTGCATTTTAGAATATGGATTTTAATTTTTCTTGCGGATTTGTCTTATCGGTTTAATTTTTGTATAACTGAGTGGTTTAATTCGAAAGAAATGGGCTTAAAAGTTTTTCGTAAAAATTTTCATAGTTCTTAAACGATATTTAAAATTATAAATTTACGCTTATCGAATTTTTAAATTTTTTTTTAATATTTTAAAAAATATTTCAATAATTTTTTTTAGTAAACCTTTTTTTCTCGTCATTTTTTCATTTTCCAAATTTTTTTCGATTTCATTAATTTTCACTAAATTTATTTTAGCAAAAAAAAAAAAACGAAAAAGGAATATGGCTGCAAGTCAAATGCACGACGATTCGGACGATAATCTTTATCCGATCGCTGTTCTCATCGATGAATTACGAAACGAAGATGTGCAGCTTCGGCTGAACAGCATTCGCAAGTTGTCGACGATTGCACTCGCATTGGGCGTTGAACGCACACGAGGGGAACTTATTCAGTTCCTTACTGGTATGTCGACAGCTTCTCGCTTATCGCATTAATTACTGAGATATCTTTTTCGTCACTTGGGAGGGGGGGGGGGGATAGAAGTGAATTCCACTCGTTTAGGCGTTAACAGGTTCGGCAGACTTACGTCAGTGGACGAGGATTGGCTCGTTGATGGATATTTTGTTTAATAAGTTGTGGCATAATTTTATAATTTCAACAATGTCTTTTTTCTCTTACTGATAGGAAGATTTGTATTTACAGTGCAACAAAACTAGTAATTCTAGTGCAAAACAAAATTTTAATGCAAATTATTTAAAAATCTATATGCAGATACTATTTATGACGAAGATGAAGTACTTTTGGCACTCGCTGAGCAGTTAGGAAATTTTACGCCACTTGTTGGTGGACCGGACTATGTTCATTGTCTTTTGCCACCATTAGAGAATCTCGCCACAGTTGAAGAAACTGTTGTACGCGATAAAGCTGTCGAAAGCTTAAGAAAGATCGCTGACAAGCATTCAAGCGCTGCTTTGGAAGAATTTTTCATTCCTATGCTTCGACGATTAGCGACAGGTATTTTTTCTGTTGGGAACTTTCATTTAATTACTTGATTAGTCTTCTTTTTAATTTTCTTTAATTTTCTCTTTAGTAATGGTTTAATTATTTTATTATTTTTGATTGTTTATTACCCAGTTTTATTTTTTAATTTGATTTGTAATTTTTTAAAAAAGCTGCATAAATAGAAAATAGAAAATTGGCGAAAAATTTTTTCAAATTTAATTTTATTTTCATGTTCTTCCTATTAAATTATATTAATAAAGCAGCACATTATATTAGTTTGGTATTATATATTAAAATTCTATTATAAAATTATTTATTGAAATAACATGAAAGGCTTGTAAACAACTGAAAATGTAAAAAATAATTTAATTTTTAGGAGATTGGTTTACCTCACGAACTTCATCCTGCGGTTTATTTAGTGTTGCTTATCCTCGTGTCAGTCCTGCCATCAAAACAGAATTGCGCAAGTCGGTTTTTAATAATTATTTATTTTTATATATAATGTTTTGTAAATTGCCCTTTGATTAATTATTTTTAACTAATTTAGTTTATTTCGTGCCCTTTGTCGAGATGATACTCCTATGGTTCGACGTGCAGCAGCATCAAAACTGGGTGAATTTGCTAAAGTTTTTGAAGCCGATTATCTGAAGGATGAATTGCTTTCTATGTTCATGGATCTTGCACAGGATGAACAGGTATTGTATTTTTTCTTTATCCAGAATCAAAGCGCTTTTAAACATCATTTTAATACTAATAGTAATACGAATAAAATTCAGAAATTCTTTTTAAATAATTTCGATTGGCGTAATTTTGATTATAACTTAAATAGCCATCGAAATTTTTGTTTGATAGTAATGCTATTAATTATTGCTATTAAATATAAGTAAGTGGTTTTGAAGTGAATTCGTAGGTATATGGATTCCTCCTGCTTCCATCTTCCATTTTAATTTGATTTAATTTTTTAATTCGACCTTAATTTTAAGAATTTTAAAGGATTTTAAAAGACGAGAAAATTAACTTAAAATTTGAATTCGATTAGGATTAATCATAAATTTAATAAAGACTACCCACGGATGAACAAATATTAGCTTTTTTAAAGTCTTTAATTATAATTTTCTCTTTTTATTCTAGGATTCAGTTCGTCTGTGGACTGTCGAAGCTTGTGTTGCTATAGCCTCATTGCTTAATGAGGAACAACGTAAAGAGATGATTAAGCCTGTGCTTATGAATTTAATCGAGGATAAAAGTTGGCGCGTGAGATACACAGTAGCTGAACGTTTTGTTGAAGTACTTTTATTTTATCTGAATTTCTTGAAGTGATTTCTTTAGATCTCTATTTAGCTTTTTCTTATTTAGATGGTAACAATTTTTCCAGATACAAACTGCTGTAGGAAAGGATATTGCAGTTAATGAATTATTACCTTCTTTCAATAATCTCTTGAAGGACGTGGAAAGCGAAGTGCGAAGTGCTGCAGCTTGCAAAATACAAGGTTTATTATTCGTTTTTTCATCTAAGCCTTCCTTAATGATTGTGCATAAATTTTTAATATTTTTCATGGCCTTTTCTCTTTTATAATTTTCCTTTTGTTTTCGTCAATGTTGGCATTATTTCTTTGCTTTAACTTTTTCAGCATTTTGCGCTGCGCTGCCAGCACCTGGTCGCGAAAAATCAATTCTCACTCATGTGTTGCCTGTGGTTAAAGAATTGGTCAGTGATCCTAATCAACATGTTAAAACTGCTTTAGCATCGGTAGTTATGGGTCTCGCTCCCATTCTTGGTAAAGATCTCACTATGGAACATCTTCTTCCGATTTATTTGACTCTTCTTCGTGATGAAACTGCTGAAGTCAGGCTCAATATCATATCATCGTTGGATAAGGTGAATGAAGTTATCGGCGCATCGCAGTTATCTCAGTCACTATTACCAGCGATTGTTGAATTGGCAGAAGATGGTAAATGGCGGGTTCGTCTCGCCATTGTTGAATTCATGCCTCTATTAGCCGCACAACTTGGCCAAGAATTTTTCGATGAAAAACTTCTACCTTTGTGTATGACATGGTTGACAGATCATGTTTACGCAATACGGCAAGCAGCTACAGGCATTTTGAAACAGCTTACAGAAAAGTTTGGGCCAGATTGGGCGATGAAACAAGTTTTGCCAAAAGTAATTGTTTTAGCGAAGGATACAAATTATTTGCACCGTATGACCTGCTTATTCTGCTTTAATACGCTTTGTGAAGCATTGGGCGCTGACCACACTATAAAAGAAATTCTTCCGGTTGTGCAACAGGTTGCTTTTTTTCTTACTTTTTTCTCTGGATTAGGTACCTATGAAAATTATTGAATAAAAAATTTTTCAGTTATTTATATTCCATGTACCTTTGATTAGTGCGGTATAAGATCTGTTAATCTGTATAAATTTTTAAGCTTAGTGACGATCAAGTGCCAAATGTAAGGTTCAATGTGGCAAAAACATTGCTGTATATTGGTCGTATTATAGATCAAAAGTAAGCATTTTCAAAACAGTATATATGCCTCAAAAACTTTTTATTATGTTGGTATAAGTGATTTATTTTATTGTAGTTCTATAAATTCTCAAGTCAAACCACTAATCTCGAAGATGTGCAGTGATGCAGAATTCGATGTAAGATATTTTGCTGATGAAACAAGAATGGGTTTGTTTTTATTATTTTAATGAAAATTTCGTATTGGAAGCTACTTATTTTTTCTAATACATTTTTTTTTTAAATATTACATTAGTTATCGAGATTTTGATTTAGAAAAATTAGCACCAGCTATTTTTATTTCATTCTGAAATCCGTATTATTCATTCGATAAAATTTTCCTTAAATTTAAATTCAACTTTCAAATGGAAATTTTTCATATATACCTCCTTCCGGAAATTTAAACGGCAACCGTCTTCTTTCGATGATATTTCTGCAAACAATTTTATTGAATTGCAGCTTTGAGATTATCTGCTTAAGTCCATTTATTCAAAGGAATTTGTGAAGGAATCATTGTTGAGAAATGGAAAATCACGTAATTATTTTGACAGTGGTTTGAACATTTTTTGAAACTTATCATTGGCGAACTATTTGTTTTAGATGAAGAATTATTTTATATTTACGAAATTGTCTTGTCGTTTTCAGTGATGCTTCTTTATGAATAATTTATCTTAGATATTTCTTTTTTGTTGCATACATTAATTAAATTTTTATGACTCTATGTACGCTTTTCTGTTGAATTTGAATACCAGATTATCGTTGATTTTGATTATGGTGTTTGATGGCGTTCCTTAATGAATTATTTATCATAAGTTTTCTCTAGCTAAATATCGGTTCTGAATCATTTATGCAAAGCTGAAGAGAGTTTTTTAAGAGAATTGCTTAAATTTAGCAAAAAAAATTTATATATTTACTGGCAATTAAAATAAGCATTAAAATAGATTTTATTATTTCCAGTGTATTACTCTATGTTAAATAGTAAAATTTCGCGAAATTCGCTTATAAAAGGCAGTATCGAACGAGAATAATCCAATCAGTCACTAATAATAATCGTAAATAGACAGTACAAAACAAAGTGAGAAAAAGAAAAATTGTCAAAAATGTCAACGGAATTTTTTATTTTTTTATTTATGAACAGATCGTAGAAAGCAGATCGATGGCAAATTCTAGTAAAAAAAAAAAAAAAAAACAATTCACGAGAAAAACAATTCGTCTTATTTTTTAACGGAGAATTTTGAAATTTCATTTAATATATATTTAATAAAACAAAAGTAATCGCAAATTTTAGAAATTTTAGAAAAATTTTGCAGGGAATTCAAAATAATAAAAAATATTTGCCGATGAAATTTGAAATGTGACGATTTATATTTTAACGATTATTGGCAATGATTAACGAATGATTTTGCTAGTAAAATTGGAAAAATTTTAGGCAAATCAGTAAGTAAGTAAGTAATCAGTAAATTGAAATATTAAAGGAAACGGTTGTAAATTTTATTCAAATCAATAAAAAAAAGCAAAGTGGTTTTTATAAAAACAATTTTATCAATTAATTATTAATTTTATTAATTATTTTTATTGTAATGAAAGACGATTTGAATTAATTAATTAAAATAAATTTTTGAAATAAAATTTGTTTGTAAAGCAATTTAAAAGCAAAAATTTTTTAAAATATAATGGAAACGATGCGAATTTTTTGATAATAAACATTATTTTATAATTTCGCGAATTTTTAACATCTAATTTTATAATTTTTTTGAATTTTATAAAAAAATTTTCTCAAAATTGTGAAAAATAAAATTGGAAAACTTAAAAATGATTTAGCAATTAAATATGATAAATGTGATGCATTTTATTGTTGTAAAATTAAAATTTTAAATGAAAGAATTATTACAAAAAAATTATTAAAACTATATTTAAGCATAAAATAAGAGAAAAGATTGCAAATAAGAGAAAAGATTTGTGCAAAATGAGAATTGATAAAAGAAATGAAGAGGCAATTATAATTTTTTTAAAGGATAAAAAACGAATTTATTAATGATAATAAAAATTATTCTGAAAATTATAGGTAAATATAAGCTTTTCGCGAAGGTAAAAACTTTAATGAAACTTGCAATGAGCACAGTGATTTGATTATTGCAATTAATCAGCGAGTTCCACGGTTATCAGTATTATTGTGAAATAAAAGCATCGAATATGTGAGATGAATTTCAATTATAAAAAATTGCAAACAATTTTTGATTCATTAATTTTTGCTGAATCTCTAAAATAATAAATAAATTTTCAATAAAATAGTAAATAAAAATAAAGAATTATCAAGGCGTTCGAAAATTTATACGAAATTAGTTTTTTATTAATATTTACTTACTTAATAACTTTGTAAACGCCTGGAGAATGTTTTATAGTTTGGATAGCCGGAATATCTGGAAGCGTATGAAAAATCTCCACGCGCTGAAGCGGAACCAAGATTGATCTCTTTCTCTCGACGTGACTGCCAAGTTGTTGGGCTTAGCCAATACCTTAATGAAATATTAAAGGTCAACCAACATCTTCTATCGCCAAGAGATTCCCTGGCATATTTGTTCAGTGCGACAAGCCAGTTTAATCAATAATGGTGAGGATTCTTAGAAAAGAAAGAAATTTCAGATGGATGAAATTAGAAATTAGTCACATGAAATAAATTATTCCGGATAGATACGAAAAACTTTACTGCAACATTTCGTAATAAATAGTAAATGCAAAAATCTAAATAATTTCAAGATGCACTTTTATGTCCAAGCGACCCACTCGCGAAAATTTCGCTTCCACTGGAGCGAACCTAACCAGAAATGGTGAGAACTAATCACCAGCCAAATACTTGTCACAATTCTATTAACCCAAATACTTGTCACAATTCTATTAACCGAGCCAAATAGGATTATTAAAAAAATAATTTTTTTTACTTAGAAAGCGTCCCAACAGTCATACATCGTTTCTTGTACATATCCATAGCATCTTCAACAGGCATATACCTGAAATATGATAAATATGATAAATATGATAATATGAATCCAAGGTGCCTAACTGAAAAACCTGCAATTTTCATTCTTCACCAACTTAACAGTATATGTTAAGTTAACTTAACAGTCGAAAGAAGTTATTCAAGAATATTGTAATAAAACAATTCAAATGAAATGGGCTCAGTAGGTTATTGCTTAATTCGGAGCGCCGATGCTGAGTTTCTATTCCTTGCAGGAGTAAACCGGTCCAAAAATGCGAATGAAATGTTGGCGATTTCTATCGCCAAGGGACTCCCTGGACTCCAGTGCGACAGGTGAGTTTAATCAGCAATGGTGAGGATTCTTAGGAAAAAAATTTCAGATGAAATTTGAAAAAAGTGGTGCTAAAAAAGCAAACCTGACATAGTTCCGAGTCGGTGCGATATACCGCTCAACACGTGCATTATAGTTTGGAGTTTTGAATAATCCTGTATTATAAGTATTTAGCCTGCCTTCCAACCAACGTTTAGTACCCATATCTCGCACACTATAGTGATTGCTTGAAATCTAAAGTTGAAAACTAAAAAACAAAGCCGATTATAATTTATAAAAAAAAAAACCAAGCAAAAGCATGTGTTGCTTAATGTAAGATGGATTTTCAAGGCCTATTTCACGGTTTATTTCGTACAAATAGAATTCATTGGTACTACATGAAGAGAATGGAAAAAATCATTCGAAGATGCATTAAGCCTTATTCTGCAGCAGGCAAACATTACCGAATCACTTTGTGCGAGTATTCCGAGCCCAGTTTCCATATTACTGTAAGAATATCGGACATAAGGATATTTGTCGGTGTAGTGCGGAGTACTCCGTTGTAAAGCAACATTATGTAAGGGCGGTGTCCGAGTAAGCACAGAGCTTTGTAAAGATCGACCAAATAAAGTTGAACCTGAAGTTTTCTCTCGTTAACCAAATAGCCGAAAAGTTAACCATTTTCTAACAACATAGAAATCACTTTTGAATTCATCCATAAATTCCTGCTAAGTAAACTTTTCTAAAAAAGGAGGAAGTTTACCGCTTCGCGACAATGATCGTGACATATAACCACCACCATAACCATACTGCGGCATCGTAAAACCGCCTCCACTAAAAGAAAGCGATCGTCGCATCGATGTCGCACCACGGTATTCAGTTCGCGACCGAGCAAGCGGAGACACTTGATGGTAGCTGGGACTGGTCATTAAATTCATTATTTCTCCTTTATTTACGTACGAAACGATGAAAGACAAGCCTGAAATTAAAATTCATGCATTAATTCACCAAATAATCTCAAAAATCTCTAAGAAAAAAGACGACAATTTACACAAAAATCTCGATTTTGTAAGAAATCTTTATTTCCTTATATTTATTACACTTAAGAGCACTTATTCTTATAAATGTCATAGTTTTTTTTAGGATTTAACAGAATATTTTTTAAAAAATACCAATTTTCAGTTGTAATAAAAGCAAATAGAAGTGGATCTACCTTTTAGCAAAAATCGTAATAAAATATATTATAATAATAATAACAATAATGATATGATTATTAATGATAACAATCGATAATAATAACAATAATTCAATAAAATTAATGATGATAATAATAATCAATAATAATAACTAATTAAAAAAATAAATTTTTTCTAGTTTTCTAAAAATGCATTAGCATTAAGTAAGCGCTCTAGTTAGCCCTCACTATTTCTGGTTAGTTTTAATCAACTGGTTGTTGGTATAACGAGAAACTATTGTCCCGGGGAGGGGTGGGGGAGGGGAGGATAAAAGTGAATTGGCTGCGTTATGCGGCGATTCGATCATTTAATAAATTAATGAATTGAATTTCCAAGACGAAATATTCGATCAAAAACTTAAATAAATTAATTTTAAGAAATATTTTCTATAAAATTAATTTATTTAATAAAATTAATGAATCCATAAATAAAAAATGTAAATAAAAATAATAATCCACGAATTAAAAAAAAAAATTTTAAAAATATTTTCAAAATATTAATTAAATATAATATAAATATTTTAAAATGAGAATTGAACGAAAGAAAAATTTGTGGGTGTATTGATGCCGAGAAACAGCTCGAGAACTTCGTGCGAACACTTAATTTTCTCTCTAAAACTTCATCTAAAAACTTTCTTTGCCTCGAGAAACGATTTTACTATTGTTCGTGCCATCGTTATTATCGTTAATTTCTCTACTCCTCAACATTTCTTCTTTATCATTCTCGATTTGTTTGCCTCGAACTATCGAATTCTTCCTGAAAATCCGTGACTCTCTATTAAATCACCGAGTAAATCGCCTAAAAGAAAAATGTTGTAATTCTGATAACGTTGATAACTGCATTAATGCATCGTTTTGCTAGGCATTCTTCTACGCTAATTGCTTTAATTGCTTTCGAAATCTTCGATAAAAAATCGTTCCGCTCAGTGTGTAACAATTTTATTTGCCACGCTCTTCTTCATTGTTCGAATGAAACATTTAATTATTCGATGTATGCGTAGATAATATTGGATAATATTTCAATTTTAGTTTAACAAATAGTTAATAAACAAGAAGATAAACTCGGAAATACCATTAAAACCAGTCTATTCTCCCTCAACCAAATATCTTACGACCATTTCTTCAGAATTTTCAAAATCAACAAATCGGAAATCACTGATAAGATAAGAAGAAAAGATAAGAACAGCGATTTAGAGCTCCAAATTGGCGCTGATATAATGAATAAAGCCATGAATAATAAATAGTGAAAATAACGAGAATAACGAAAATAATTAAGCAAATATAACAAAAAAATAAATATTTGTAAATATCGACAATTTTTTTAAAGAGCCCTCAGCACTGTTGGTTAGCTTCGCTCCGCTGGTTTGTCGCAAAACAGCCCTTTGGCGATAGAAATACAGGTGAGTCGCTAGCATCACTCGGATTTTTGGACAGGTTTAGTTAGCTTCGCTCCGCTGCCTGCGGAGAGTGGCACTCAGCATCGACACTCCGAATTGAACAATAACCCATTCTACTTCCAAATCAACGATTAATATTATATCATTAATACAAATATTTTAAAAATTGATGATAATAACGATAATTACTGTGCCATTAAAGAGTTTCTGTTTGTTAGCGAACATATAGAGAGATGATTTTCATGGAAATTGGTACTTAGCTTGATTTTTCAAGAATATCCTGAATTGACTCTGCAATTGTAGCTTGGTGTTGCAGGTCATCTCTTTTTTTCATCCCCAGGCAATATATATTTTTCAGAGATCTGGCTCTTTACTCATAATACGTCCAAAGTGGAACAATTTGAGCCAATGGTCATTTGTGCTTCGACTGAGAATTCTGGTTTGTCGTTGACCGGTGATCCATCAGTTTATTTTCTTAATTGTCCACAGTACTCTCATTCTTCCTTATCAAAATTCAAGTATATCCATACTCTTCTTATTCTGCTTCATTAAAACCCAAGCCTCGCATCCACAGAAAGCTATAAGGAATATAATTTTAATCGTTTCATGCATAGTCATATTTAAACATGTTTTCCAAGGCTTTCCTGGTCATTCTTACCTGAAGCTAATCTGGGACGTATTTCTTTACTGCTTCCAGCGTTATTGTTAATGATCGTCCCTAAAAGACACAAATTATCCACCACTTCGATTATCAATACTGATTATCAGTTCTAAAGCTGGTGTACCAGCTGTTCTCAATAGTTTCGTAGTCCTTTAAACAGTCTTTTAAATTTAGTTTTAAATTTTAGTCTCATTTTTTCGCTCCTTGACTTTTAAAATTAAATCCTGAAGATCCTTTATATATCCTTTATATGCATTAACAGCGCAGAGTTATCAGCATAGCTCCTCCAATTTTCCTCCAATTTTACAAAGGGAATCCTCTCTCATTTTCTTCCCAACCAGCTTTCTTTTAAACCAAATAACAATAGAATTGTTGAATAACAGTTGAAAGTGGAAAATGAGCATCCTTATGATACTCTCTTACCAACCTCAAGTCAGGTTTATTTTGCCACATTCTATACCTGTTTTCTGACCTGTGCGTAAGTTTTAACAAGGAAAATCCGAGGATTCCTATTTTTCCGATTACCCACAGCCAGCATAAATCATTTAACATTATCTATGTGGTTTTCTTGGTAATAAGACAAGAATGGTTTAAATCTGCCTTCTGCCATGTAGTATGAAACGTGCTTTTGCTACTATCACAGAAATGAGACTGTCAGCATTCAACAATATCTTATATAACTGCTATACAATATAGGATTTTGTTTATTATAATTTAGCAATATCGAATGGTCGTCACGTCCCGGATGATGCATACTCTGCTCGAGAGTATACTTTGACATACACTCCCGATGTGCTCATTCCTCTTTAGCGGTAGCTTTTTTTTTAAATATAAAAACGAATTGAAAATAAAGACAAAGAATTTAAAGGATTTAAAGTGGAGATAAGAAAAAATAAACAACAAAAATATTTCAAAAATAGCAATATTTTTTTAATGCATTCATTTATCGAATTTTAATATCCTGTTGACAGGCAAATAATTATCGCCATCTTCATCTGATATGTGTTTCCTTTTTCTCAATATGTTTTTTGATTGCGGCATTGGCAAATCTGAATCATCACAAGCATATGGCATCTGCAAAATCTTCGTGAAATAATTTTGACTGAATAAATCCAAAATCCAAAAGCAAATCCAAAAATAATATTTGAAGCGATTTTTAGGAGATGAAATCTTTATGCTTCAACAGCTAACAATTTTCTCTCATCAATCAATAAGAAAAATGTAAAAAATGATACAAAAAGGTGGAAGTTCCATAAATTTCAAAATTTGTCTCAAAATCTTAAGCAGTAGCAGTAGTGGAAATCAGTGAAAATAAAAAAATTTCTTTGTATGCAAAAACAATGAAAAGTTCCAAAAAATTAATATATTACCAGCCGAAAATATTGCGAATTAAGAGCTTGAGTTGCAGTCCACCTATGTAGAGGATTGTATTTAAGACAGTATTGTATCAATTCAATGAGATCATCACTTGCTGCTGTGAAAACATTTCGAAGAGGAATGCCTTGACATGGTTTCATTTCAATGAAGTTATCAATATTACAAAGTTCTTTTCTTTCCTGAAAAAATCAATAATTTTTAAGAAAATATAATAAAAAATGCCCACATGAATAAAAAAGAAAATTTTTTAGTAGAATTATGAATAAGTTTACCGGCCATTCTTCATCGGTAGGACTTCCTAAGATATCATATATTTTTATAAGCTGATGGAGATCTGTTTCTCCAGGAAACAAAGGAACCTGAAACCAAGAATAACTATGCGTTCGCCATAAAACCAAACTTCACTTTTCATGTGAAGATTAAGTAATATAAACCAACGAATTGGATACAAGAAGATACGAGAAGAATCTTCCAATTTTTATAAATTTTTTATAGAAAATTGCCAACCCGTAATAATAATTCGGCTATAATACATCCAACTGACCACATATCTATTCCACCTCCATAAGCGCGAACAGCGATTAGCAACTCTGGTGCCCGGTACCATCGAGTCACTACCTAAACATAAAATTCATGAAATGGAAAATAAAATCAATTTCACAAATAAAGCCAAAGAAACGAAGAACTGATTCCAGTTCAGTTAGAATCAGTTAGATTCGTTATAATCCAGTAATTGGTAATTATCTAATATTTTTATAAAATTTTTTAATAGCCTTAACTTTTATGATCGTCCCCATCACGATGAAGAACCGAAATTCTTTCTTAATTAGTTTCAGGTTGGATAAAAAAATTAATAAAGAATAAAAAACTTTAAAAAACCAGTTGGAATTCAAAAAGAAAGTACAAGAAATAAAACCTGATTTGTATAATTACGATTCGGTGAACCAAAAAAGCGTGCTAAACCAAAATCTGTTATTTTTATACGTCCGCTGCTGTTCATTAGTAGATTGTTTGGCTTTAAGTCCTTAATTTTATTTATTTTTATGAAATGAAAAAGCATATAAGAATCGTTTAAATTTTTATTTTCAATTTAAATATTTTCAATTTAAAATTCTTAACGAAAAATATCTTATCAATACAAAATTATCAACTATTTTGCCTAATGAACAGCATAATAGATAACTTACTCTGTGCAGAACCCAGTGTGCGTGAAGATATTCAACACCGAGCAACATTTGAAGAGTTATATTTTTTATGTGTTCCGGCATAAGAATAATGGAATTATCTTTGATTATATTTTCTAAATCCGTTTCCATAAAATCAAAAACTAATTGAATGCTTGTTTTATGACCAATCACATCGCGCAACTGAAAAATCAGTTATATTAAAAATAAAAACAATAAAAAAAAGGCAAAAAAATCAAATAAACTTTAAATTGGAAAGCATATTTGATTCATATAAATAAGTTACGAATGCTGGAAAAAAAAGTAAGAATTTATTTACATAAGAACTTAAGTTTTTTTAAAGTTAATCAATAATAAAACAGGGATAAAACTATTATATTGGCAGAGAAGGATCGTGAATCGGGAATCGGAAATAGAATTATAATTATTATAATAATGATATATCAGTTTAATTGCTGGAAAAACTTTGAAAAAAATTATTTTAATAATATTGTCGTGGTGAAGTTCTTGCAATAATTTAATCTCACGAATCGCTGTTCTATCCATACCGTCCATCGCTTCATGACGAGATAATATTTTAATCTAAAAATGGGAAAAAATTATCAAAAAATGATATGATAAAATGATAAAAATGATAAGAAAAGCAAAAAAAAGCGAAATTAATTCATCATTTCAAAAATTTCTTTCCTAAATTTTTTAAAAAATCCATTTTCTAATTTTTTTTTAAAATTTTTTCCAACTTTAAAATTTTATATGAAAGAAAATTCCTATCGAAAAAAATGTTAAAATTTACCTTTTTTATAGCTACAAATTCATTCGTTTCCACGTCTTTTGCTTTATAAACATTTGCAAACTAAATTAGATGATAATTTAATGATTTTCTGATAAAAAAAATAATAAAAAGCGAATAAATAAATCAAAATTTCTAGAAAATTTAAAGGAAATTCCCATTTTTTTATATTTATTTTCACTTTTTAATAAATAATATTTCAGCTTTTATGAAATTTCCCTTTTCAATAATTTTTTTACGATTTTTTTGTAATCTAAAAAATTATTTAAAAAATTATAATTATTAAAAACAATTAATAATAATAAATCATTAAAAATTGTCTAAAATTATCTAAAAAATATTTCGAAAAATTCGTAAAATTTTGGTTTTACGGTTAGTTTAATGAGCTTTTCTTCTTCTCTCTATTATGTAACGATGGAATGGAAAGGAAGGAAGTTGGGGCGGTGGATTTTGCGAAATAATTCGTTCAAATAGGCGAAAACAATCAATGAGGTCAACTGAAAAAGAGATGTACCTGACCTTCGCCGAGATGTTTTATCTTTTCGTAACGATTTTTCTCGCGATTACTTGTCATAGTTCAACGGATAATTTCCGAACACTGATCGCTCCACTGCTAACAATAAAAAAAGTCAACGCACGTGAAAATTACACTTTTAATGACGGAAATACGAGACCTCGAAATTTTATATCTGATTTTGGCGTTAAAACTTAAAACTTCCCGATTATCATCGATCGCCTGTCGATGAAGTATTCACCTAAACGTAACGTGTAATTCTCAACGATTCACCCGATTCACGCTGGACTTCAGCCATAAAACCGATGACTTTCCAGCATATTTTCAGGACACACCACAGAAAAAAAACTTTACCAAACTTCCTCATGGAGATTAAAAATGTGATAGAAGAGAGGGGTGAAAGAGTAAATGTGAAGGAAGAACAAAAAATAGGAATTTAATCAGCGATAGTGATTTCAAATAGCAAATAACCAGGAAATGCAACAGTTGAAACCAAAATCAGCCGCAATTCAATTTGAAGCATTCTATTATCCTTTTCAATCCTTATCAGTAAAACTGATCTTTTCAAGACAGACCGTCGATTCGCATCTGATCTATTACTAACAATCGGCTTGGAAGTAGATTGATGCTGTGGAATAACCAAGCCAGTCTAAACTTGGCATAAGTTAGCGCATCCCTACTTACTAGAGGTTTGTATTTCCTGTATTACGCATATGCGTGATCAATCTCCTTCGGCATCCCAAAATACTATTTTTCACGGAATAATTTGGATGCTTATTAAAATATTTCGTATCTTTCAACTTCGCATCTGTTAATTGATTAATCATTTAATGAATGATAATCGTTTACTTTTTAAAAATATTCAAAGAAATATATCGCCATTTAGATTGCATACAATATCAAAATAAATAGCCGAAAATAAAAATTTCATATTTTACATACTTCAAAATCAAATGCTAAAACTTTGCAATGGATCTTCTTGTTTACGTTTAAACCTTTTCTGATTAAAAGTGAGACGTTCTTTTTCATTTCTTTGGTGCCGTTTTCTGTTATTTTTTGGCCTTTCGACATCAACTGCTTTACCACGAAGTGAAATTGGTACTGCAAATAATAATGAAAATAATAAAAATAATAATAATAATAAATAAGGAATAAAAATGAATAATAATAAATGATAATGATAAAAATAAGTGATAATAAATAATAATAAGAGTTGACAAATACTTCGTTAGTTGCTAAACCATGTGTTGGGTGGCGTCAAAAGTGAGGTGGACCAAGGTCAGAAATCGAATTTCAGTTGATAAACATGAGAAAAATAAATTACCTATATAATTAGGAACATCTGCGATAGCTGGTGAATGTAGAGATAATGTGTATAATTTTCTGTCATGCTCCAGAGTGCTTTTTTCTCGTGGATTCTTCGCAAAATATGTTTCAAGTCGTTTCGACCTTAATATTTCTGCTCTAATTTCAGCCAGTCTAGCTTCACGTATCACGGTCCGCGTACAAGCAGCAAGGACGTCCTTAAAAACATTTTCTTGGTTGACTGCAAATACAGTTAAATTCAGTGAATAGAACTCGATCAACTGTCGTAACAAGAACAATTACCCTAGTTCGTAGTAAAAAGGATTCGAGATCCTTAATGCGTATCTCGTAAGGCACAATGGCATTGTCTCCTAATTGTTCATTGATCTCTTTTTGAATCTCTTCTAAATAAGGACGTTCATCTGGTATAGCGAATGATAAAGCCGTACCTTTATTCCATCCTCTTGCCGTCCTAAAAATCGCTTCTAATATGGAATATATTACGAATAAAACACAAATTCTGAAGTCATCCCACCCCTTTTCCAAGGACAAAATGGCAAAAAGATCTGAATATCTAGAATATTTATTTAAAAATATTTAAATATAAAATATTTATATTCTAAAATATTTATAAAAATATTTATTTAAAAAAAAACCTGCCAACTCGATGAATATATAAGTCGACAGATGTTGGGAAATCAAAGTTTATAACGTTTGAAACATGATGGAAATCGATACCACGTGCCACACCCGATTCTTTATCCATGTGCCTTGGTAACTTTTTTTTCAGATTTTTATTCTTTTTCTGAAACATGTTCTGAAACATTATTCAATTAGCTATTTCTGCTACTGAAAATAATTTCCTTATCTTCACACTTATATAAAACATTCTAAATAATGAAAGAGCAATATCAAAGTAATTTAATATAAAAAAGTTTCATTAAAAATTGAATAATTTCAAGTCAAGTTAAATAAAAATTTTATTTTATTTAATATTTTTATTAAAAGATATACGAATCTTCTACAACCTTTATTTCAACAATTTTAATAATATAACACAAAAATCAAAACCTTAGCAAGATTGGGACTGAATTCCTCTATAACATCATGTATGTCAGATGCAATTATATTATAATATTTACCATCATTAAATTCTTTAATCACATTGCAACGGCTATTGACAGGCATTTCAGCGTTAAGTATGCATGAACGAATTTTAAACCCTTGTAAAAATAAACCTAACCTGAAATTTAAAAAATTAAAGACAAAAAATATATAAGAAGAGAGAAAACCTACCACATTAAAAAAAATTTTCAAAAAAATTCAAACAGAAAACTTACTGATAACATCTATTAGTATTTGATACAAAAATAATAGACTTTCCAACAATCAGCTTCAATTTAAATAAGGAAATAAATATGGCGAAACGCTCTTCATCATTTTGACAACATATGTGGTACTGAGTTAACTGGTCAAGGCCAGGTAACTGACTTTCCTGAAATCACTTAATTATAATAAAGGAATATTAAAATCACAATTTTTTGACCAAAATTATGAAAAAAATTTTGATGGCACATTGTAAAATCTAATTCAATCCATGAAACTAACTTTTAGCCTTAAAACAACCACTTTCCCATTAGCAAACAGATTTTTTATGGGTCCGATATCTTCGTTTAAAGTAGCTGAAGTGAAAATAACTTGATACTGCTGAGGAAGAAAACTTCTTAATCGCCTTAAATTTTAAAAGAGATCAGTGCTATAGTGCATTTGAAATATTGTGTAAAGAAATCCAACTGGAATAAAATATCGTTAAGAAACAAAAATACTAACTTCATTTCCGCTTCATATCCATAAGATAATAATAAATCAGCTTCATCTAAAACAACATGACGAACGTTTTTACAGAAATCAGGTAGTTTATTTAAAGCATGTAAGAGTCGACCGGGTGTTGAAACAATCATATCAGGATGCTCCTCAAACGACGATTAAAATATCCACAATGAAATAAAAAAGAAATAATAGAGTTATTAATTAAAAGCAAATTAATAAGTTGAAAAAGAAGAGAAAAGATAAAGAAAAATAATAACAGGAAATAACAAAACCAATAACAACCTTAAGCCAAATATCTTCATTCGCCGCATCGAGTTCAGCAAAATTCATAGAATTCAAAAAAGGGAAAGTCGAAGTCAATTTATTCAGCAAAATATAAGCCTAAATACTTATCTTAAAAATGTTCAAAATGAATTGATGATACTAATGAAAAAATTTCATTCAAAATTTAAGCCTCATTAAAAAGAAAATTCTTCGAAATCTGTCATCTGTCTGTCAAACAGTCGTCTGTCAAGCAGAACAATGAAAAAAAGAACACTGACAAAACCGGACTGATAAATTATCATAGAGAAATCATAGGTTCTCCACTAAAAAAACATTTAAAAGCTAACAGAGCTCGAATTACAGATTTTCTACTAAAACTTATTATTTAAAATCTTTCAAAAACGGATGAGCTCATAAACAGAGAAAAATTATTGTATAGGTGACATCAAATCAAATTTTTTAAAAAATGAAATTACTTGTTTGGAAAGTTCCTTTGTTGGTGAGATAAATAAAGCAAAAGGACCATAAAGTTTCTCGTTAGAAGACATCTATAATAAAATTGACTCAAATTTTTTGAATTGTAAAGATTCGAGACATGTAAAGAACAAAATTAAATAGAAAATAACAAATAAATTAATTAAATAAATTGGAAAATACTTAAAACATTTAAGCAGTTTTAGGAAATATAAATAAATAAATCTTATTTTATGCGAAAAAAGAAAAAAGTTTAAAAAATTAATTAATAAATTATTAAAAATTAATAAATTAAATAGCTTAGGAAAACAGTCATTTTAAACACCCAAAACCGTGAAATATTTGTAAAAATTATGAATGCACTAAAAAAAACAATATAAAAAATTAAGCAGAAGAATAACAATAATTGAAACATACATTTCGTAACTGGATAACTTTTTCAATAATCGGAAGCATAAAGGCAGCAGTTTTACCACTTCCTGTACGAGCCCTAGCAGTTACATTCTTATTTTCCAGAATCAGTGGGATCATATTCTGCTGTATGAATGTTGGACGTTCCCAACCCAACTCTCCGATAGCCTAAAATTCCAAGTAAATGATAAAAATAGTTAATGGAACAACAAGATTACCTTTAATAAACGCTCATCGAAGCCAAAATCTTGAAATGATGCAGTTATATTCGTTTCTTCGGCACATTTCACCGTTTTCTCGATATTTCGTTTCTTTTTCATCTCCTTTCTGAAAATTTAAGGAACAATTAAATATTTTTAAAGTCATATCAGATCAACAGTGTTAAAAAACATTATATGCATAAGACTAAAATTTTACGGGGTAATTCTAATAAGCTAAAAACCCCATATTACTTTGACTTTAGCCAACACATGGTTCTTAAAAAGCTAAAAATTATTTTGACTTCTTAGTAATTCATAAATTAATAAATGAATTAACGTCGATGTATACATGTACTTTCATTTGTTCCTATGAATGTCGTTATGATAACAGCTAAATAAAATAATATAAAGACCACTGACATATCCAGGATTACTTTGAATAGAGGATCATAACTAGCAATATCCACATGGAGGAAGCGAGCATAAAAAACGACATCAGAAAAATCCCAGCATTTTAAGTCTGGTACTATTTTCGCTGCCTTTTTTTAAACTGGTACCAGCCAGCTGGCAAATTATTTTCTCCTCTTTTTTAGAATTGCTTCACCTCCACATATCCTCTTTCTACTGCACCTTTGCCTATCAACAATTCAATTCAATCAATCCTTTATCACTGCTTATCACCATAAATAAATTCCTTATCAATAAGTGTCTTCGAATTTATCTTGATTTTAACTCTTGAAATGGTTAAACAAACATCTTCTTTCTTTGCTTTTTTTTTGTCTTTTTAATTTCATTCGTCCAACTTTCAACATTTCCATTTTCATTATTCTTTTCGTCAGCCATTTCTAAATTATTCATAATTTTTATAAAATAATGTAAATTTGCGTCGACAAAGACGAAGAAAAATAAAAAAAAAAGAAAAAAATTTTATTTCAGCAACGATGCGAATTATTAGAAAAAGGAAAAAACTTCAGATGTTTTCTCACTCACATTCAGACATTCACACATGCATACGTACACACACACCGACATGCAAACTGTGGTACATAGAAAATACCACATAGTACAGTCGCCTGGAAAAATTAAAACTATGGAACTTACATAATTTACGATATTATTTTAAAAAATTGGCAAACCTACCTGCAAAAAATGATGAGATTCCAGAAAAAGAGAAAAAACTAATGAGCCGCAAAATAGCAAACTCTAAAATGCAAATCCGTTAAGTACCATTTGAAATTGAAGCGTTTTCCCTTTATCTAATTTTTTTAAATGTCAGGTCATCAACCAGTTAGCAGTTGGTTAGCTTACAAATAACTGCATTTATTTCCCAGCAGAGAAATTTTTTTCACGGTACGCGCATCTATGGAAGAAAAAGTGCGGCTCGTAATTCCTCGTAATTCCTTCTTCCATTACTCGTTACGCTCCTTCCGCTGGCATTTGCCAGCGGCTCGATCTGATGCCGTGCCTGGTATTGAAAAGATTGAATCCTCCTTCACCTCTAAGACTATTCCTCGACAGATATGTCTTAATTGGCGCTTTCTTTACGGGTGCCGTCGTCTACATTTGAATCTTTGTTGATTCGCTATTTTGGCATACTACAGCGCACCACTCTAAAATCGTTAAAACTCCCTTTTCGACTCCATTTTTCCATTTTTGTACTACGGATCCCATAGTACCACGGATGATAGAATGATTGAGTGGGTTGTTGCTCAGTTCGGAGGTTCGATTCCCCACAGGAGCAAACCTGTCCAAAAATCCCGGTAATGCTGACAACTCACCTGTATTTCTGTTGTCAAGGGGGCTTCCTGACATATTGCTCAATGCGACAAGCCAGTGGAACGAGTTTAACCAGTAATGGTGAGGGCTCTTAAAAAGAAAGTACCACAGAGGAGATTTAATGAATTCTGTGATTTTGGAAATAATTTTCTAAATTTTCCATTTATTTATCGCTTATCGAAATGATCAGTTGAATCTTCGATTTCTGGATTGAGACTTCAGAGAAAATAAAATAAATTTTTGATTAGTATATTTGATTAATACGTCTGTGGAAATAATAAAGCACATTTGTTTTTTCATCACCAGTGAAATTTATCTTTCCGGAATATTTTAAAAGGATTTGGTGATTTTATTTGTTAATCGTTTATTTTATCAATTGAAGCAAATATCATTATCAATATCAATTGAAGCAAATTACTTTCTCTTAGTTCTTCAAGAATCATGCAATGATTTTCATCATTTCATTTATTTTATCATTTTCTGATTTTTTTTATATGTAAAAAAATCTTTAAAAAATTGTAAATAATGATTTTGTCCATTTTAATTGCAATATTTACAAGTTATATTAGAACAATGCTGAAATAATAATGAATTTATTATTTATTGAAAACCAACCAAGCAGGGCGACTGTGCTTGTATTAATAACAGATAAAACTTACAAATAATGAAAATTAAGGATAAAAAAAAATTTAATAAATTAAAGACAAAATAAAGAGGAATTACAAAATCTTCTTCTTCTTCTAACAGCTCTCACCATTACTGATTAGGCTGGCTCCAACGGCTACAAGAGTAAGACGCAAGGCGCAGTGTGATGCCATCGTCGACAGTAATGGAAGTCATTCCTTTTTCCATCGTCTAAGTCCATATATTGCTGGTCCACCTATACGTTCAAAATCTTTTCTTACCGTATCAGCCCAGGTCTTGATTGGCCTACCTGTCTTTTGACGCCAACTGTCACGGTTTAGCAAATAACGAAATATGCGTCAACTCGTCTGGTGGACGACGGAGAATGGGCCTTAACCAGCGAAGACGGCGTTCTGTTATAATGTCATGTTTTCTGTCATTATTTATGCAAGTGGTATTTGGACGAAGGTGGATGCGATCTTGTGAGATTTTATCCACTCGGCGAACCCGTAAAGTATACCTTAGACAAGAGTGGTCAAAAGTAGATAACTTCTTAATATCCTTCACTCATATTGGCCATGTCTCAGAACCATATAATAAGATCGAACGGATCACGGCAATATAGATGCGGACTTTCGTTTTTAGTTTCGTTTTCGTTAGTGATGATTTCACGACGATTCCATAAAGGTTTCGTCAACCGGAAGAACGCATTTCTAGCTGCCGTGATCCTAGTTATAATATCATCTTTTGCCTGTCCATTTGGTATTAGAGTGGACCCAAGGTATTTGAAATCGGGTACTTCCTCAACCGGCAATGAATTTACAAAAAGAGGCATTTTATCAGCTTTTTGCACATAAGATGGAAAGATAAAAAAAGAAAATTTAATAAAATTAATTTAATAAATTAAAGACAAAATAAAGAGGAATTACAAAATAATACTATTTGAAGTGAATGTATTGCTGATATATAATCGAATGGTAAAAATCAAGATTTCAAATTTTAAGCATGATGTGAACTTTATAAATAATATAAAAAATGAAATTATCTAATATTTTTTAAAAGAATAGCCAAGGAAGACGCGCAAATTATATCGTTCGGTAATAGCATTTCTTGTTTAGTCTTTTCTCGATCATTTAAATCCGAAATTAATTTCGATTTCCAATTCAAAATTCCAATAGATGGAGAGAATAATAATCGATAAGTGATAAGTATCAGTTTAAAGACGATTGAAACAACACATTTATGCATAATTTCCTTCCAACTTGCACGTGTGGCCTTAAAATCGAGTCTGAACTTCTAGGTTCTAATTGCAATCGCAAGAGGTCGATTACGATTTATAAATTTATCTTCATAACGAGTAAAACACTGCAAAGGCGAGATTTATATTTACTCTCAATATAAATAAACCTGCAAAAATTCGAGTGATGCTGGCAACTCACCTGTACCTCTATCGCCAAAGGATTACCTGGCATATCCAGTGCGACAAGTGGGACTAACTCTAACTAGTACTAGTAAGGCTTTTTAAAAAAAAAATGTACTTGGTATCCATTCTTCCTCTACTTTTAACAGATTTCACTATTACTGGTTAGACTGGTTTCACTGGCTAGAAGTAAGATGTGAGAATCGAGAGAAGTGGCAATTTTTAAAGAATATTCAAAATACATTTGGATAAATATTGTATAAATAATATAGGATAAATATAAGATAGTTATTTAATAACAATTTAATGATATTTTAAAATTTTCGCTCTTTTTCGCTGTTTTGTCGATTTTTTCGCTATTTTGTCGATTTTGCCATCCTTTAAAATATTTCGTACATTTCGTTCTTACTGCACTCATAATTTTTTGGATAATCTTTAAAATTACTTTATTTAACACTTTATTAGACTTATTTTATATAAAACTTATAATTTTATTTAAAACGAATTTGATAAAAAAAACCATAGTATTGATTTAGTATAACCTTGGTATAGTTATACATTTGTTCGTCTCGAATTTTTCCATTTTTTTCTAAGAATGTCACAAAGGGAGAAATAAATTTTACCTAAACTGGTTGGTACTTCCCCTATTTAAAAAATGCAAACTTTTTATTTTTTAAAACATACGAATTCACACGAATTATAAAATCAAGGAAAAAAATAAAGTTGAAAAGTTAATGAAACGTTTTTTAAAAAAACGTTTTGGGTTTAAAAAAATTTCTTAAGAATGTTTTTTTTAACGATGAAATCTTTAAATTTTTTTTCAAAGAGCCTTCGCCATTTCTGGTTAATTTCACTCATCTAAATATTTTTATCTAAATATTATTTTTTCTTCTATATGATTTGATCATTAATTAAACAGTACGAGTGATATATTTCCAAACCTGTAGACCTGAAAGTAAGAGAAGTCACTCCTTCCACACATGCCTGTAAATCACCTTTGGTCGCTTCTGCGGCCAAAATATTCTAAAAATTCTTCATTTTGAATGTAGAGTTTTCAGAACTGCCAGTAATGTTTGGGTCAATAATATATATATATATATATACATATTTCAGCTTTGAGCTAAAGCACGGTCTGGTCCGAAAACTTGTCAATTTTAACATCTCAGAAGGAATAGCTATCTAATATGGAATTGTTTCAGCGATAACAGAATAAAGCCAACCTGGTTGGGCTCCTGGTTATCTGGAGTGATAATGTAATTTTTGCATTGTTCTATTGATAAAAAGCCAAGTGTCCACGCAATCAGTTAACAGTTAACGTGTTTGATAGAATTTTTGACATCCATAGGATCACCTAATCAATTTAAAACCAAATCAGTTCATACTTACTGAGTACATAAATATTCCATCATCAAATTTCCATTGAATATTCGCATCAATGACTAAAGAACTAAAAGCAGTTTACTGGGCTTTACTTTATGAAATCTTTTTTATCTTTTTTTTTCAAGTTATTTATGATGATAATCTATGTTTATACATTTAATCTAATGAAATATTTCCTTTTGCTCATCTCATTCTCATTAGATTAAATAATATAATAATCTAATCTGTAATAATCTAAATTTTATCATTTCGTATCAGTTTATTGGGTTTTCAATAAAATATTCTTTTTTTCAAGTTATTTTTGATAAAAAGCATTTTGGAAATAAATAGAAATAAATAAACAGGATAAATGGAACAGAAAATGTAAAATAACCAGTGATGACAAGTTTTTCTTACTACTTTTTTTATTAATTTATTTTATTAATTTAATAATTTACAACGCGAATAAATTTTTTTGTGAGAATTTTCTCAATATTCTTGAAATTCGCCTTCAGCTGAGTGATATTTTAGTTCAATAAAAAGTCCATAAAAGATTCGATTCCTTTTCCATAGTGAAAAACTTATCATTCTTATCATTGAAGGTGAAATCAGAACACTTGTCTGCCTTTTTACACCCTCTCCCGGTGAATTTGGTCCATTTCAATTGTGAGTGAAGCTAAGCAAATATGATAAATGATGCGAGTAAAGTTGAACAGTTTTTTTATGCTTTAATATTAGTTTCAGCTTACAAATAAATTTTTTTTTATAATAACAAATAATTTGGAGATTTGAAAATTATCAATATTGTGACTCTTTTCTCTTCTTCTCAAAACAAAAACAAGAGGATTTTCGAACATCCAAGTTAGCTTTTTATAATGCCTGCAAGGTATGATTCCAAGCGTGCAAATGTCCGCTAATAAATTAAAAATTTGGCAAGCAAATGTTCTTTTTCCTCTAAAAAACCCCACTAGGATCCCTCTGCAAGTCTCTTTGAGCCAAGTCCATTTAATCTTAAGTCCGTTAGTTGAAAGGATATAAGAAATAAATCAGATATACCATAATTGGAAACCTTTGCTTTCCTTGGCTGGCAAATATGAGTTTTATTTTTCTCCTTATTATTTAAAGAAATTGATTCCTTCCTATTTCATTTTTTATTTTATTTTTACAATATATTTCCATTCATAAGAAACCTGTTTATCTATTGGTTTTTTGCAACTTATTTAGCGATTTTTAATGATAAAATAAAATAATAAAAATATTGATATTATTCAATAATATTCACAAAATAAAAAATTGTAGCAATGTGCCAGGGGGTAGAAATAGGTGAGTAGCTAGCATCACCCGGAATTTTTGTACAGGTTTAGTCCCGCGGGGAATCGAACCTCAGCATCAGCGCTCCCATATAAAATTATTAAAAAATTAATAGTTAAATGAGCATATTTACCCTATGTTTATCTGACAATTAAGGTAAAATTTGTAAGAGCAGGAAATGCCACTTGAAAGTCCTGGCCAGGCGATCTTTGAGATATTCTTGAAGCAGGTTTCGAAATACTAAAGATGGCAATTTGAAGGTCTTAATCTAAGTTTTTTAGAGGGTCTATGCCACCGCTTAGAAATTTATGAATAAAATTCATATGAACCATATATCTCTTTATTATATAAATAATAATTTATAATATAAGAAAATTTTATAGTATGTTTCATATTACATTTTATTATAATCTATTATTTATATAATATTATATAATATAAATAAGGAAGTTAAAAAATATGCACCATATTTTCATATTTTACGTTATTTTTATATTCTAAAATTTATTATAAAATTGTAAAATATAATATCAATACAATATAATATAATAAAATATAGAATAATATTTTTATAATATATTTTATTATAACATTTTTTATTTATAAAATGTAATACAAAAATATTATTTTATATTGTACTGCAGAGTTTTCTATATTTCGTATGTGATGTATAGTATAATTTTTAATTTATATTTATATTAAATTATAATATAAATTATAATTACCATATTATAATAAAATATAATGACAGCAACTGCATCGTCGTCTTCGGTGGTTAAGGCACATTCTCCGTCGTCCACCACAAGAGTTTTCGCATATTTCGTTACTTACTAAACCGTGTGATGTCAAAGGCGAGATGGGCCAATCAATACCTGGACTGATACGATCAAGAAATACTTTAAACGTATAGATAGATCAGCAATATATGGATTTATCCGTTATTTTCGACGATGGCATCAGACCGCGCCGTTTGGAAACGTCTTACCCTTGTAGCCGTTGGAGCCAGCTTAACCAGTAATGGTGAGAATTGTAATGGTTAGAAGAAGAAGAAGGAAAGAACGAAAGAAAGAAAAGATATGAGAGAAATACCGAGAGCTGAAAGAGGAACTAATTGTTATTATCCTTTAATGATTAAATATAGATTATTTAATCTAATGGGATATTTGCAAAATGAAATATAATTTAAAATAATGAGGCAAATGAATCAATAAAAGAATACAAAGATTTGTTGTTAATTTTACGGTTCTCAAAAAATTTAAAATGCTGCAAATCTCAAAGATGAATTATTCATTTAGGAAATCAGTTTGAATTGGATGATAATAAATGATTATTTTATGATTTTGGATTGATATTAAACTTTTAATATAATATTATAAAAAAATTATAATTATAATAATATATAATTATAATAATAATAATATATTTTATTATTTTATTTCCTAATGCTTTTTGTTATATTATATTTTAACAATGCAATATAATAATAGCAATGCTGACGACTCACATCTACCACTATCGACAATCAATGCACTATTCGGAATATTCGTTCAACGTAGGCAGCCAACGAAAGGATATTAGCGTATAAAATTGTACATGGCTACAATTAAATTTTCAACGTGATTTTGAATACAGCTAGATCCATTGGCTTAAAGGGAGAAGTTGTTGCTCAATTCAGAGCGCCTATTTATAGGGGTAAATCTACAAAAATCCGAGTGATGCTGGCGACTCACCTGTATTTCTATCGCTAAAAGATTCCCTGGCATATTTGTCCAGTGCGACAAGCTAACGGACCAAGTCTAATTAGTTATGGTGAGGGCTCTTTAAAAAAATGTATTTGAATTGTATAAAATTGTATTAAAATGTACTTCTTTTAATAGTTCTCACCATTACCATTTATAGAAAGAGGCACTTTATCAGCATCTTGTATGACAAAAGATTTTCGCATTATTTACATTGATCCTGATTCTCGCTGCAGTTATCGACACCTTGTTTAATACTATATGCATTTCGCTATAACTTGCAAAAAGGACTACATCATCAACGTATTCAAGATCTGTGATGTTCTGGATTGATTTATACTCTTGAGTATCGACAAGCGATGTCCATTTTCAGTCTATCGTATAGTTGAATATTGTACGGGAAATGATGCAGCCTTGACGGAAACCAATTCTTATTTCGAAGGAATCTGTTAGTGCCACATAAAGCTAGACCTGCCGACGTATGCTGATAAAATTCCTTTATGAGTCGAATATTTTTCTCTGGAACGTCGTTATCTGTCTATCAATTGAATCAAAGGCAGCCGCAAAGTGAAACACCTAACAGTAGGTTACAGATATTTGAAGCGATATTCACCAACATCTTTCCAACACCATTAATACCATTAACATGAATAACTGGTCAGTGCAACAGCGTCCCGGTCTGAATCCAACTTGATTAGGGCGTATCTTACTGCCTCGTACTACTATTTAATCTACTATACTGTCTATTCAGTCTAATCAGTAGGAGAGAAGCAAAAATTTTCCGGGAGATGTCTAGGAGGCTGATTCCCCGGTAAATATTAGAGTATGTCCTGTCATCTTTCTGAGGAATTGAAAGCAAAATTGTCTTGCTCCAGTTATCTGGTAATATTCGTTTTTTCAAACCAGAAAATACATTTGTGCGTTATAAAAAACGATGGAGAAAATTTGAAGAGCCTAGAGCTTGAAGCTTTAGGGTTGGGTTAAAATTTTTTTTTCACTCATAAATTAAAATGAACGACTAGAGATAATAAAAAAGATCAAAAAAAAGTTCAGGAGGAATCATAAGGAATTACATTAAGTTTAAAGTTTAGGTCTAAAAATCATAACATTGGATTTGCTAAATTGTCAGTGGTGTACCAATAATTTAAGAAATTTTTTATTATCATTTGTATTAGTAAGTATTTTAAGAAATATTTCTTTAATTTTTTTTATATTTTTATATTTTACATTTTTTATTTATTTATATTTATTTATAATATTTATTAATTATTAATTATCGCATTTGATTATTTTTATTTTTCTTGATGGTAATCAATAAATATATTCAATCTTATTTCTTTTTTTAAAATAAATATGTAATTAAATAATTAATAAATATATTTACTTTTATTAATTGTTTATTAATTATTAATTTTATTAAATAATTTTTATTTTTATTGAATATATGTATAAAAATTTTAATAAAATAAAATTAAAGAATAAAAATTGATAAATATATTTAATAATTAATAAGTTAATATAAATATTGTATTGATAAATATAATAAATATTTATTTGATAAAATTGTTTTGTTAATTTGTTAAACTCAAGCAAAATTTATAAATTTACGATTCATAATCGTCTGAAAAATTAAGTTTTTTCCAAAATCTCCACATTTCATATTCAAATTTATCACTTTTAAGGTGTTCGACTTGATTCTGTTGATTAACACATACGATGTACTGAAATGATTAATCTTTATTCGCCTTGTTTCAATTTAAATATAAGTAAATATAAATCAGTATTTCGAAATTTTTCGCTTCATTTTTAGATGAGAGAAACGAGGAAGAAGAAAGGGTTTTCTTTCTAGGCAGTGATAAATGCTTATCATGATAATGTATATTCTCACAGTTTCAATGAGAAAAAAAAACGAAAAATTGATAAAATCGGGCTAATTCAAACATCCGCAAAAATCTATTTTATTTATTGAATTTTTCATTGCATAATTAAATATAAAATATATTTCGGGCAATGAATTATTTTTAAAAAAAATTAACTTATTAACTTATTAACTTATTATCACCATTCATTTCGCTTTTTCTACTAATAAACCTCACAATCTTTCAGTTTATCAGCATATTATGGCAATTTTTAGACATAGAATCGCTGGCAGACAGAATCGCAAATGGGTTGCAAACACCCAACAGAACTAAATATCGTTTAAATGACGAAGAAATGGTTGTCGAGAGAAAAAAAATCAATCGACTTACTTTATTATCTGCGCCTCTTACTGAGTACCAAATACATTTTGCAAAAAACTGGTTGTAAATGTTTACAACCTATAAGTATTACGTATTAATATATACCATAAAATTTCTTTGATTCAATTTAGTACCAAGAAAATCTTAAAAAAAAAAGGTTGCAATTTTTTTGAATCAATTAGGAAAAGTAATTATTTCACGAGAAAACGGACTTATAAAGAAACACATTTAATATTATTCCTTAAAAAATTGAGATGGCTTTAATAAATTGTAAAAATTTTTAAATTTTTTTAAATTTCAAGATTGAAATAAATTTTATAGTAAATATGTAATAAATTTTAAAATAAATATAAATATGTCTACTAAATCGGCCATTGCATAATGATAAAGATTATTGGAAAATTTATCAGAAATCGCTCACTTTTTCCACTGATAAAATTTTAGACGTTAAACAGTTCATAATAAGAACACCTTAAATGTTAAGCATTAACGTTAAAAATTTTTGCATGCTTAATAATTTATGAATTAATGAATTTATTTTATTTGCCAAAATTTATAAATTTTTTTCGAAAATTCTTTAAATGGAATGAAATATATGCAATAAATCATAAAATATCGACGGATTTTCTGATAAGAATATTATCAAATAAAATTTTGGATCTATAAATTAGTGTTAATATTAGTGAATCAACTATAGCCTATTATTTTGCTAAAATAAGGTTAAATTTTTACCTGTTTTTTTAAGAATTTCTGGAAAATATCTTACTACTGAAAGTTTTAGGAAACTATCACTAGGCGCTTGAACATATGTATTGTTTTCTTGACTAGTGTCCGAAATAATAAGGTCGAATTTCTGCCCTGAAGAATCGAATATAACATTCATATTATCTCAGATTTTTCGCATCACAAAAATAACATTTAGATTTTGTCAATCTGGGGAATTTTTTTAAAATAATTTATAATTATAATAAAATATAATAAAATAATTATAAAATAAAATATTTAAAATAATTATTATTTAAAATAATTTATCTGGGAAATAAATTTTTTGGATTACTTTTCAATAAATATGCAACTGCTTTCCCGCAAGATTTACCGCAAAATTTTTAAATTTACTGTTTAATTCTAAAATATTTAAATTGAAATTTAAAAAGGCTAAAAGTTTTTCTTTACCTCTTTTCGCACATTTTCTAATATATATAGCACCATCTTCCTCGACGCATCTTTGCCTTTCATCTTCATTAAAACCGAAATAAGTCTTAGCTAAATCTACGCTAGTCGGATCGATCTCGACAACAGTGACATTAATCTGCAGTAAATGATTACTATAGTAAAAAATGATCATTCGCTTAACATATAGCAGTTATAACATATTATATAATATAACATATTGTATGCTGATAAGATAACATTTTTAGTGGCATGTCGCAAATAATTATTAGCAGATCCCCCGCCAAGTCCAATTATAAGTGCATCGCCAGGAATGGTTTCATCCATATTAATCGCTCCAGTTGCATATGCGGCTGATAAAATATAACGTAAATATCTTGGACGAGGATCTGAGTAATGAATTGGCCATTTCGAGGTATCAATTGGTTGCACGATATCGAAAAATAAAAACGATTGGATTTGATAATATTATTTGAAAAAAATATTTAATTTTTCTTATTCATACATCTATAAGATTGTTAAATTCAATGCATTCATCGGAATTCTTTTTAAACTTCAAGTAATTCAACAACACAACATTCTCAAGTTCACTTAATTCAGATGAATCGCCAGTATCACTCGGATTCTTGAAGAAAAACGGATTTTGCACATTCTAAGGATAAATGTCTATAAAATCAGATAGTTAAATAATTCTGAACGACTAATTGACTAAAAAATTTCTCACATTTTCAACAAGAAATCCAAATGAATGATACCATCCTGTATAAAGAAGTAACATACATGCATTACTCTACAACATGTGAATGACAAATGGCAAATCGGCTGATGCTGCTGACTTACCTGTATTTCTATTGCTATGTGATTCCCTAGAAAAATGAATGTGGCTCAGTGTAGTGAGCCAAACTAAAGGTGGTGGTGAGTATTTTAGAAAAAAAAAACCATGTGATAGAAAATATATGAAAACAACATGAACAATCACTGATATCATCACTGATACTGATATGTTAATTATTCATTTTTTTAGAATAATATTTAATAAAATTTGATAAAATACGATTGGGTATGATAACTGCAACGCTGGATAATTGTATCCAATTATAGGATAACATTGTTCGACATATGAACATTCTAAAATTTTTTTCATAATCTCCTGCATTATTATCAATTGATATGTGATAAAATCTTAAATTACGAACGAAAGGCTTGAAGCCATCTTATTTTTATTTCTTCAAATACTTCAAATAAATGACAATTTGAGAAACTATTCTTTGCAAAATTCATATCTTCATTTCTCCTTTTAGCTTGGAATTTAAAATTTTCATTTTATTATTTTTCATTTTCTTTAATAAAAACGATGCCTTCTTCAGGAAAGGTGATGAATATTACTGGTTGGTGAGTCTTTCAACTTCCATAGTCTATAGAAGTTGGCAAATAGGAAACGAAATGGTGTAGAAAAGAATCACATACGTTTTGTTAGGATGAGCAGTCACCAAATCGATGATTTGAATATGTTTTGATTTATATATTACGAACTTTTCACCAATTCTCAATTTTGTTTTCTCTTTATGATTTTTTAAAATTTCATTAGAAATATTTTTTCCCATCTTTGGATTAAAAATCGGATCAGTGGCACCAATTATTTTTTGCAGTTTTCCATTTGCTTTATGATTTGCACTTGTAAATTTATCCTTATCACCATAAGCGAACCATAAAAATACCTATAAGAAGAAAACTTTTTCAGTTCCAAGGTACTCCTCACATTAAGCTTTTTGCTATGAATATCCGTGTACGGATGCTGTTATTTCTATTTTTTACTATTTAAAAAGGATTCATGAATTTTGATTAAAGCAAAAAAAAAAAAAGTTATATGCAACATACCAAGAAAATGTCGAATAATCTATCGAAGACAGAAAACATTTGAAAGTAATTTTTTCCAAATGCAGTAATAAGTAATTCGGTTACTTTTTTTTATAACTTTTCTTCAATTCGCAGTTTGATTTCTATCGAAGAACCAACTATCCAACGAATAATTTCTTTAAGAATGAAAACATAGAAATCGTATATATTTTTAAATTTTCATCGATTAGGGAAAAAATAGAATATTTTTTAAAATTATCAATTATATCAATTATCAATTATCAATTATAATCAATATTATATTATTATTATAATATTATATATATAACATATTAAAAACTTATAGATTTAATTTGTACGAAATCTTTCTTCTATACTCATTATACGGAATTATAAGGAACGAAATTGATCAGGAAAATAAATGGAAAACAACAATAATAATGTTAGAAATCTATTGCTGTTGCTTATCAATATTGATAAAAGCATTCGGAAGCATTTTCTGCACATTATTATTATTTATCGATAAAAGCATTCTGGAATTTGCAATACGGAATGCATACTTCCGAATGAATTTCTATAGAGAAATTATTGCTCGTTGAAAAGTTCAATTAAGTAAGGTTGCGTAATTTTAATCTTATTTTATTGTTAAATTGTTGAATTCAGCTTAATGAAAGCACTCGCCGTTTGGCTCGATTCATTGACTTATTGGACAAGACAAATTCTATAGGAGAGTTTCTTGGAGATTGGCGATCTTGGCGAATCGGCATTTTCGATTTAGCCAGTCGTTTTTTAAACACCCTATTTCATCCAAGTTAGTAAGAAGGCTTATCCACTTCAGATCACTTGCAAAAAATACTTTATACTGTTTAAGTGAAAGAAAAACAACTTAAGTGGCTCGGCTAATTATTAGTTATAAAGCCTAAACTTGCAGCTATTCAAATCCAAGTGCGAAATCGAGGTGCGTTAAATTTTGCGAACTTAGATAAACTATTGTTGCCATCATGTTTTTTCCATTGTATGGTCAAAATTATAAACCACTTGAGAAAATTTTTGGTGTGGTGTGGCCGAATTATAATTTTCTCATCTCGTTCGCTTATAATGAAGTCGCCTTAGCTTTGGAACCAGTGGAGAAAGCCTGACGAGTAATGGTGTTGGAGAGTTGTTGGAGAAAGAAGAAGCAACAAATAATAAAATTTTAAAACAAATCAGAAAAATGCAAAACTTCACCACAGAATTACTTCTACATTACTTATTATCTAATCACCTGATTTGATGCCATCGCGAGAAATCTTGGTGCCCCAACACAACTCTTAGACTGTCGCCTAATCGTCTTGGCCCTTGCTTTTTTCCAAATACGAAATAGGTCGACCTAAATATGAAAATTTTTTGCCAAAGAGACATATAGGCCAATGCATAGATCTGTCATTTGTTCGGTGTCACCAAGTCGATATGATAGGTTTTATTTCAATTATTCCCTAAGGCTAATCTTTTCTTTGCCTTTTACTGCAAATTATTCTTAATTTAATTCCTAAAATTTCGTTTGTTTCAGTAACCCTCTCGACTTTTCTTATCGCTCTCTTCAACCTCTCCGACCGTTCAAAAAATTTCCATCAAGAGGCTTTTCAGGTTGCGAAGCTTTCGAGCAAACCTAATCGAGTTATTTCCATCATTCCAATACTTGGCCGTTTTCTATTGTCCAACTAATTTTATGTATTTTTTATTTTATACTTCGGCAAATATTCTTATATAAATAAGCAAGAAGTACCATTGAAGTTATTGGCTAAACTGCGGGTGCAAAAGCTACTTTTTGAGAAACCAACTGCAGAACCCCGTCTTTGCCTGGATGTCTGCCACATGTCAGCTGCTTATTTTCGATTTACTCTATTTTTTGCCTTCCGGTCGCACAGACTAGCTTTTGAGTAGCTTCTGCAGCCGTCGACTTACGCTTAGGTTTGGGCTTAGGCTCACGCGACAAACTATCGTCGATACATTATAGGCCATTAAGCCGCCGACGAATCACACATGTGACCAACTATTCAAATAGTGCCGAACTATAAGTAAGCGTTAACAAATACGAAGTTTGATGCATGGGAAGAATATTTGCCAAATAATTTGCCCAAAGTCTCATTTCACTTATTTTCAATAGCTTTTGAACTTGTTAGTCGTCTGTTATTTGGCCTAAGCCAGTTGTCTAATCGTTGCATGCATCCTAAAAACTTACGGGGGGGGGGGGGGGGGGGGGGGGGGGGGGAGCATTTCCAAACGTTTCGATGCGACGGCTGAAATGCCAACCTGAAATTAATTAATCCTCTTTTAAGCCTCATTATCGCTAGTAAACGGGAACCAACTAATGGCGAATACGAGAAGTCGACGAAGCGCGAATGCCGCCGATAATCTCAATCCGGCAATGATTTATTTATTGGATACAATACGATTAAAAGGGGAATTGCAATTGAGGGGTTTGAAAACGACGGGGAATAAAGGCATTTTAGCCGATCGCTTGCAGGTTTGCATCTTTGCCTTTTCTTTTTTAGAGGTCATTTTCTTGTTTCCCTTGCTTTTTTTTAGGGGAATTTCTCATTTGCAGGATGCAGTTTCTCAAGAGCGTTCTTTGCCTTTGGGCAGCAAAGTTCTTGGCGATATGGAGGAAAAACAGCGCTTAAAAAGATTTGCCGAGGTAAGATTTCCATTTCCTACTAATGGAACTTTATTAGTACATTGCGAAGGTGCAAGGGCTTCAACATGGAAATGAGGCATTTCTAGGAAATCTATTTATAGATTTTCATGGACTTGGATGAGAGGAAATTTTCTATCATTATTTGCAGTAGTCCACCGTACCTTTCAATTTTAAACTCTTGTAAAGTCCTATAAACTGCAAGGTCGTCAGCAATAGGAATTACAGATCCTTTGAGTTGAAAATATTTTTCCTTTCAAAATGGTTATTCGGAAGAATCTTCGAAGTGAACTTCTCAAATATAAACTGGCAGAGAGTTCCACGGTGCAGAAAAACGTCTGGTTCAAAGCATTTGAAATTTTATAGTTTTCAATTTCTCAAGAGATATTACATATTTCAAAAAAATAAAATGTTTCTGACTTGAACTGAAATATTTATAGCGTTTTTTAATATATATTGCCGTTAATTAAAATAGTATTTCTGAAACTATGCATTGAATAGTTCACCGCCACCAATGATTTCCCATTGTCACCGAAAAAGAAGAGGAAGGAACCAAGTGAAAAGATAAATATGATCGAAGGACCACTTTCAGTGGAATTTCCAGTTAGTTTTCTTTATCTTTCTATCGACCTGGTGCGAATATAACAATATCATATCTTAAATAAAAATTATTTCAATAATTCTATTCTATTTTTAAAATTTTCTTGAATAATAGTTGTTTCCTTTTCTCTTTCTAAGGTTGCTTTCGAGTTGGCAGGTTCCATTGGATGAAAGGGCAAGTTGAAGTTTCTCAGTCTGATCTTAAACCTGAAATTAGCTAAAGCCATTTTTTTTCCACCTTGTGAATTTTTTTTTAACTTTCTGAGCGTTTAAAATAGATTATTTACCTCTTATTTTCCATTTTTTCTATGATATTTTTTATACATTTGTCGCAATTCTTTAAACGAACTTTGTGTAATATTTCAATATTTTCAGAAAAAGAATGCCAAAAGTGATTCGCCTTTTTGTACTAACAAAGTTGAATTTGAAGATGATCTAAATGAAGTAAGATAATAATATAACTTGTAGAATACACCTATAATTATATTGTAGTTTACACAAAAAAACAATTGATGTGGAACTTTGAAAAAAATTCACAGTAGGCTGATTTACAGAAAAGACACGGCTAGATTTGTATATATCACAAAAATAAAGTAATATGATAAGGACTTGAGGCCACATAAGAATTTCTATTTCACGTAAGCATTCATCTTTTTTTTTTCAAATTAATCACATTGATTACAGCAAGATGAGCAAGCAAGAACCAATTTCCCAAATGAATCTGCTGCGGAAGATGTGAAAGATATCGCAGAAGCTCGTATGGGTGAAGAAAAAAAGTTTTTCGACAATAATAAACTACCAAAAAGCACCAATATGAATTCAAAAGAACCAAAAAAGGTATAAAAAGTGCCCAAACTTGTCGTGCCACGGATGAAAAATGATGTTGACTTGAAACAGCGAAGTCTAGGAAATTTTTGCAATCTTGCTGGCAAAGAATTACTCAGATAATAAAATTGGACAAATAGAACGAGAATTCAACTCATAAAAAATCAATTTTTCAGAGGAATCACAGTTATCTGAAAAGAATTGTGGTGTTTCAAAAGCAAAAATAGGTGCAATAGATTGTATGTTAATAATGAAAAATATTGTGGAAGGATAGACCAAATCTATTGAGATAGCTTGAATTATTTATTTTTTGAAAAAATTTTGAAATTTTGAATTTTTAGGTTGATGAAAAAGAAAAAGAATCTACGAAGTCGAAACAAGCAGTTAATGAAAAAATTAGCGAGAAAAAAGAATGTGTAAACGTCCGCAAAAAACTTCCGCTACGACTACAATCTCCCGTTGATGTATTGGATTCGATTTTTGATCAACAAGTGATTATTTCTTACTTTGCTATTTTTTCTATATTTTGAAAAAGGAGCCAAATAATCATTGTTAATTTATTGTAAAAGGCAGAACTTTTGTCGAACAAATTTAAATCAGAACAACAAAAAGCTACTGAGCGACAAAACTTGGAAATGATGAAACGTCGGCAAAGTGTGGCACCTTTCTCGCAAATGTCTGCTTCGATTGAAAGGCGTAGGCAAACAAATGAATGTTCGAAAGCTAATGTGGACATTCATTCATCACCAGTTGATCAGTCATTGAATGTTGGTTAGTGATTTTTGGTGCTTAATTGGTTCTTAAACGAATTTCACATTGTTACCAAATTTCTCTAGAAATTTGTTTTTCATTTATTCTTTAATTCCTTTTAAGAAGTGCGATAACTAAGTAGCTGCTTAGATCGTCTAGTAGTGAATTGACTTCTGCCTGCGACAAACGTAAATTTATATATCAAAAGATCCTGATTTTAGCTTCTATTACGAAGTGGATCCCTAGTAGAAATTTTTCATTATACTGAGTGAGTATCCTGATTTTAGCTTCTATTACGAAGTGGATCCCTAGTAGAAATTTTTCATCATACTGAGTGAGTAAATCTAAAGAAAAGTGATGAGCTAACCATTTATTGTAGAAGGCAGGGTACGTGAATAACTCATCATTGTTGGTTCAAGTTGTGCCTTCGGCAAGAATGCCATTTAAAAATTCTGGGTGGTGCTTGTTTCTTTACCGTAATTTCGTTGTTTAGGAAACTTAATAACCATTTTTGAACAAGATATTCAGTTCAAACCAGTATACTTTATGAAATCTAAGTTATGCGTTATTTTACAGAATAAGAACAAAAAAATACTCGAATTTTAATTGTAAAAAAATTTTGCAGAAAATGTGCTAGGTAGAAGAGATTTGCTGATGGAGCTTCCAGCTCCTCCACCATTTCCAGTATTGGAAGAAGCAGTTGAATCCTCATTAGCAAGTACTGAATTCAATAATAAAAAAGGTGAAAAACTTAACGAAGATATTAGGGAAAAAATCATCGAGAATTTTGTCGAAAATCACGTGAAAGCAAGCTTATTAGCAGTGGAATCTTCCTCGCTAAGTCCAGACTTTAAATTTTCTACCATTGATTCACCATCTGCATCCACTGCTCCAACCTTTGTTGTGCAAGCTATTTCAAGTCGATTGAAAGAAACTGAATTTCATAATATGATGAAAAATAATTCATCAGATTGTATTAGAAAAATTATATCAGCAACAGATGAAGAAAAAGTTATGTTACAAAAGGGATTTGTGAAGGATATTCCCTTATCGATAAATTCAGCTACATATATAAATATTGAAACCTTAAACTGTACTAAAATTGCCGAAAATCAAACAACTTATGGTGATAATAATGAATTTTTTATCGAAGAAGTAGCTTATACTAACCCACCTGCTGAAATGCTTATTAAAACCTTGCTTGATGAATTGGTAGAAGCGGTTTGTAACGTTCATTTAGGCGACATTCACCTTTTTTCTACTTGATGAAAATTTTATTAGCTACAAGGATCAAAATTTATCGTCAGTTTGGGTATCGTCAGATGATTATACCGAAATTTTAAAGGCGAATGTTTAGAATTAAGATAGAAACAAAAATCCTCGCCAGTTTCAGGATCTTCGAGAGATAGAAATATTGGATAGAAGTGAAAAGTGATTTTTACAATTTCTTAATTCGCCAATTTTTAGATAATTTATTATTTTGGAGATATTTTTGTTTCGCAATTTTTTATGATACTCGTTCAAATATGATTTTTATTCCAGTTCGACAATGTCTAATTTTAATTTTGCAATACAATTAAAAATTATCATTATATTATAAAATTGAATTTAGTATAAACGAATTTTTATTTGCTGAATTTTTTTATTGGTCGATTAGTCGAATTTGCATTTTTATTTGTTCTCATTTAAAGCAATAATTCTATTTTCCAACCACTCATAACGTTTAAAATTTATGTTATGGATAGCTCTACTGGCTGTTCAGACGACATTTTTTCATCACATGGTGTCAGAAATACGAGTGGATTACCGTCGCTCACCATTTTTTACTTTAATGTCCCGTCAAAGAATCTATGATTGCTTATAACTGCTGTATTTCACCTTTTAATTAGTTCTATTAACCAAAGATAAAGCACTTTATATACCCATGTTTTTATATCAGTGATTAGCCGAATGATTACTGTTCAGATTATTGTCTTTAATACTAGATTTGTTGTTGGTTCTAAGAAGGGCAGTTCGTGTTAAAAGTCTAGGAAGCCTTATCTGTGATCCACAAATTTTGGTGGATTTTTGCAAAAATTTCTCATTGTGATTAGTATAAGCAGCGAGCCTGGTGATCAGCAGTAATAACTCATTTAAATTTGCCACTAAAACTAAACTAAATTCTATAATTTTTCCTCTTTTATCCTCATTTTTCCTCTTTTAAAAATTTTATTATATTTTATTTAAAATGTGGAAAGAGAAGCTAGCCGTTAAATAGCTGTTATTATCACCATTATTTGCATCTGCTGTATCATTTTGCATAAAAATAAGTCTTGAGATCATTTAACGCACAAATCGTATACTTATCGCATATACCACCGGGATGGGAATACTATGAGCATCGGATGATCCGGAAGCCGTGACAAAAAAGTCCTTTCAGCATAGAGGCACTTAAGGATAGAGTTACTGATTGATCTCCAACAACCATCAGGATTTTCGATGTGACAGATTTACTCCCATCGAAGACAAGGATAAAGTGGTAATGTCAAAAAAAAATTTGAGAAGAAAATTTATCGTTTAAGGTGTCCAAGCAAAGATTTGTAATAATTACTTATATCTTAGTACAGCAGTTAGAAGAGTCGACCGCTCACAAAACGATATCGCGAAACGATTGCTGTTGCATTCTAATCGAATGAAGTTCATTTCATTATTTGGCTCAGTATTCTGCTTCGGCTTTGAATTTTTTTTACAAATTGTGAGGTTTTAGAAGAGGTTTTAAATTATGATGGAATAGCGACGATATTATTTCTTTTATTTCTTTGTTAAAAAGCTATTTGATTTAGAAAATATGGCAAAAATCGTGCTTTTTAAATAAATTTTTACTTGATTTTATTTTGAAAAAAAAATAAACAATTTTAAATTTTTTAAATTTTGTTTTAACAGTTCAAATTGAAATCACCTATTTATAGATATTTAGGTTTATAATAGAGCGAACTTCCAGATATATCACTTTAAAAATATTCGATATTGTTGAATTGGCCAACTGTTGTTGATTTGAGTTGGCCGATAGCCGATGATAGGTTGGCCTTATTAGAAATGTTCGGATTCCTCGTAGAGTTATGCGCTTGCTTCAGTTACCTGTAAAATTAAGGCTTCTCGATAGACTTTATTCGTTTTAAATATTCTTAAAATATTCTTCGGTCGTTGCTCTTCTCATAACCATAATTTTTTCTATCAAAATTTTTATTATTTTGCTGGAGATTTCTTCAAAATGATTTCGATTTCAGCGCAGGGTTTCGTTCTTTTTTTACAAAAATCATTACTTATATAATATTTTGGTGGTTGTCTGATAGCCCATCGATGATATGCCTTATGCCAATTTGTTTTGGCTGCAATATGCCTCGGCCGAATTTTAAAGTATAGTTGCTGCAAATTTATCGCCATTCTTACTTCTACTGATAATTGGAATATTCGAAAAGGTTTCTTCATTTATTTCAGAGATTTCCGAGAATCTAGTTTGGTGCAAATTTACAAATATTAATTATTACTCATTGAGGCTTATAAATTTTTCGCTATTTTTCGCTATTTCGCTATTTTTTGCTAATTCAAGTGGAAATTTCTTACCACTGGAGCTCGATAAAATCGTGGTTCGTTTTGCTGGTAGCGCTGTGCGGCTTTGAGCCATTCTATATCAGCCGATCGCTGTGATACTACTGAATGCTCTGATAGTTGACTTAAATTATCGAGGGAAGGAAAATCGAGAGAAGTTCGTTGTGAATCAAACGAAATAGATTTTAATGACCTGTTCGAGATAGCCATCATAAAGATAGAAACCAGTGTAACACAACTCATAACCTTCTAATTTCCCCTCTTTGACCGTTGCATTTTGGAGCATCGTGTTTAGGACAAAGCATTAGTAGCTCTTTATATTATCAGTAGCTCTTTATATACTCATTGATGATCTTCTCTGCCTTCAATTATGAAACCCCTCGATTATCATGACTTCAGTTTGTTTGGTTGGCTAATATGTATGGCTGTATAGTGCATATCATATAATTGTAATCTACTGTTGCCATTGGCTTGACTGGCGACAACTTTTTGAAAACTTCTAATATGTAAAAGATAAAAATTAAGAAATCATTCACTTATTAGTACTGGTCCGTCGTGTTCTGATGCTGTCGCTTGAGGTGTTTGTGTCGCTTTCTCCTGTAGGAAGACTTAAAGTGGCATTCGATAGACTTTCGAAGCTTCTTAAAAGAAATGCAATGATTTGTTTAAAAATGAAATTTCTTTATTTTCTTTTTTTCACTTTATTTATTGGCTCCTTTCTCTAAAGCTATACGCTTTACTCATATAATTGGCAAAATAAAAAATAACTACCAACGTTGGCCATGAACTATAGCTGAGGGTTCGGAGATTAGAAGTTGAACTGGTACAACTTGGAACTTGTCCCTGGAACTTTTTTTCATTTCATTGTAAAACTAGCTATAGTATTCAAATTTCATTAAATTTTAAATTTAGTGCAGTAATATGGTATATTAGCCAACATAGAAACGATCGAGTGGTTTATTGTTTCGAACTAACATCTATCCATTCTAAATTCGAGTTCCTTAATTCGGGAGTCAAAGCCAATGCCATTAAAAGCCAAATCCAAATGATGCTATGGCCAAGCAGAAATGGTTATAAAAGATCCATCAGTAAAATGGATAAAAATATAAGGTGAATATAAGGTGTAAAGCGAGCTGAAAATTGCCTTTGGCTGCGGTGCTTCATTCATTTTTTGTTCAGCCTTCTGCGAAGTTTGCGAAGTTGATTCCTTTCCTTTTATAATATTTATTAAAAATGTTCGTATTTTGTCTGTTTTCTTTAGATCTAAATGAAAATAAAGACAACCAACAATCAAATGCATAAATAATTTGCCACCCCATTAATGAAAAATGCTGATAACTATCAAAGCATGACTTCTATCAAAGCTGATCAATCATCTCGTTCAGTTAGTCGTAACTGAGATTAGATAAGCTTCTTAAATGATAAATGATAAAATTTCTACAATATATATATAGCTTATGTGAATCTACATAATGCTAATCTATTTTTTTTTAAAGATTCCTCACTATTACTGATTAAACTCTGTCCACTGGCTTACTGCAATTGGGCAATGTACCAGGGAGTTTCTTGGCGATAGAAATACAGGTGAGTCACCTGGATTTTTGCACAAGTATACTCCTGCGAGGAATCGAACCTCAGCATCGGCGCTCCTAATTGAGCAACAACCCACTGAGACATTCTATCCCCAATGCTAATCTGTGCATGATTTGTCGTAATTCTTATGATTTGCTTTGAATTATGATAGGAAATAAAGTTGCATAAAAAAGTAGAAATGAAAGAAATTATATGAAAATGGTGGAATCTCAATTTAAAGTCAATTTTATTCAGAATAAACTATAAAATTACTTTGAAAAATCTGATCCATATTCGACCGCAGTGGACCAATTTCAAATCATAAATAAAAATAACAGAAAAATAACAGAAAATATGCAAATTTTGTTTTTTATTTCGATAAAATTCGACCATTCGTTATCTGTTGGTAGAAATTTGCACGCTATGATTATCATTCTTCTTGGTTGTTTTGCTATTTTTTTTTAGAAAATTAATTTTATGATCTTCTGAATGCTCAAAGCAGCGACAAACTTCATGTTCACAACATTCCCAGAGGTTCCAATCCTTCATTTTCCTATTTTTTATAACTAACCACGAGCCCAACTAAATGAAAGCTGGTTTTTTTTCGGAAATTCTCTGTTTCGCCACAATGGTCACAATCTGATAACATAATAATGGTCACAATCTAATAACTGATCTGATAATTTATTTCTGAAGTTCTCATTTACTAATAGCTTGTTTCTTTAATTTTTAATAAATTGTAATTAATATAGTTAAAGAGCGAGAAATTGAGTAATAATTAAATATAAGTTCTGATAAGGCAATATGATAATATTTAATAATATTAAAAAAAATATTTAGAAAATGTGTACAGCGAGGAAATATCAGATAATTTTTATGAAAAAAGGTAACGTGATGCAGTTTATAGGTTGAGAAATATTTTGGTAATTTTCATTTATTATAATCACCCTTTTCCAGTATTACTTTATTAGTTCAGTACTACAGTGATAAGCATGGAGATATATCAATTTTATACATCCAATTTTTTATACATATGAATTTCTGTGGAATAATTCGAAATTTACTCAGTTTTTAAAATATTTTAAAAACTTAATCGATTTATCATCATTCATCTATTAGTCATTCTGATAAGGCGATAATAAAAATCTTTTATAATTTTACAATTTTATAATACAATAATAAAGCAGTAATAAATATTCCGTATTCCTATTTAACTTACAAAGTTTTATCACATCGTTATCCTCACAATCGAACAGCAAAATTATAAATTAAATGCCGTTTGAGGTTGCGAAAATTCGACTCTTTTTGATTAAAAATAATGATAATAATAATGATCGGAATAATTCATGAATGCGAATTTGGTGCAATTGGCTTTCCACCTTTGCTTGAAGCCACAATATTGTTAATGACAATAAGAATGGCAAGAATGTGGCAAAAATTAACGAAGATCATGGTGACCCGGTAGAGAGTTAGTTCGAAACATCGCCGCAAGTTCTCCCTGCAAACAATTTATTTTACTATTTTATAATATATAGTCAATTTGGGTAGCCGAATCGTAAATATTAAATATTTTAGTAATATTAGAAGAAGTATTAAAGACTTAAGCTATTTTGAAACTTTTTTTAAAGAGTCCTCACCATTACTGGTTAAACTCGCTCCACTGGCTTGTCGCATTGATCAGTATGCCAAGGAGTCTCTCGGCGATAGAAATATAGCTGAATCACCAGCATCACCCTGATTTTTGCACAAGTTAACTCCTCAAGTTTACTCTTGCGGGGAATCGAACCTCAACATCGGCGCTCCCAATTGAACAACAACCCACTGAGCAATTCTATCCACAATTCTATTTATTTTGAAACTAATTTAAATTAACTAATTAAAAACTATTAACCTTGTGTCATGCTTTGCATTTAGCGGCAAACAGCACCAAAAAAAGCGAAGTTTTGTGAATTTGACAATGCCCCATGATAGAGCGATTAGTTTTATCCAAGAAGCCAGAAATACAGGATTAGCGAGAGACATTCTAGGTTCATTTGTGAATAACACATATAAAAGTCCAGGCAGTGGAACCTAAATATTTTCGAGGCATTCATATAATTCAGATGTAATAACCAAAGTAAGCACAGAATAAAGCAGTCAAAATTACCTCTTCCGCTGCAAGTACCAAAGATTTCGCAAGACGAGCCATAAATACATTTTCCACGTCATTTTTTAGCGTGAGACAAACGTCGGTCATTTCGAATATATAAACTAGAACTGAGACGCCAGTGAAAAAAAAATAGCCATATGCGGCATAATAGGCAATATCACTTTGGAAATTATGCAAATATTCTGCTATTCTGTAATGAAAAATAATGAACAGTCCATCATTCCAGTCTTAAATTTCAGTCTTACGGTCTAATTTTTTCCACCAAACAATTTCTACTGATAAAATTTCATTCAACATAAATTCGTTGAAGTATTGAGAATTTCTTCCAAAATCTATCTATATTTCATTTTCCAATCTCAAATCCTTGAGGGCGAGTGAACAGCTTTAGACTTTTCTGCGACCATATCTCAGTAACTCTCTGATGCATTCACATCCTAGCAGTCAGTGGACGTAGAAATGTTATCAGAAGAATATGAACAAGGAAAATGAAAAATAACTTCATTTGATTCCACTTTTATGGAAGATTTTATTCGTAAAAAACTTTAGACTTTATACCTTTACTAATCAAATATTTTTTTATATTTTATTTTATATTTATTTTATATTTTATTTTATATATTTTATATATTTTTTATTTATTAATATTTATTTACACATATATATATATATATTTTTCATTAAATTCATTAAATTAATTACTCTCTTTTTGAAGCGCTCGATTAAAAAAATCGTTTTTATAAGTACCGGGAAAATTTTCTGGATACCTCTCGAAATAGAAATACTCAAAAAAATCGTATATATTAGATATTTTCACAGCTTTAACTGCAATGCCACTAATTCGCACATTGCTAAAGCTGGTTGCGATGTTTCCTTTTGTAGAATCCATGGGCCGAAATTACCCAAAAATTAGGTATCCCTATTTATATTTTATTAAAAACAGAGTACAGTAAAAAGAACTATAAGTTATATAATAGGTGTACTAATTGATACAACAATTGGTCAGAATTTTATTCTTCGAATTGATTCTATTAAATTCCTTATAATTGCTTCGAAACGGAAGCAAAAAGGCTCCTATGGGGTTATAAAAATAGAAAATGGGACCAGTGTGCTTTATTAATAAATTAAAGAAGTATCAATCAATCAAGGATCAATAAATAGGATGAATAAGATTTATAAGGCAGTTCTATCAAAAAACAGGTGCATCGAAGTTTAGTGGCAGAAAATGATTCAAATAAGACGATGATAGTGTAAAAACGAATGATAAAACAATAGATGATGATATCGATGGTCCAGCGAAGGGAATAAAAGTCCTGCGGACTCAAAGAGGATGCAAGAGGGTCACTAAAAGTAGCGTTTTTACTTTCGCCGTTTCACGATAATAATACTTACCTACTACATAGTAAGAAATCTGCCATAAGGTCAAGCGTCGATGCAAATAATGTGATAACTGAAATCACTCGTATAGGTGGCGCCCACTCCAAAGTATTACTGAAAAAGTGCAAATCCAACATTAATATTTCTTTTTATGTTAAATTTTGAATATTTATTTTAATTTAAATTCAAATTTTTATATTATAAATTATATTTCAAATTTAATTTAAGTCAGATATTCGTTAAATTTTTCTAATTAAATTCAGATAACAATAAATTTGATTAAATTTTTTAAATGAAATAATAATCAAATAATCAAAAATTTTCTAATTAATGCGAAAAATCTCTTTGTTTCAATTTTTTATCGAAAGATTCTGGTTTTGAGAATTTTAAGATTTAATATTTTGCTTATAGTGATAAAATATAAAAATATTTCATTTTTATTAATTTGATTATATAAGAAATTGCTATTCTTTTCATAGACACCGCAGGCACTTTCGACATTTCAGCAGCAATTTTTTAAAGTTAATGTTAATTTTTGCTATTATATATTGCTTTTTTTCACTGTTATTGGTTAAACTCGCACTCGACAAATATGCCAGGGAAATAGAAGTACGGATGAGTAGCCAACATCGGGCCGACTTTTGGATAGGTTTACTCCTTCGGCAAATGGAAGAACCTCAGCATCGACGCTCTCAGTTGGTCAAAAACCCACTGAACCTATTTTACTTTGCAATTTTGTTTCATTTACTCTTTCTTAAATTTTTTTTTAATTTTTTTGAAAAATTATCGAGTAAAACAAATTTATTTTTGCTCCTTCAATTATTCATCAAATCTATTCGAATTTTTTTCGAAAAATTTTTCCTTATTTACATTTTTCAGTGTTAAAATATTTAAAAATAAAATGGATAAAAGAATTAACAAGAAGTAACAAATCGAAAAATGACCTATTTAACCCATCGTCTTAAATAGCTCTATGAAGTTCACCTTTCAACTACTGGGAAATGTTTATTAGATTTAGACGAGATGGAAAATATGCAAGAAAATTTATGCGACTTACTTTGGTCCCGAATCGGTCCAAGCCAATTGAATTCCCATAATAATCCAAAATTGTAACTACAAATAATTTTGCTAAAGATTCGGTTTAAATGTCGTTTCCTCCGTGGAAATCGAATGCTTAGAAGATGAACTCTCTCTAAAACTATTAACCAATACGAACTGCGATATATTACAACGGATTCGAAAACGTACAAACAGAAAATTTCTACAATAATATAAACGAGGGAATGTGAAAAGAGAACTCTTTTAAAAAGATGTGAGCAGTTGCCCCACTGACGTAGTTAAATACTACCTTATTACCTGTTAAGTTTTATTATCAACAATGTTAGAATGTTTCTTAGCAATTTTTTGTTTTTTATTGATATTTTTAATATTTCGATAATATTCTTCAGTTTTATAAACCGTATTTTTAAGCCACCAATATTACCTCCATTTTAGAAGAAACTCTTTGGTCCAGAATTGGTCCAAGCCAAGATGACAGGTGTAAGTAGATTCGTATATGCCACACCTGGGTTTCATTTTAAATGGTGGTTTTAGCGAACCGATTAGGTTTTAGGAACCGATCTTATGGTGCTTGATCTTGGCCGAAATAACAAAACACTCGAAATAATCAACCATCCTTTCTACCGCACATAATCGATCTAATCACTCAACCAGAGTGATAACAACTATTCTCGAGAAAATTCAAGAGAACATAGGAACTTAGCAGATATTAGAGTTCGATATTCATGGATTTGTTAAAAAGTTAAGACTAATTTGTACGCCATTCATTTTCAGTTCAACGATTATTATTTTAAGTGACAAAGCTTTACTAGTCATTATTTAGAAAAAAAAATTAAGGTCAACGTGAATGCTCAGCTAGCTCGGAAACATTCTTATCCTTGTAGCCAGTCGAGCCAACCTAACCAGTAGTGCTGTAAAAAAGCAGTTAGAAGCAGAAAGAACGGTCGTTTAGAAGTTTTGCTTTATAATATTTCAAAAAAAAAATAACTAAAAAATATACTTCGAAAATGATGAACCAAATATTCCGACAATTCCTTTACACTGATCAGCTTTTCCCAACAGATGATTCATTGAATTCTTCCGCGATAATTTACTGATGATGGCTCTCATTAATTCAGAATTAACCATCCTTATTATCCATTTTTTAACATTAAATTCTATATTTGTTGAGTTGAATTCATTGAGATTTATAAATATTGCGGTGAAAATATTTTTTCTTATCCTTATCTGTTTTTCGAGATCTCTTAATTTATTCAAAAATTCGCAAATTTTCAAAGTATCTTTAAGATTCGGCAATTATTTTGATTAACATTATTATCATTGATAAATTATTTTCATAGGCATGTATCCTCAAAATCCTTTCTGCCATGAGCCCTCCGGCAGTGCCGTTGGCTCTTTCGCTAACTCTTTTTAAGATCTATGCTTTTCTTCGCCACAAACTTTTTATAAATGCATAAAACATAAAGAGATGAAAATATTTGAGATTTATATTGATGACAGCTATTGCCCTTCAATAACTCTCTAGCTTGTTGCTCGCTTGACTTCAGAAAAAATTTCAGCGAGAACTCAGTGAAAGGAAAGTTGTGTTTCCAAATTCGTGAAGGACCTAAAGGCTTTTATGGAGTTCAATTCAAGTAGGCTTAATCCTTGATATTAGTGAACTTAAAATAGAAACCTAAAATAGAATCTGAATGGTACTGGGGGTTAACCAGTGCATCTATTCCCCAACTAAATAGTATTAGTAATAGTAAATAGTATTACTCAAAATGAAACTAATATCGAATTATGAATGATTTTCATAAATAAAGTTGATTGATAAATGCTTTATGCCCTTTGCTATTAATTGTTTATCGGTTAAGTTAAACTTTAAACATATCGTTGTAATAAATAAAACGTAAGTATAAAGCAATAGGCGCTTCAGCTAAAGTGAAAAATTCTCGGATATAGAAAAAAAATCGCATTTTTATCGAAAAATAATGAATCAGTTTGCATTTGTATCCGATTGATGGATTACATTTAGTTCAGCTGATTACAAACTGAGAAAATTGTAATGATTCGCCTATCGCTGGTTGGTAGATAATTTAAGAGCAACAATTGCGATGAAAGTTTTCTCGTAAGGTACCACACGTAGTTTTTTAATTGTATCTATGCATCACGGATTAAGAAGAAAATCTAAGAAGGAAAAAAAATCTAAGAAGTTTTTATAGTGCAATTGCACAAGTTAGCACAGCATTTCGCATTCTTTCAATACCAAATATTAATTCGAAAAATAATTTTTTAAAAATAAATTTGGTTGTAGAAACAATGTATTTTTCAACGACAAAATGCAATCACGAACTTTGTAACAAAAGCGAGAATAAAATATGACCATTGATGTATTTATTGAGTGGTGAAAATTCGAAATCCAGATGACCTATGTTCCTAGTGTGAAGCGATGTTATTTGTCAATGGAGCTCAATATTCTAACATAACTGAATCTCTTTCAAACAAACTCCGCTTGATCCGTTATGCAAGGAATCCAATTCATCTTTTCATTAATCAAGTGGATTTTGAAATAATAACGGATACGAAGGAACCTATTAGAGTGATTACAGATACGATAAAAAAAGTTAACAACCGATTCAGTGAGCAAATATTGCGAAATTATCATACGAACAACTGAACTTATGCAAGAAACTTTCGGTACCAATCGTATGAAAAACCACAAGTATCATTGGTATCTACTGGTATTTACGAAAGATTTGTTGTAGGACGACCAAAACGGCTGTCCTCAGATTTTAACTTATGCTATAGTAAGTTCGGCTCATTTTTAGCCAGTTTTTGTTCAGTAAATCGCCATCTGTAATCTCAATAATAACAACAATAGTTAACTCCTCAGGAATGATAATTTGCACTTCGTCCGTTTTTGGTCACTAGAACGAATGGAGATAGAAGAAGCGAGTAACGGAATAGTGATTGATTTAGCTATACAACTAAGCCTAAGCCTAAGCCTAATCTGAAAATAACCGAAGAAAGGCCTTACATAGTCAACTTACATGGAAAACATTGTAGCCAAAAATACCAAAAAATTATAGCAAATTATTTGGGCATTTGGAAGCGATGATTTAAACTCTCAGCAACTATCCAAGCGGAAGCAAACTAAAGGAATATGACCAGATCATCACTCCACAGTTCCAGAAGAACACCATAGATGAGGTAGAAATGCTGCCTTCAAAAGTTCGATTTAGTCCCGATTTAGTCCTCCGCATCATCCAGTATTTACACCTAGAAAGACGAGCACAAAACTACATATCGTATTTGATGCGAGTGCAAAGGATAGTAATGGTGCATCCTTAAAATTATGAGTTACAATTATGAATTTACTATTCCATTTGTTTTTTTTTTTAAATTTTGTCGTAATAAATTACTGCTTCAATAACTTCAGAAGAATATCGTAAATAGTTTGATTTATATTTATAAAACGTTTATTATATTACATTTTTAAAATTCGAAAAATATGACAACAATTCGAACTAATATCCTGGAGCCAGTCGTGGCACTGGACAGTGGTCACAAGATCCTTGTGCGCCCCTTTCTCCTGCTGGTCCTCTTTCTCCTGGTAACCCATCTTTTCCATGCGGTCCTGGTCTGCCTGGTTCTCCTGGAGGACCTGGTGGCCCAGGTAAACCTGGTTTACCTTGGGCGCCGCTTTTGCCTGGAAGTCCTTTTGGGCCAGGTGGCCCTGGTGGGCCTGGTGGTCCCGGAGTCCCTTCAATCTGAAAACATGCTTTCTTGAGCTTATGAGCTTATGATTAGTTTATATTGTGAGGATAGTAGCTAAATGGAAAGAGCTATGCGATGATCTAAAAAGGCAATGTAGAATATAGAAATGGATATAGGTAATGAATATAGAAATAATATGAAATCCTCACCTCTATAACTATTCCTGGTTGTCCAGTATCTCCTTTCGGACCAGCCTGACCGGGCAAGCCGGGCAAACCTGGCGGTCCAACTGGACCGGAAGCACCCGGCTTACCAGGTAGACCACGTTTACCATGCAAGCCTGGTTTACCATTGGGACCTTTAGGGCCTGGTATACCTGGCAGCCCAGGAGGCCCTAAAATTTAGATAAATGTATTATGAAACCGAGTTTTGAAGATTTTGAATTTACGAACTAATTTCAAGATGAGGAAAATTCGATCTAATTACCTGGTGGACATTCGAAACAAAAATCTTTTTGCACTTTGTATGGGTGAGCATCTTTGCCATCTTTACCATCTTCACCAGGCATTCCATCAATCCCATCATCACCATCAATGCCTGGTGGACCAATCGGTCCAGGCGGCCCAATTTGGCAAAGGCAAGTGTCTGGATCATGCAAAATTTTTGTGGAAGAATCTACACCCTCACTTTGTGCATGATATGCTGCATTAATTGAATTTGCACGTTTGCTACGATCTGAAATCGAATAAACTTTAAAAATTCCCTATGAAGGAAGAAATTTTCCTATAAAATTCATGTTTGGTAATAATTGGCGCAATAGAAAAGTGGCAACAATTCCGCAGATTCGTTTGAGCTTTATAGTTGTATTTTCCATTTGCGGTCCTAGAATAGTCATAAGCTTAGAAGTACGGGCAGCATAGATCCTATGCGATGCTATTCCAGTTTCTCCTAACAGCAAGTACCAACTATGGTATGGCTTCTGCATCGATTACTAGAAAAACCTCTTTACTGAAGAGAAACTTGGAAATAAAAATATGCGTGAAACTTATTAATATTGCTTGATTTAACTTTCTGATCGGGTGAAGAGAGATATATATAAATTATAATTGTGCATATTTCGGCTTAAACGTTTCTAATTCTAATACAAATTGGTAAAAAAAAACCAATGCAGTTTCAGACTCAAATTTCTATCTTTTATTAGAATCGAAAGTATATTTTCGTAAATTTTATAGAAAATCTAAAATTCCAACTGTTTCTATTTTCAGAATTTTCGAGTCATTTTAGAATTCGCATTGAAATATTTTTGATATTTATTATTCAATATAGTTCCATGCGCTCAAGCAATTCCATCAAAACAGTTGTATTTAACTTTTAGGATTTTTATGAATGATGAAATTAATAACGTGAAAAGGGTTTAAGCTTTTCTATGATGGCCATCGCGTTAATTGCTACCTTTCAGTTTCTAAATTAGTTTAAATTGAAAATTTTTGGCAGAATTGGCGGTTGCATTAGGACCGTATTATAATAGCATAAAAACAGCTTCCTCTTCTTTCATATTATTCGAAGAAGCGTTTGGCCCGTTATGATCGAATTTCTAGTCTTTTAAAGAATTTTATAGCCCATAGCGACATACCAAGCTGAGCTGTTCCAATAAGAAATGCTTCCATTCCTGACTGCGGCTTTAATCTCGTATAAACACCTTTGTGTGCTTGAGTCTTTGCAAATTGTTGCCACATAGAGCCCGTAGTAGATTTACAATAATCTGCTTCCAGCTAAATCGTGATTCATTTAATTAAATTACTTTCTTAAAATTACAAAAATATTGGTGAAAAAAGAGAGTTTTTTTATGATAGAGATCTGTTTTATTATAAATTTAATTTTAATAATTATAAATATAATTTTATAATTTTACAAATTATCTTAGGCCTCTTTAAGCCTTAAGCCGTTTTCTATGGAACGAACAAATTTAAGCTGGCTCAGATGTTTTTTGAATTTTTATATAATTTTTAAGAAATTTTCTGGCAATTTGCTGATAAAAAATATCTTTTAGATGGCCAAATTTTGCATGGTGTTAATATCTTCACTGAAGAAGACATATCACATAAAAAAGTGTTTTCCAATAATTTATCGGTCTTTAATTAATGAATTTCAACTATTAAGTAAATCCGACCATAACTTCTTGCATAATTCCTTCATTTTTCGATGAGAAAACCAACTAATCCGTGTGAATGTTGGCTAAAAAAGGATTCAAAATGAGAGATAAAAATGAGAGATGACTTGCAAGACTGATTGAACTCGTTGCATGTATCCATATAAAGCCGGTATAGCAATAACTGTAGTTAGTGCAGCGACTATCGATAAAATTATGCCAAAGAAAGCGATTCGACGCAACGATTCGGCTTCATGAAATTTCTGCGAGATGTCTATAGAGTATTCGTCTTTATAACATCTCATCTTGAAATTTCCTTGAAATACAACCAGTGGATTACGAATTCATTATATTTGTAAAAAATGACGCAAGAAGAAAAAAAATGGCTCATGAAAATAGCGTAAAATTTTAAACCGATACGTGGAACTAATCCGATATTCATGCAATTATTTCATGCAATTATATCACCATTGTGATAAAATACCAAATAATTTTCGAAAATTTATCGAAAATTTTAAGAATAAATTAAAATTATTTATGGCATTGTTTAGGCTGATATCACGTCCACTGCTCCATTGCATTAATCTACTGCCTTCTTTTCTGTTTTTATATTCTATTTTTTTATATTATTACAAGCACATAGCCATATTATTGTGCTTAGAAGTAAAACATAAAGAAAGGAAAGCATTAAAGAAATCGAAATTTAGAACAAATATTTCAAACTTTTTCATTAAATTTAATTATTAGAAAATCATTTATTAGACATATCAAATTCCGATTCGAATTAACGTAAATAATGATTTTGATTGATAAAATAGAAAATGATAAAATGTCAAAAAACAGTGAAAAAATTTTCCGAACTAAATAATTTTTATATAAAAATCGCCGATTAGTGAAAAAAAAAATTCCAGATGAAATCGAGAGATTTATTTTTTAATAATTCACATGAACTGGTGAATTTTGCGCGTCTATTGTGTGTCGCAGATTTGCTTATGAATATAGCTTAAAGAAAATGAAAAAATCGCACAGGTTAAGTTTATCGTGCATACAGGCTAGATTCAAGAACAAATATGGACTCCAAATAATGGCATTTTAGTTAGTATTGAAGAAGTTGTTGAAGTATTGCTCACGATCTGAATAAACGAAAATTTGAAAAGTCCGCTTTCCTAAGGGAGCTTCTTTCTTTTAAAACCCAATTTTCGTCTTCTGCGCTACAAAAATTGCATGTTTCCTAAAGAAATGCAAAAATGAGAAAGCGGCTTTGGCGCAGTAGTAAAACGAAGATTGAATACGAATGCTTGAAATGAGCGTTTTGTCATCGTAGGTAGTTTTCCTTGAAAGAACGTTGGTTTCAAGGTGATTTATGTTTTATATCGAGAAATGAGAGATCAGCTGACATTTTTCCACATTCATACGTAACAAAAAAATCAAATTAAGCTAATATTATAAATTAATATAAGCAATTTTGAAACCTACAAAAACTTAATTTTAAAATTTGCTTTTAGATGGTTTGACAAATTTTTTACTTTTTTTACTGTCATAATTTTTATTTTTATCATTTATCATTTTATTCATTTCATTCACAATTATCATTTCTAGAAAAATCTACTCAGCTGGATGAGGAATTCTTACTAAAAAGCCACATAGAAGAAATATATATTGGTCGCCATATGACAGGTTTATTTCTGTTGAGAGGGAGCCGGAACTGAGAGATAATACTGCTTGAAATGATGATGTGAATCGCCTCTGGGGATGAGGCAACTCCTTTAGTTATAAAAAAGGTGCAAAAATTATACGATTCGACTGTTAGATTTATTACTATTTTTCTGAGACGAATAGATTTTTGCGATTTTGATTTATGTCATTTTAACATGACTTAATCAAAATTTAAAATTTAGTAACACTTTATTAAAGCCATAGCGGATATTTTGATTAAGCCATAGAATTTAATAAATTTTTAAAGCCATTTACAGCCATTTGATGTGGATTTTGCGGAATTATCAAGGAAAAGTGAGAATTATCGGATTATGTGAGTATGCAATAATCACAGACACTATATTTCAGCCTGAAAAAATTGCTAATTTCTTAATCCGATTTCATGAAATATTTAATTTGTTCGAATTACAAATGCACAAAATCTTAATACCAATATTCGCTTCTGAAAATGATATTTAATATCTATTGTATGGAAGTTTAGTATCCCAGCGGTCTTCATCCATCTCCTTCTGGTACTGCTGGGGCATTGGCTATGTGCTCTTCGCTAAAGAATTTGATGCACACTATAGTGCCACAGTGCCAACCGGATTTCAGTAGCAGATTTTCTTCCGTGTTGAATTAGCAATAAAATTTATCAAGCCTGCCTTTAGTCTAAGCAACATACCATTCTGTCTCCGTCATTATTTTATTCCAGTGATCGTAAATTTTAATCTTATTGTAAAAATATTTTCTCAAATAGAATTACCTCATAAAACTGAAAGCGTTAGATGCTTTTGTTAAATATCAGATAATCTAAAAAAAGTTCTTCGAATACTTTAAAAAAGCTATAAATCATGGAAGAATTATTTATAATAATCGAAAATGATTCAAGAAAATTAACAAGGAAAAGCGGTGAAAATCAGGAGTTGCACTGAACAGGTTCTTCCGAATATTTCAATAATTAATTTATTTCTAATCGCAAATGACTTTAGGGGGATATATTAATGCGTTAAGTTGAATAAAAGAAGTTGAAAATCATTAAATACATATTTTTCAGATCAAATGAACCAGTTGCGCTTAAAAAAACACCTGAAATTGAATGATCTGTATCAAAATACAATTATTCATTCTTTTAATTCCTCGGATAGGCATGCAAAAAATAAGAAAACCCAAAAAAAAATTTGCTATTTACTGTGTTAATAAATAGTGTTAAGTTAATGCAAAAAATTATTTGCACCTAAACAAAATTCCCATCACTGCGACTGGTTTTATTCATTTTCTCGTGGTCCAAAAGGATTTTGAAATTTCGAAGCTACCATTTGGAAATAAATCAGCTGAGGTTACACAAGGATCTTCATGGACTACGACTGGTTAAAAAGAAAAATTATTAAGAAATTGCTGCATCTCTACCGAATAGATGATTGCTTGTTGCTGAGATTATCGTCTCATTAAGATTTAAAGCCAACTGCCAACACCAAACTTGTAAACTTGTCATAAAATCCGATGAGGACATATCTGCACTTCGTCCTAAGTGACATTAAATAGGCTAAATTCCCTGGCTAAATTCTCTGATTAACTGACGGCTAGTGAAGTGGCTTTAAAATAGTGGACCTTGGCCATCTACCAATTTGAAACTTCTTTAATTTATTGCTTCCGGAAATTATTTAAATCTGTGTAACTCTATTGATAATTGAATTTTTTCACTGCTTCGTTTGAAAAATCACTTTCCTTGTTCCTCTATTTGCCTCGAGGTACACAAAATAGTATTTCACAGTCGAATTCAGAATTGAAGAAAATTCAAAAAATTCATAATTTACAAATAAATCCGAAGAAAAGAAAATATCTGTCAACCTGTCGAATAATGCTGCGATTTTAATCCGTTTAAATTTGGCAAAAAAAGTAATTATTTATTTCTTTGAAAATTTCCATCATTCTTTCGTAGCATACGACGATTTATTTATTTATCTATCAATTATGACTGCAGTAATTAAATAAATTTTTTTAAGCAAATTCATCGTGCATTTTCTTACTTTTTTTTTTAAAAAAAATTACAGCGAATGAATAAGAAAAGTTTTTAAAAATCGAAATTCAAAAACTAAAGAAAATTCATTTATGTGAATTTTTTAAATAAAAATCGAAAACCATTGAAATAGAAATTCAGAACATTTCGAAAGATCTCAACTGATTTTATCACTATATAGTTGCATTGAGCAATTGAATAGGTGATTAGCGTTCAATATTTGTGGTTACGCTAGCTGTGTTATTTATGCTATTAGAAAGCTTACCATTTGAAGGTAGAGGCGATAAAATTAGAGATCGCCAAAATTTTTATTGATAGGCTTACTCGTATCGGAAAGAAGGGCCAGGCCAAATCTTTATATTCAATAATCTAACCACTAAATTATTTTACTCCATATGTAGCTGCAGTACTGAAATTGCAATTCTGCTCCCATGCAATTTAGTTTAGCACTCATATTTAGAGAATATTAAATTCATATTTTCCATTTCACTTTATATAATAATTAAGTGGCAGTTAAATTGTATAATTTTTAAATTAATTTAATAAATTAATTAATTTAAGTTAAAATTTAAAAGCAATAAAATAAAATATTATCGCATTAACTCCCAAGACTTTTCATTCAATTCTCTTCAGGAATTTAATAAAGCATTACTGAAATTATTGTAAAATTGTAAAATTACTGAAAAAAAATTACTTGAAATAGATGGAAATATTGTAAAGGAAATTACATATGGATTACTAATTATTTTTTCTATTTTATTAAATGAATTAAGTAAAATGTTTCTTTCTAAAAAATGTTGGATTTATATTCAATAATGGATTAATTGGCAATCGTACTTTTTGAAATTATAGTAACTATCACCATTTCTACAGGTGATGAAAGGAGGAAATCAATTTCTGCACGAAAATATGCGGTTGTTGTCGGATATCAACTGTAATTTTTATCAGTACCAGCCAATTCGATCGTGGCTCATTATATTGCATCCAAAATGAAAATTTTGATTTTGTGAATATAATAAAACACGTTTTGACGACGATCGCTTGGTGTTCAGTCCTTTAACTTTCGCCATCTCTTCTTTATCATTTAAATGGCCTTCTGTGGTATCAGTGGTAAATGTCACTGTCAACGACTGATAATGAAGGCCTATTTGAATCCTTTTAATTGCATAATTTATAACATGTCAAGAAAAATTTATATCATTGCTAAAAGTCTGTAATGTGTAATAAATAAAAATTGTTAAGAATTGAATTGGAAAGTTTGCAAAATTTTCATTATATTGGCTTATTGCCCTGAGGGGAATTTTTTTCCAGAAGTAAGATGAATAATTTTTTCTTTAAATATTAAATATGAATTGTGCAAATGAATATTCTTGCATTTTTTTTTGCACAATTACAACCAGATTTGTTTTTAATTTTAGAATTAAATATCTGCCTTTTCTGTTTCCTTCGAAATAATTTATTATTTTACGAAGTTCCTCTCTTAAAATAGCTCATCATCCACCCAATGACGCGAGTGAATGAATTAACGGAATTCCCAGTGTCCTTATTTATTTATTATTCAATGAAATCGCAACCGAAGGAGCGAACTTGTTAAGCAAAAGAAAAGAAGAGGAAAAGTTTGATTTCACCATGACTCTCGAGGTATAAATGGGGGATTATGAAACTATTTTCAACGAGAGTAATCGAACGATACATTGCTTCGATTAAAGTTGAGCGTCACAGGTTTGATTCATCTTCTTGAAGATGAAAAAGGATGAAATCCTACATTTGAGGACCCATTTATATTTTTTCCCTTGAATGATTGGCTCTCTAACGAAGAAATTTCATTCTGACAATTGATGCAGCCAGTTAAACTGTTATTAGTTGATGGTACTGTTTGAAGTAAAAATGGTAAATGTTTCCATGAAATTCTCATTTTCTAAAGTAATGTCTATATTCTATTTCTTTTTATTCTACAAATTCTACAATTTTTGCATAAAGAATGATGGCTAGAATGGCAGAATGGCAAAGAGTCTCAATTAAGGTCGAGTTTCGCTTAATCAGACAAATCTTTGGGCATTCAAATCATCCAAAAACTCGAGCAAAATCAAAAATTTAAAGCAAAGTTTTTTTTTTAAAAAAATCAAAATTTCGAAACCGTTTGTGAACCGTAGAATATCACGTAGAATTCTACGGTTGGCGAGCGAGCGAGCCATACCGCAAATACATTTTTTATAGATTTCACGGCTCTGAAAATTATTTTTAATTCCGAAAATCGAAAAATTCTATAGATTACTGCTCATTTCTAGCAAAATTTAAAAATTTTAATTCGCACTCGGAATTTTAGCGTTTAATTTAATATGGAAATAAAAGTGAAATTGAGTTGCATCTCAATTCATTTTCAACAATTATACAATTAAACAACGAAATTTGTTGCATTAATTGTTGAAAAATGCGTTTATTTGCGCATATAACAACATTATTTGTGATTGGAATGAAAATTTAAGAATCGTATTGAATTAATGAAAAAGGTTGGTAAAAAGTTGAGTAAACTAAAATTTTCCAAATTTTTGCTTTTTGCTTTTTTTTGCTTCCATTATTAGAATCAAAAAAAGAATCGTGGAATTTAAAGCTAAAGTGGATTAGTGCAATTTTAGCAAATAGCGATGAATAAGTTCATATTATTTACGGGAATTTATGGGGATTAATTTTGTATTAATTATACAAAATCTTTTGGCTTTGGCATCTTAACGTATTAACAAATTCGTCAGACGAAAATTATTACTATTTACATACCTTTTAAATTAATCTTAGTGGTGTATTCATTCCAGGTGCATAATTTATGCTCACATTTCCCATTTGCCGATGGTAAATATGTTGTAACGCAGAAAAATTGCACTGCGGAACTGGATCCTCGAAACCTGATCGGTATCGGATTATAGATGCCTGCCGTAAAATCGTCTTCATACTAAAGCACAGCATTTAACAATTAGATCAGTAGCTGATCAGTTATTTTTTTAACGTAAAAAAAGTGGCGAAATTATCAAAATCTGTTAAATATGCTGAGATTTCGGGGTTTTTTTTTGTAAAATTTGAAGGAAACAACTAGGATTATTACTTGTACATGCTCAAATAAACTAGGTTCTTTTGTACAACCATTTTCATCAATGATACGATATGGCTCTTTTCCTTCACCACTTACAGTGCAATTACCAACGTGTAAACAATATCCTTCTTCAGGTTTGCATTTAATTTGATAATAAAGTTCAGAGTTCAAGCTTATTCCTGAAAACAGATTGTTATTGATACCACTGCTTTGTTTCAGTTCACTGATATTGATATTGTAGCACTGTTACCATGGTTCATAACAAGATTTTCATGCAAGCTTTCTAATTCTCCTTCAATTTAATATAGCCAAGAAAATTTGCCACAGCACAGACATAAACTCTTTTCATATTTGTTAACGTTCAAGCTTTTAATTATAAAAAAACAATATTTTCCGAAAGTTTCTGTGAAATGGAAATCGAAAAAGAAAAAGTCAATCTCTGTTAAGAATACCTGAGACAGCTTCACCTCCTGGGCCTTGTTTATGGACTGAGAAAATGCAACCAGAAATTGGCATATGCGTTTTATTGATCGACACTTCTGGGATTTTTAGCGGAATATTTGCTGCATGAACTATTGATAAGAATACACTTAGAAGGACAAATGATGATCTTCGCATGTATCTCCAAAAAATTAGAATCAAATCGACGTTTAACTCATTGTACTCAAATAAAAATGGTCGCTAAAAAAGTTAGCATTCGCCATAAAATCGCAATATTTTAGAAGCTTAGAATCATATTATTCTAAAGGTAAACAAATAATTAAATATTCGATATCAAACTCATAATCAAATAGAAAAAATTCATTCAAAAGAATTCATTACTCTCATTATTTCTTCTAGAAAAAAGTTAATAAAAATAACACATTTTTGACAAAGCAAAAACAAAAATTAAATTCGTTCTTGCATGGTCAAATGGAAAGAATCATATCCAATGAAAATAGGATAGTGGACTGGATAGCTGTGTAGAATACCGTATTGCGAGGTTTGGAGTCGGCTCTTGTCCTTGGCATAAACCTGTCATTAAGGAAACCCCGAATGTTGCTGATGGCACGCATAATTCTATAGCTAAATCATTCAAAAATTCCTAATCGTATAAAATCTAACAAAAGAGCGAGTCCAACCAGAAAAAAATAAGTTCTGACCACTTATTTATCTATCTAAAAATGGTCTGACAAAATGAGATTATCTGACAAAAAAATGGACAAAAATTATTATTTCTTGCCAAGAATTACTTCAAATTTGTTATGTTTCAATTTATTCATAAATTTATTATATTTCAATTTATTTTAATAAATTTGATTGAATCAATTAATTAAACCCTATAAAAATTTTATTTTATATATTTATAATTCTATTTTATAAATTTTGTAATTTTATATTTAAATTTTATTTCATTTTTTTATTTTATTTTAATCAGCTGAATGTTCTTTTCTTTTTCATTTTCTATAAGAATTCCTATCACTTCTGGTTTGGCTGCCAATATTTCTATAAGAATTTCTATCACTTCTGGTTTCGTTTGCGCTCACCACTACCATCCTATAAAAAGTTCTAGAAAGTTTTTTAGAAAATCTAGTGAAAAGCATTTTCTATGGAAAAATTCAAAAAGAAGACCAAAAATTTCTAAAGATTTAAAAATTTTGAGGGATTTAGAAAAGTCTATCAAATATTTCAGTATAATTAAATTTTTTTTTAAAGCACGTGTTCCTTTATAAATTCTTAAAGATTTTCAAATTTAATATTTTATTTATTTAATATTTAGAATATTTAAAATATTCAGGGTAGTTGTTTTACAAAAAGATAAATCGGATAGATTTTTAAAATTCCATATTTTCAAATTCCTTTTTTTTAAAATGTTTGGTATATATGCAAGAATGAGTGGGCAAGCGAAACGTGATTTCGGTTGAGGCCCATCAAGCAGTAATAAACGTATTATTTAAATGGAAATTCGGATGATACTCGAATCCGCTTATACTACTACTTTTACGTGGTTCCCATTGAACGCAGATGGATTTCATCCTTTAGCACCAACTGAACCAGAAAAAAATGAGGAAGTGAGAAGAAAGAGGAAAAAATGAATCGCTCAGTATACTATGGATTATTCGCCATGAAGTTAAGATTGAAGGAAAAAATGAGATAACTGTTCGAATTATTCAATTTCAGAATTAATATAGCGATCGAAGTCGTCGGCAATAATCTTTCATAATTTTTTTCTTAACATTATTGAAAAAATCTCGTTCACCTTGGTTCATTTAAATCGACGGAAGAATTGGAATTGTTTTGTCGACGAAATCACTAATGTTAATCAATAAATTACTTAAAAAAATGAAAAATATTAAGATAGGTTAAATTCACTCATATTTGGCTGAACCTGGTTGTTGCTCTATTTCCAATTAGCTTTCGAGAGAAAAGGCTTTGTCCTTCTTATTGCCTAGTAATCCAGGTGATATGTGTTGGCGACTCACTTGTATTTCTATTGTTAAGGGATTTCCTGGCACATTTATCGAATGCTATAGGCCAGTAGAGTGAGCAAATTAAAAAAAAGTTGCCTGGTATAACGAAAAATAGCGAAGGTTATTAGAAGACAAAGGATCATTGATACGATTTGTTTTCATATTAATAATTTATTTTAGATCAATTTTTATATTTTTAATTTTTAAGAAAAAGTATTAAATTAAAAAAATGATAAAATAGCAATAAAAATAGCGAAATTATTTGTTTTTATTAGAAAATATTGTGCTAATTTTGAATTGAAAGTATTCTAAAATTTTGAAAAAAATTTTTAGGGGCAAAACATTTTAAATTTCAAATTTTAAATATTAAACAATTCTTGCTTTATATTTGCTCGCTGCTTTGATGTTGTCACGATGAGGTATTTGGCTATAGAAATATTGATAGTTTGCCAGCATTTTAATGATAAGTTTGCTCCTGAATGAAGTGGAATCCAGTGTTCTGATGCTTGAGACGATAATCTGAGCAAAAATCATGCTGCTTCAAATAATGTTAATCACCTGCGGTTGGTTGTTATACTGTTTTAAATTATTTAAGAGTTGCTAGTACTTAAGCGAAGAAGTCTGATACAAAAATTTTTAACTATAAAAAATCTTGGAAAACGATTTCAGACAAGAATTGAAGAACGGATTTCTTTCCTTCAATCATCAATATATTTTTCAAAATTGAATGGTATAAATCGACTTAGAAATATTAAAAATTACATATCAATAAATAAAATATACATTCTACAAGACAAGAAAAAAAAAAATTTCAAGAAAAATTGTTCGGAGAGAAAATAGATGTGAAGAGGTGTCACTACTCGCGCAATACACTCGTTGTTCTTAAATTGGGTCATTAGGACAAATCCTTCTCGTCCAAGAGCTCTTTCCGATTAAAAATCACGTTTTATGGCCATATTGTTATCATTTATATAAAAATTTTTTAAAATAGGTGTGAAAAAAATATTTAAAATATTTTTTACTTTTTGCTATTTCTTCACATTTAAATATGTCGCCGATCTGCTAAATTCCTTTGTATTGAAGCGAGGCTTGCAAGAATATTGTACTGCTTACTGCTTTTTGTTGTTGTAATATTACTTATTAAAATAAAAAATAATGATGGCTTTTTGCGTAGATCGAAGATAGAAAAAAACCTATATTTGAGATAATATCTCAGAATTTTTCAGTTATATTAACTGCTGAAATTTGTTTTTTGAAGAAGTTTCTGCACCATCAGAATAAAGCGAAATAAAACAGACTTATCCATGGTACTATTTTGCGCAAATCCATTTCTTCATTTTGTCTGACATTAATAGTTTTTTCATTTTTCGTTTTTTCCATTTTTGCAATCCCGCAATTTTATATTTTTCTATATTAATGGCATATCATAAGAATATTTTTTAAGCTCTGCAATTCAATAATAAAGATCAGTAATTCAAGCACATAGCTATTGTTCTTCTTCATCTTAAACAAATAATTTTTTTTCAACGAAAACTTAATGCAAGTGAATTATGGGAGTAGAATGGCCTGGTTATTGGCCTCATTTTCAAGCGCCGGAGCTCTACTTCCGACGAAGCAAACCTGTCTTTCAAAAATCCGCATGATCCCGGTAACCTTGTCTTTCAGAAATTCGGGTGGTCCTGGTGATTCATCTATCACCAAGTGACTCCTTGACTAACTTGACCTAGTACATCAAACCAGCGCGATCTTCCTAACTTAGAACGCTTTAAAAATAAAAAGAGAGAAGAGAAAAAAATGCAAGTTGAAGATATAAGGTGTAATTAAGTATTGAAATTTTAAATTCTGGAAAGATTTTTCAAGGATTCTGGTCCAACTTTTTTATCATTTACTAATTACAAACCTTTCATTTTTGGACTGAATGTTAATTTATTTTTATTGAAAATATTATTCCATATAGATAAACGAAATAAATATAAATCTAAGGAATTATTTGAGATTAATGAGTAAAAAAAAAATTTTTAGGGCACAATTTTAATCATTATTAAATCCTTTAAAACCGTTTGCCAAAGTAAAGCGGAATAGAATTGGTTATCCGAACGCTGCTGAGATTTTCCATGAATCTTCTACAATGCTTGCTTACCTGTTTAACAAAGCAGTTCTCAGATTCTAAGATATATCTGATATATCGAAATTTTTCTTGCTAGGCTCTAATAATGTTCGCTTCCGACAATATATCTTTATTATAAAACATGTAAAAACAATAAAATCTCGCATGATTAAAATGATCTATTATTAATCCAAAAGCGGCTTTTTATGATCATTTTCGCAAATTGATGTCATAAACCTGAACATTGTTCATATCTGTTCCGCCATAATTATTTCCATAGCCACTTCCATATCCTCCCCATGCACCACCCCATCCACCGCCCCAGTTGCCCCAACCCCATCCTCCCCACTGCCTCTTGAATCTTCCCCTGAAATAAATTTGTTAATTAAGTAGATTGTTCGAAAAAATAGAAATTTGCAGATATAAATTTTAAGTTCAAATTGACTTCTAAATTTTGCGAAAAAAAAGGCAGAAAATCAGAGTAGATCAGCCAAAGTCAATGTTTTTATGAGAACTATGGAATCAGTTGTTTTCTTATTAATAAAATACCCAATTAACGCATTCATCTTTTAAAGCTTAGAATTAAACAATTTTCTCTTATCTTCTTTTTGTCAGTGCTAACCATTTCCTTAATGCTGTGGATGACCTTGTTCAGGTTTTTCTTAAAACGGAAGGTGGAACAAAAATAACATCTTATGGTAATTTGTTCCAGTAGTCAATGTTCCAGGAAAAAGAAAAAATTTGCCCGATAAATAGGCTTCCTCTTCTTCAATCCATTATTTTTCATCCGTTATACGAACAACTTTTGTATATTTAGTGCCAAAAGAACGAACAAACTTTTACATATTTAGTGCCAAGAATGTGAAATCCTCGTCATTAATGCTAAAAGTTGAGCCAGCGATAATGAAACACGTTATTAATACCATAAATTGGATTTTCATCATTTATCATTAAAAGATCTGAAAAAAAAGAGACTACAGATTTTGATGAATAAAAAATATAAAGCATAGGTTATTCGCATTAAACTTTCTGCGTTTTTTGTTCGATTAACACAAATTTTATTATTAGCAAACATCAGAAGGCCTACCTAGGTTTCTGTTTCATGGCAGACTTGAAATGATAAAATTCAGTGTGTGTTCGGAAGAAAGAAACGGCGCCCATATCAGATGTAGCTATTTTATAAATCCCAAAGCGTAACTGCGCCCAACCATAATCCATTATGAATTATAAAATCACAAAAAGGAATACAACTAAAATACTGAGAGGGTATATGGCAGAAGAACGAAGTGTTGCGGAATATCGACGGGGATAATTGCATTTCAGAATGGTTCTGTCTCCACTATTTCTTTAAAGATACTTTGATGCGAACTAATTGTAAATTGCATCATCACTTTAATAATTCTGTTTATTACCTCTCACCAATGACAAAATCTCTTCAAAAACAAGGAAAAAAATTATTTGTACCAAAAGTGAAGAGGAAAAGAACTACGCAAAGAACAATTTGGCGATCGTATGAAAACATTTTCCCGTTTTCCATAAGCAATCATTAGGTAAATTCAATGGAAAACAAAAAAAACAGGCTTTTTTTGCGATTCTCGTGGCTCATTTTTAAATAAAATCATCTATTTTTACATCAATTTATTTAGACTGTGGAAATGTTTTGATAAAATGAAGCGTAAATTTTTCCTGCTTTTCTACAAATTTTTTTCGTTTACACCAAGTAAAAAGCAATTTGAGCAATTTTCGACGATAATTCAGAAATTTTCGCAACTATATAATATTCGTTTATAATGATTTCATTGTGCGATAGCCATTTGATAAGATAAAACACAAGGAGCCTTACTCGATATTCCATTAAAACTCCTTGTGTTCCTTTTTATTTCAAAATTTGTCTATCCAGAGAAATTTAAGGAACGTTTCTTAATGAAGAAGAAGACTAATCCAATCAAGAACTGGGCAGATATAGTCTGGCGAGATTTTAAATTTATAAGCGACATACAAGGTTAGAGTTAGAAAAAGAGTGGCTTCTATTATTTCCAGTCATGGCGTTGGACTGAACAATTCGCCTCATCGTTTCAGCTGACTCAGCCAAGCCTAATCAAGGTGAGGTGTTGCGAAGTGCTGAAAGAAAAAGATGCTTCTTTCAATGCATAAAACAAAGGCAAAACGCGGTATAAAAATGGATAATTTCCGTCGATGATAAAATTAAGGATTCCGCAAAGGCATTTTTACGCATTCATTGTATAAGGCAAATTTAAAAATTTGCTAAATTTCAAAAGATGTGTGAAACTGAAAAAAAAAGCATTTCTCGAAACAAACTACTTTCGATTACTATTACTAAGAAATTCATAAAGGTATCCGATAAATAAAGGTGTCGTTGAAACATCCGATTCATCCATTTTTCACTAATCTTTTTTTAAACAAATGTGGACAAGTTTAATTTATAACTTTTGGTTCTTTGCAATTTTGGCTTACACTGGTTCCTGGTGCTTTTGACTTACACTTTTAATCTAATTTCGTTGGGAACCTAAGGAATTAGATGCAAGGAATTACGGTCGAGAGAAAGGCTATTTGCAAAAGAACTTACATGATTTATATTTTATTTGTGTTTATCATTAATTATATATATATTATAATTACATATTTTAAACAGTATATTTATCAAAAAATTTTAAATTGATATTTAAAATTCAACTATAATTTAAAATATTTAATATAATGATCCTTTGTTTGTTGACAAATTCATGAGCGAAATTTCATGAAGAAAACTTCAGGAGAATTTCTGATAATTCATAGACGCGTATAAAATACATGGGTTGAGTAACTGAGGCAAATACCGAAAAAAAATCTGAATAAATTTTTTTATGGACTGTTTTCACAGTTTGGAGAGAAATGAGGAGAAAATCATTAGAATTAGTGATTATCAGATTGTTTCCACGCTCATCTCTATAATCACCATTATCTCTCCGCACTTGGCTTCAAACCCTTTCATTCCCTTCGGTTATTTCTTCCGTATTCTTTCTCCGCAAGGCTTCTTGAAATCTGCCAAAAATATTTTAAAAAGTCGCAAATTTCGGCTATGAATAATTGAGAATCATGCTAGCATAATTGCTAAATCTCCGAATTTTCGCTAATATTTCCATAAATTTCAGAATGCTAGTAAGTTTTCAATCCTTAAAATGTGACGAATAGCGAGAACCGGTAGTTTTCAATACTTTTCAAAAAGAATCATTCCGAAAGTTAACAATAACTGCTAAAAAGTATCGTATATCGGAGAGCTATTTGTGGCATAAAGAAAATTGAAAAGAAACTAAATTAAAATTTATAGAATCACACGGCACTTTTGTAATTCATGGCAATCATCGATTCAACATTGACCAACACTGTATAAGAATTTTGAATTTTAATGATTGAAGAATTATAGCCATTTTGTTGATAATCAGACAATGATGATAACATGGCCACAGGCAATTTTCGCTTTTGTGGTCCAAATTAAAGGCCAATTCAGCATTAACTAAAGGCCAATTCAGCAGTGACTGCGTAAATTACTGTAGAATGAATATCGCTTACTTCGAAAATCAAAATCCGAAGGAAAAAATTCTTTTAAATTAGAGTATTCTTGGTACTTAGTTTAATGGTTTTCAATTATTTCTTCAGCAAATTCTCCTTAGTTTCTGCAATCATTTTCTTAAAATTTAATAAAAAATTTTTTTATTGAAGAAATAAGAAGCTAATTATTGGTAAATTGGTAATTTTCATATAAATATTAAATTCGCTTGCATAATAGCAATTAAGCAGATTTCAATTGAATCCTCGAAATCAGTTAATGGTGCAATGTGTTATTGCTAATATTTCAGAGTGCTAAGATGCTAAGATTCTACTGCTGGCTGCATTGAACCTCAAAAATCTTCTCAAAAATCCAAATGATACTGGTAACTCATCTGTATCCTCAAGTGACTTTTATCTCCAAGTCACTCCTTGACAAAATTTGTCTGGTCTGTTCTGAAAGCCAGCAGAAAGACCCGAAACAAAAATATTGAATTCTATTAGAAAATCGATTTCGAACAAATGTTTGGTGTGATCGTTAAGAACTAAAAGTGTGGATCTGAACTTCGTGAGGTACTCTTTTTTTTCTTCTTAAAATTCGTACATCCAGAAACAATATAAAATTTTGACTGCAAATATTTACTGATTCCAAATGATGGCGTTGGAAATAGATTAATGATATCGGCAAAATGATAGGAGTTAGGCTTTGATGGGACTTAGCGAAAACCAAGTGTAAAGCGGTGAGGGATGGAACTATGAAAAAATGTATACAGGTACAAGACAGGGAAGTTGGGAATGTATGACTATAAATGAGAAAAGTGGATGTAGAGCCGCTAGTACTGGAAGAGATGAATTATCGTGAGAAATGTAAGAGTATAGAGCCAAGATAGGGCCCAAAATGGATGAATGATTATTGAATTACAAAATATTGCCGAGTGGGCCAAGAAGAGGGAAACGAAATGCTCTGAGAAGCAGATCATGCGAGAGGGCACAGCATGTGGAATGTAGATGGTCGCCCATTCATCTTCGACAGGATTCGTTCTTTGCAATATATAAAACGTATTAATGGGCAGAATCAAGCTTATCACTACATAAATCATAAGTCGAAATGCTAGGACTTTACTGTAAAATAGCATCATAAACTTGAGTTCATATCCGTTTTGCCATAATATTTTCGTAATAACCCCGCAGTAATCCTCCCTATCCATTCACTCGTCCATTGCCCTAAGCCTTTGAATTTATCTCTGAAATAAATCTGCCTAATACATTAAATATTTGAATAAATAAATCGAAATAAATAAAAATAAATAAACAAATTGAAATAGAAAATAAATAAAATAAAAATAAATCGAAATTTGCAACCTTTTTTTTGCAGCTTTATTTTTTCGCAATAAATTTCGTTGCAAAACAAATTAGCAATTTATCAGTGCAGGGACGAGAAAATTCTTGCTTATTTGGTAATTTATCAGAATTTGGAGTTTTCTTTGCTAATATTGAAAGTTGAGTCAATGAGCCAATCTTATCAGTACAACTTTTTATCGCCCCTGCACTGATAAAGATTGAGCTTTTTACCTCTTATTATTAAAATACAAATTCTGATAATTCATAATAGAAACGTACGTTTTTAAAATTATTTTTCGTAATATTTACTTCTATTGCTCATTTCTGATTTGGCTAGCAACTGTTAGTGCTGGCTACTAGGATAAAAGTTCACTTCGCCAGAGAGTCAAATAGAAATAGGAGCTTCCACTATCTGGATGCCTTCTTTAGTGATAGGCTTACTCTTATCAACGGGCAGTTATCGAAACCATGATGAGTCTCAGTCTGAATAACATTGGGCCATTCTTGCACCATTCTTTATCTATCATGTTTTATGAACTATTCTGTAATTTTAATTGTTACTGAAAAAAGTTTAATTTTAACATGAAAAAAAAAACGAATTGGCAATACCATCGAAAATATTTTCTTGTTTTAAATAACCAATTATTTCACAAATTAATGAAAAAATAAGAAAAAGCAGGTTTTTTTCGATTCCAATAGTTTATTTTTACATAAAATAAATTGTTTGTTTTTATATTTCGACTGAGATGAAATGCAAATTCTTTCCTTCCAGCAAGCCTTTTCTTTGACACCAAATACAAAGAGACTTTTCGCCTAACTAACTGATCGATCGAATTTTCTTCTTTTTCTAACAACCAACCACCAAGTACCATTCTTAGTTGCTCTGATGTCACTAACAGCAAATTTGAGGCGTTTCGTCGATAACTGTCCAGAATAAATAAATTCTTTAATTTGAAAATCAATTTCTATTCAAAATAAACACCATTACAACCAGCATATTTTTGCCAAAGACTCGATTTTCATAAAAATCTAAGCTTTCAGAGCAATGAAATTGCTGGAAAACATTTTTTCCAGTTGAAACTGACGAGGAAGAGAAGGTGATAAGCCTAGTATTTTTCGAAAGAAAGTCGAGTTCCATAGATCGAGGTGGATCGAAGTGGAGTTCCATAGATCGAGCATCCAGCTATTTCGTCATGCCTTAGAGAAAAGAACCATTTTCGAATCTTCGCAGCGTTTAGCATATATTAATGAGCCCTCGTCTGATGTTCAGTTAATTCGTGAGGTATAAGCTTTTTCTCTTTCCTACCTTTGATTTCTGCTGAAATTAGGAGTTTAGATAATTACAGTGGCTTAGTCGAAATATTCAATTGAAGGAAATGCTAAAATAGTTAATGGTTAATAAAATAAAAAACTAAATCCCTTCTCAATATGGATTGCCTAGGAAATTGTGAAGGCAAAGCTAAAAAAACCTCTGATTAAAGTCAACCACTTTTGTCAATGCTCTTTAAATATTATTTCAGATTTATTTCATTTGTGCTTTTACCTTTAGTTAAATTTTCTTGAATGAGAAATTATAGAACGAAATGTCAATTATGGATAATGAACAAAATTTTGAAGATTCGAAGTTTAACACAGAATTTGGAATTTAGAAAATTGGTATTCTATTGATAAATTTGTTAACTTAAGAAAATTTAATACATTTCTTTTTCTTTTTTTTTACGATCTTCTTTTTGGCGGAATTCTGTACAAAAAATATATAAGCAATGATTAGTAACATAGAATGGAATGGGGTTGCTATAAGGCAAAGAGATTAAGGAATAGAATGACTGAGTGGGTTATTGCCTCAATGCGGAGCGCCCTTGCTGAGGCTCTATTCTCTGGAGGAGTAAATCTGTCCAAAAATCCGGGTGATGCTGGTGACTCACCTGTACTTCTATTACCAAGGAACTCCCTGGCATAGTTGACTAGTGGAGCGATAAGCCAGCGGAGCGAGTCTAACCAGTAATGGGCTCTTGAAAAAAGGAAAAGATATAATAATTTAGTTATGCGTTATGTTTAATTAGCAATATTTAAAATGAATTGACAATTATAACAAAATTTAATATTTAACATCGATAATTTTCATATTATGTTCAGTCAAGCCACCCTATTTATTTCCAAAATCCTTCCACATACCGGCACACCCATCTCTCCAGTTGTCCCATCCTCTTCCCTCATGAATTTTCCACTGAAATTTATTTGCCTATAACTGCCAAAAAAAACTGAAATCCGTGTCGCCCTTCAATTTCCCTCTCTAAATTTCTATATTTCCATCAGTATTAGAAGATCGGTTTCAACGGTATTCTTTGAAGCCTAATTAATTGTGCGAGTCGATTTCAATATAAGAGACGTGCTGAAACGGTCATTTTATGGAATCAAAGATAACATATTTGCACCAATTTTGTATAAGAACAATAAATTTAATAAAATAAAAAATTAAAAATTATGCCACATCAGATATTATGCAATATTATTGTAGTAAATACTCGATCACAAGCAATCGTCACCTATTTGGTATTACCAATGTGGAATTTTTGTTGTCAGCGATAATCAAATAAATTATCAGTCATATAGCAATAAGTTATCAATTTAATAGAAAAGTATTTTATAAGAAAAATATTTAATAGAAAAGATAATTCAGTAATAAATAAAATATGATAAAGATAAGATAATAACTCATTATATTTAGTTTATTTTCCTATTAATTCTTTAATACCAAACGTTCACAAAAAATTATCGCTGAGGTAGCTAAATATGAAAAAAAATTTCATTTTTGCTCTAACTTTTTCTTTACCGAATATCATAAAATAAAATCTAAGACTTACCGGATGAGGCGTTCAACTTCGTATCAGAAGGTTCGAGTATCGTAAGGATTTAGCATTAGCTATATTTCTCCAGCTGCACCAAAGAGGAATGAATTTTAACAAAAGCATTCATTCGCTGAAATTAATAAATATTAGGTTTGAAAGTATTTCTGAAATTTTTTTCTGAAATACAAAATACTATTATTTTTATTATTCCTGTTGTTATGATTGCTGTGTTTTATTGTATACTATTTCAGCAAATTTCTGTTTGAAATGAATTTCACTTGAATTGAATGCTGGAAACAGAGGGGACGCGATTCTCTGATTCTTAATATTTTTTTGCGAAGGAACGGCTGAGTGGACAACTCGAAGTGTACTCGAAGTGCATGCACCAACAAACACCGATTCACCATTTAAAAAGTTCATAAATTATGATTCTGATAAATAAAAACCAATTTTTTTTGAAATCAGTAATAAGTAGCAAAAATGTTGAGAAAGTATTTCTAATTTTAAAGAATAAATATTTTTATTTGATTTTCGTTGGCTTTTTATTAATTTTATTCACAAAAATTAAAGAAAATTCCAGAATCGATGAAAAAAAATGGAAATTATTCAATAAATGAATTAATTTGAAAGTATTTTTTTAACAGAGCATTCGTCTGATAAATTAGAAAATACAAAAAAACATTTTGATTTTTTGATTTTAATTGCTTTCCAAAAGGAAAATATTTATGTATTTTATATCGAAACAATTTTAAAGATAATATTAAATAGATAATATTAAATATGTTTTATATTTTGAAGCAAAAATCCGAGCCAAATTTTCTTCTTTTCCACAAGATTTTAATTCTAATCCTTAATTTTTTATTTAACGGCGAAGATCGTTGTGATTTGGCATTTGCAACTATAGAGATGCACCGTTTCATTTTTTGATAACAGATTTAATCATCTTATCAAGGAATTAGAATCGAAAATTGGAAATATTTTTATGCAATATTTTCTAGTAATTTAGAAATTCTCGTTCTTTATTTTAAGAAGAATAAAGATTTTCAAATTTATTAGTATTTATGTAAAATCTAAAAAAAATTTAAAATTCGTTTGTGCAAGTACAATTCTTTTGCAATATTTTTGTGGCGAAGTTATTTTGGTAAAATTAGGAATATTATAATAATCAAATATGAATTTCATTCAGAAATTTTAGTCATGAAAAATGAAATTTAATAAAAAATATTGTTATTGGCAAATAAACTTGTTTCGTTTTTTGAATATTTGACAGATTTCTGGCAAGTTTTTAGCATAAACAATATACATCAATAGAAGTAGCATTATTTAATGATTATAATTCATAGCTACAAATTGATATCCACCACCTCAACGTTGTTCATATCGAGTCCGCCATAATTATTGCCGTAACCACTGCCATACCCTCCCCATCCACCCCCCCATCCACCTCCCCAATTGCCCCAATTTTCACCTTCCCATTGCCGTTTGTATCGGCCACTGAAAAGAAAAAGAGCTTTAGAAAAAAGAAATTAAAAAAGTTTATTTAATCATTTTACTTGAAAATCATCGGAAAATTGAAATTTTTGAAAAAAAAAAGAATTTATCTGAAGTTTTTTTCGAAACTCTTTTGAGAAACATAGCCAAATTTAAATGGAATTTTTACAAAAATTTTATATTTTTTGTATGAAATAAATCTTTTGGAGCTGAGATTATCACTATCATTGTGAGAGGAAGAAAGGAATCACTTATTAATTCCTGTAGCGTCTCCGTTTTGGATAGAACGCGCGACAATCTGGCAAACCATCCATAAAATAAATGCATTTTTCATCGCTAAACATACGTTTTAATTTTTGATTTGACGATATTAAAAATCTGAAAAACGTAATTCTCTGGAAAATATTTTCAGTAGCTTCGCCAGGTTTCGCCCATCTAAACAATTTAAAAAAGGCATCATTTTTCTTAATTTTTTCAATCGTCCAGAATCAACCAATTTCGAAAAACAAATATTATTCGTGGAAATATTGTAAAATATTATAAAATTAATAAAAAAAAATAGGCTAAAACTGAAAATGAATTTTCTCCAAAAATTAATTTTTGAATTTTTTGAAGCAAAAAAAAAAGAAATTAGCCATCCGACCGAGTGGAGAATATATTAAATGAAAAATTTATTTGCTAAATCTGCTTTATTTTATTTTTTATACTTGTTTAGCGAATCCGCTGAATTAGAAACTGGCTTTTTGCCGATTTTTTATAATTTATTCAATTCATATTTTTACACAAAAAATACTTTAATAAAATAAATTACATTTTATAGATAAGCTAAACGGCAACAAATATTTTAGGGTGAATTTATCAAAATTTAGCATAAATTCTAATGGATTGTCTAAAAGTTACAAAGATACACTAAAATTTATTGAGAAATATTAAAAATTTTTAATAATCGAAAGTATAATAATAATAATAATAATAATAATTATATATTGATCAAATCCGCGACCCAAACATCTTGCCATACTCCACCGAAATTGTTTCCATAACCGGTACCATACCCACCCCATGCTCCTCCCCATCCACCTCCCCAATTCCCCCAACCTTTTCCAGATTGCCGTTTGTATCGGCCGCTGAAAAAATTGTTCTCTATAAAATTATGAATAAAATTGCCCGAAAAGAAATCCGAATAGAAATAGGATAAAGGAATGGCAATAATAAAATTGGATCCTAAATATATAATTAAAATTCACCATTTTTCAATTAAATTATTTTTTTTAATAAAAAATTCTCAATAAAAGTCGCTAAAAAAATTAAAATGAACGTTATTATAGAGAAAAATTTTCAATTAAGAAAGGGTTTATTTAATCATTTATTTTTATTTTTAATATTTGAAATTTCAATGTTCCTAAAAAATGATTGGTTTTAGTGGCTGCTGGATAAATAAAAGTATATACATTAGTCGTCCACGGGCTTCAATTCCAGTTGCAGCAATTAAAATAACGATAATTAAAAGCATAGCGAGTGAAACGCATTGAAATTTCGTTTTTCGCATTTTTCTAATACTGCAAAAGAAAAAAATTAAAATATCTCAGTTAAATTTATTTTAAGCTTGGATATTAAATTACTGAAAAAATATCGCGCAGAGAACTGATTAGATGACTTTTTATCAGTACTAACTGCTCCCAATATCGTCAGTCACAGCCAACCCACTTGTTTAATTGATTTTTCCTTTGCCTTCAATTCAACTGGAGCTCTGGAAGTAAGTTCGACGGTATTCCAGAGATTATTCGAGTAGTATTTTACCAGCGTATATCGGCTCACCTATATGCGAATAGGAAAATTTCATTTCAAAAACTTCATTAGGTCTGATCCTTTTCTCTACAGTATTCAACTATGCGGAAGACCTCATGATGAACAATATTTGATATGCACTGAAGAGGTGAAGTTAATCCAGAAGATTGAATCATAGATTTTGAATGCTGATGATTGATCATTTTGCCGACAATTAGGAAGAGAATCGAGAGATGCTGGACAGCATATCGACAACTGCAGTGCAAGTCGGACTTCCTATAGATCATGCGGTTGAAAAAATGGCAGATTAGAATATCTTAGATCCATTGTTATATTAAATTGCCAAAAGAAATCAGAGTCGGAACAATCACCAAGAAATGAGCCCTTTCGCCCGAATTCTCTATTAAATCGCCGTGAAATCACTATCAAAACGAAAATTTTCATATCTTCATGGCCATAGTGCGTAACCTCTTGTGTATTGCCTCGAAAAATGGTAGGTAAGAGTGGAAGGTGAGTGTGACTACTCACATCTAAAGAATTTTTCATAAAATTTTTATGTAAGAAAAATATGCTCGCAAAAAACGGATCTCACATGATCGCATTTATTCTAATACTATCTACAATAATAATATCGGAAAGCTATTAGATACTCACAGGAGGAATTGGTACATATCTCATTAATTGCTAAACCCTTTAATACTACGAATGGCATCGGATCAGGCCACTTGGAGGCCTTACCATTGTAGCCAGCGGAGTTAGCCTAACCAGTAATGATATGAGCCATTAGAAGAAGAAATATTGTCAGCCAAAGAAAGTGAATAGCCAGTTTGTCAATTAAATTAGTAAATATCAAGATTTTCTAATGGTATCTTTAAAAATTCGAACGAACCTCACCTATAGTTTTATTTACACGAAACTTCCTGATAAAGTGAAGCGAGGTGAAGTTTAACCAGAAACGGTACGCACTAATGGTTCGAATGGAAACAAAACGAATAGTTAATGTGACTTGCAAAAACTAGAAAATTATTTACTACGTTTTTTTAATTGTGATTTGAGCAAAATATTCAATGAATGCAAAAAATTTTCGGAAAAAATAAAAAATACATTTCACTGATAAAAAGATTGATTAATGCATGATAAAATGATAAAATGATAATAGAAAACGGTGTTTTTGAATTGATTAAACCAATTCTTTTCGACAATTATTTTTTTCCCTTATTATTATGGTAATTATTAATTTGAGAGATTATGGTAGTACTAATTTAGTTGTCCAATTTTATGTTCAAAAATCTGACAGCGTTCCATCTGTAGTTTTATTTTAATTCTAATAATTAATTTAATAATCCATTCCTGACAATCGAAAAATTTTTGCGCCTTTTCGCTCGTCCAACACTCAACAATCCTTCCAACGCCGATGAACACCTTGGAACTTTTTTCAGGCTTAGGAAAGGCTTTGGAAAACGGCCACTTACAACTTCTAGCAACTCTTGTTGCATTCCGGTTGGTTTTCGCCTATCGTTCCTATCTGTAATTGTCGACTCTGCCAGCAAACAATGCATATAAGCCGTTGGTCCAAATATCCGGATAAATATCCAGAAAATAGTTTATTTTAACATTTGTTTCTTTTATTATTAGATTTTACTAATACTTGCTAGAAGCATGGTCATGGTTTGTGATTTAGCTGGTCGAGAACGAAATGAACAACAGAAGAGAACATTTTTCACTTGCAATAATCGCTCTATTGGCCTAAAAAACGAATGCATGGCTGTCCGGTTGTTTGATGGCAACAAAAAGGGAATTCTAGTGGTGCTGCCCCCGGACCCTAGTGGTGCTGATTCTAGACCCTAGTGGTGCTGATCCAGAATTTTAAACTTTCCGTGAAAATAAAAAATTTAGTTAGTTACTATGAATTTTACACATTTCTTTTTTCTTTCAACTCCACTCTTACCACTTCTGGCTTGTCCTCTTCCGCTGACTATCAAGATGAGGATAGAGTTTTTGCTGATGATCAAACTTAAAAAGATGGATCTCGAAACGAAAACATATATACTTTACAATTTTTGAAGAGTTAATGCGGTAAAATAAAGAATTTTTCAATAAAAGAGGGGATTATTTTTTAATTTTATGAAGTTTGAATAAAAGTTTTCTGTAAGTTATTGGCGAAGCCATTTTCTAATGCTTCCAATATTAATTTTTCTTAATTTTTCGTTCCAATTTTTAGAATTATTTTCCTAGCAATTCGATTATTTTAGATTGATTTTGTTTCGAATAAGACGAATGTTTTAGTAAAAAAAAATTTACTGATAAATATTAATAAAATTGAATAAAAATTGAATATTATAGGAAGGCTTTTTTCCTTTTCCTTTTGAATCGAAAACATTCAATTTTTCAATTTCAATTTTTTCAATTCAAAACAATTTTCAATTTTTTTAATGCGACAAAATTGCTGAGTGAGTTTTGTTGGTGCCATTTGGGAGCGCTCGGTGCTGCGGTTCTACTCGCGGTTGAAATAAATTTCCTCTTTAAAAATGCCGGAGACCCATGCGATTCCGTGGCAAGATTTGTCATCAATCCGACAAACTAATGGACTCAGCTCAACCAGTTGTAATGAGCGATTTTCAAAAAAAAAATTTTTATATAAAACTGATTAAAAGATGGCGATAAGAAAATTTAAGAAAATTAATTAGATGGTGATGGATAGAATGGCTCAGTGGGTTGTTGCTCAATTGGGAGCGCCGATGCTGAGGTTCGATTCCCCACAGGAGTAAACCTATGCAAAATTCCAGGTGATGCTGGCCACCTTTTATTTGTATTTTATACAAATTCTTAGTAAATTTTTCGATTATTTTTTGGTCTTCTATGGCTGTTTTGGTGAAAAATTTATTTTCGCCGCTAAGACAGCGCCACATCGATGACGATGACGAAACTTCATTTTCATGCTATCTCCACTCTATCACTTTGCTGTACTTAACTGATCTTTATTGCCTCGAGTATATATTAAACTAAAATGTTAAAACGATTGGAATCATAAGATTATAGTAGATGGTACTAAAGACAATGAAATTCATTCAGTCTATTTTTAAGACTAACTCCTTGTTGCTTGATTTTTTATCTCTAAAATAAAAAAAAGTAAAAAATAATGGCGTGTTGGAACAATCAACAACTACCATTTTACCGCTGATAATCAAATCTTATCTGTTAATTTATCGATTATAGTTAATCAGTTTTGATGAAGGAAAGGTAATGTTCGAAGAAGTCGTTTCGTACAATAGGGCAAAAGTGATATATTGTGGCTCCGATCGGAGGAATATCGATCTCATCAAACAGATTATTCGCGTAAATTTATTTCTTCATTTTCTAATAAAAATACTCCTCTCCTAGTGAAATTTCATCGAAAGTTAAGATGGGATTCGAAGGCAAATAGATGTATGTGTTTCGGGTAAGCAAAAAGAATATTTCAACGGAATCTGTTGGGATTTTTTGCGATTTCAGTAGTAATGTTTGAAGTGATATTTAGGATCGGCGTAAAGGATTGTTAATTGAGGCTTAGGACTTAGGTTAAGAATTAAGAGTAGTATACAGTAGTATACGATGAGGTGGATTGGAGAGGGTAATGATCTATTATTCGGAAGGAAGTTTAGAGTTAGTTTATGCTATTAAGCCACTAGCATTTCTTATCAAGTAATTTCAGTCATGTTTTTTTAGATTTTTAAAGTGAAAGCGAAAAGTGAAATTTAATACTTTCTGAAAAAAAGTGGTGTGCTTTAATCGTATTCGAACATTTGTCTACTTTTGTCTTCTTTTCAATTCTCCCACTTTATTTCGGTTTAGGAGATAGCGAATTGATTATCACATAATAATTAGTTGAATTTCAGGAAACCATAGATTTTTTTTCACAAGATATACTATTGCAAGGTGATACTGATGAACATCAAATCATTCATCATGATTTTGCCGAACCATACACTGAAATACATTTCCATGTAATGAATAGTGTATTTAAATAAGTTCTTTTTCCTTGCTTTTAAATTTTTTTAAATCTTTAATACGAATCTAAGTTTTTAGAAAAAGCCAAAGTAAAAAGCATTAAAGCTTTTTGTGGTGAATAACTACCAACGCGATAGTGATAATTTATCAAGTTCTTTTAACTATCATCTTGAAATTTCAAAATTACTATGATAAATTGTTTATATTCTTGAAATAAAAATTTGTTAATTCCTTTTAACGTTGGTTTTTTTGATAAAAGATTGTATTTTCGAAATAAAACGAAGCATTAAACATAGTTGTTCCTTTATATTTGTTTTTAGTGCTAAAGTGAATAAACGAGCAATTTTCATAAAAAGAAAATTATTGATCTACAGGCTTCATGCTCTCACTGGAATGATTTATTGCTTAAAATGGTTTTGAAGTTTCTATCGATATGTATCAGTGAACGGCTTTTTGGTGTTTGTACACCAGTGTTACAGATAGTTGATAAAGATCTCTTTCTTAATGATTGCTTGTACGTATTTTTTTTTTTTAGCAGTTTTAAAGCTATCGATTTATCTCCTTTTTCAACATATGATATTATTTTTATTTTTATTATTTTTGTTTAATATTCATTCAAATAATCCAATAATCATAAAGAAGTATGCTCTTTTTTTTTATAGGCCAGCACATTTGTTTACACCAGTTGCAGCAATATATTTTGGAAATATGGTGAACAATGGCAAATTTTTAGTGCATTTTCGCAGAACATGCCCTAATGATCTAAATATCATTTTGCAACAATCTTTGGTATTTTCTAAGTTAATAAATGAAGAAGTGGATTATCCAATGGTAGTAAATTTTGAATACGATCGTAATTTATGTATTATTCGCTTCGCAGTTCTTGATGGTATCGTTTGGCATAAATTTTCTAGAATCGATATAATTAATAATAAAGTCAGTGTAATTTACAGTAATTAACTGCTAACTTTATTATTTTATTATTCTCCAATTGCAATGCAAAATAATGCAAAAAATTACTGATTTCCGATAAAAAATTGCTATATCCCTAAAAAATTCATTCATATCACAGTAAAACTTGATAGAAGCCGTAGAGGAGTTAAAATCCTACAGTATTTTGTTGTTGTTTCTGTATTCATATATATACGTATATATCATGTTTTCATAATATTTTGTAGGTGGTTACGCGTTTAAGAACAATGAATTTGAACGAAAGCATAATTTTACAATGCAGAACTGTGTTCCTGGATCAATTTATTCTTTAAAAGTATGCTTTAATATTTTTCGGATCGTAGGCCCAATTTTGCTCTTTTTGCATTTTTAAAAATTAAGGTTTTCATTGGAAATTTCGCTTATTTTCTCATATCGCAAATTTTTCATTTTAGATAAAATTTTGTTCGATTCGAAGGGTAATTGTTGATATTATGAAGGTGGAAGAAAAAAATGAATATAAAGTTCGAATTTTTTTTCGACTTAATTATCCTTGTGAAATTCGAAAGTTCATGAAAAAACCTGGATGGATTATATATTCAGATGGCGAACGGCACAGGTTTGTTTTTGAAATGAAAACATCAAATTTCACTGTCACTTTTTATCTCAATCTTTATTTTTTTTCTGTTATATTTATTAGTTTCGATTTGATTTTCAGAATTTTTGCCAGATCATTGTGAAAATTTTTCGCATTGTTTGTTTCACTCTTTCTTTCTTTCCATTTAATATTTACGAATAGCATAAAATAATTTCGATCTGATCCTTACTCGTTAATGGTGCTAACTTTCAGAAATGTTTTGTATTAAACCATCATAATTTTATAATCATATTTTTAAAGAATTATTCTAAATTATTATTATAAATTATTAAAAAAATTATTGATAACATTATAAAATTTTTTCAATAAAATTTTAATTTAAAATTTAAAATTTTTTCAATGTTTTATTTTTAATAAAAACTTCAATTTTTGAATTTAATTTTAAAATTAAATATTTCGCAAATTTTGCAACTCATTTTCTTTATATTTCTTTTTTTTCATTTTTTTGGTGTAAAATAAATCTGTTTCAGATCATTCCCTGCATTTGATAAAGACTATAAAGATAATTGTTCTGCAATAAATGATAGCCCAATGATTTGCATTGAATTGACAAATGATTCGACTGTAAGCATTTTTCAATTTTTTTTTTAATATCTCTGTTTCTTGATTTTTAAAGATTTTCGTATTTCATTAATTTCGTACATTAATGAAAAATCGATAGGTACGTTATGCATAATCTTCATTCTAAGTACTTATAATATCCAGTCTTTGACTACGAAGATGAAATTTTTCAAGTCAAAAACCATTTGAGAAGTATTATTTCCTTAATTGAATTTTGAACCTGTGAATCTTAAAATTTTAATTCGTTTTGGTGAATTTATTTGTATATTCAAATTATCAAAAAAGAAACGGCGATATTTTAATAATTTAGTTAAAATTTCCAGGAAAAGACGTTATATGAAATAATCAGCAGACTTCAAGCACGATTGAAACTGCCTATAGAATTCGCAAACATTGATGTTGAATTTTTCTCTGTTTCAAAGTAATCTTTATTAATTTTTCACATAAATATATATATATAAGCTTAATTTTCACGCAACAGCCTTAAAAAATGTTTCAAAGCGGTCATATTAGGTCTTCATTACTGAAATCATTTTTTTCTTTGTGTTGTTGCAGTTATTTTATAATAATAAAAAAAGAATTTATTTCCTAAAAAGGATTATTTTTTTATTAATCAAAAAAAGGATGGTAGGGAGGGAAAATTTCTTCATTTATTTAACTTGGGTGCGAATCAAGTTGAATTTTTTTTAGATTTCTTAGTGAATAGTCGATCAAAATTCGCCTTTATAGATATGCAAATATGCCTGTGCGTGTGATAGGCTGTGATTATCGCCGAATTGCTTGTGAAGAAGAACTTATAAAAAGTTGTCAAGAATATGTGGTTCCGGAACCTAAAAACGTGGATCCATGGTGTGTTCAGCAACTTCGTGGGTGTAATGAATTTGGATTGGAATACCTTATTGCAGCATTGTTGTCTCGTGGTGCAATTGTGAAGGATCAAATATTGGTAACGAAAAAAATTTTTTCAAAATTATTTTTAAAAAACTCTTCATTTTTGCGGGATATTTTGGTACTTCTTCCTAGATTTTCATTTTCTCCATTTATCTCGTTTTTGACTTCTCATTTTATTTCAGTTTTAATTCCGAGCATTTGTGGTAAATGATTATTGACCATTAGCTATTTTTTAATGTTTTTATTGTTTTTTTGGCCAGTTTTTTTTCTGGCTTTTTATTTTCTCAAATTTTCTCAAATTAAATGAGAGTTTGTTATACTTTTAGATTTCGGAGAGAGCTCGAGATAAATTCATTGGTCATATTGTATCAAGTTTCATCGATGATAAATTGGTTGGTCGCAAAAATTATCAAACTTTTTTTTGTTTGTTTTTTGTTTTGTTTCTTCGAAAAAATTTTAAAAATTTCATCCTAATATTTTTTCTAAAACTAAAAATTGCACAGTGGAACACCACGATCTTTTAATTTTACGAAGTGTACGGTGTGAGTTATTTGGATTCCCGTTTCTCAAATTTTATAAACAGAATTTTTGTGGATATGAATTTTTTTTTAATGTTCTATAAATATATTGAAGATATTCAGCTCACGACTGAAGTATTAGAAAAGCTCATTACGTTGGTTGATGAGATGAGGGAAACACCTCCATTACTAAGCACCTTTAAACGACTTCGACAACAGATTCTTTGCAAGAAAGATTTGCTTTTCGAAATATATGAAAAAAGTGAACGCGAAGGTTTTCAAAGAGTACGTAAGGTAGGTGGTTGATATCATAATTACGTTGAACTGAATAATTTTTTAGCTCATGAGATATAATCTTCTAGGTAAGATTCATCAAGAAAAAAAAACTCAAATTGAATAATTTATTTGTTCATTTATACCTACATTTATTTCCATTCATAATAATATGTGTTATAATCTATATTATAGGGTTTTATTCTCTAATTCCTTAACTCATTTTTTAAGGGAAATATTAATATTTGATAAATCTCAAATGGTATTGGCAGGGCATATGCATTATGAAAAAAATTTTAAGATGTATACAATATTTGCAGTATTTGTTAGTATACAATATTTAATATATACAAACAAAAAAAATTTCTCAGCGGGTGTAATGATTATCCTCCTGGGTCCTCTGCCAGAAATCCTGAGGGATTGAGGGTTCTACTATTCTGGATATTCTCTCTGATATTGTTCTTTCATCGAATTTGCTGAAGCTACTTTTCTAATTTAGTTTTCAATTCCAAGTTTCTGCTTCCTTTTTCAGGCCATGGTATTTCTTCAACTTTTCATATTCTTTCCGAACGTTTCTGTCACTTGGTGTTTATCACCAGTGATTTTTGATTCTTGTTCACTACCACTTATCTGGTTGGCCATTACTTGTTTGTCTTTTCTTTCTGGTTGGAGAAATCCCATAGGATCTTCGCCTTATTATTCTCAACGATTTTCTAAGGAATTTCTTCTTTAATCTTGTGTTGATTTAAGCCATATGCCGAGCAGTCAATATTTATAATAATAATATATATTTATAGCTTTAATAACAATATTTATTAGTGAAAAATTTTTTTGTTTTAATTTCTTATTCCTGAACCAAATTTTATCAACTTATATGTTTTGCTGAAAATTGGTGTGCGTATCTTCATATCTGACTTCAGGAATAGGATTTTAATAATTGGTTTATTAGGCCATAATTACTCCTACACGAATGATACTTGTGGTTCCTGAACTGTTAATGGGAAATCGAGTTTTACGAGAATTTGACGAAACCGGTGATGGTGCTCTACGAATTCAATTTCGAGATGACGATGGATCACATTTGAGACGTCAAAATGCGGGAGAATATATTATTCAAACAACAGTTCACAATGCCCTTTTACATGGAGTCCATATTGGCGGTAGCATATTCATAAGAATTCTTACTTTTATCTTTATATTTATTTCTCTGATAGGTTTTGATTCATTTTTCTGACTCCTTTTCTGAATTCAATTCTTTATTTGCATTTGAAATTTAAATTACTTTAAAATTAATATACTAATAATAATAATTAATAATTAGTCTTAAATGCTAAATAGAACGAAGTTTTGTGTACCTTGCTTCATCCAATTCTCAAATGCGTGACAATGGGTGTTATTTCTTTGATGATGGTGCGGGTGGACAAGCACAAAAAATTCGCGATAGACTTGGAAAATTTGATCGCACGAATATTCCTAAATTGATGTCTCGAATGGGTCAATGTTTTACTCAATCAAAGGTTTAAATGGTTTAAATTTAAAATGATTCTCGAAATATTTTCCAAATTTTTTTCCTCAAAATTTTCTAAAGGGCAAAATCAAATGATTATAGAAATTTTTTTTTAGTGATATCCGTATTTTAGGCATGTGGTATTGAATTAAAGCGAAAACGCTATAATAAGATACATGATATTATCGGTGGTAAAAATTCCGCTGGTGAACCTTATACATTTTCTGATGGAGTAGGAAAAATATCACCAGAATTTGCGGCAAAAATCTCTCAAGATATTGGGCTTATAGATTATGTTCCAAGTTGTTTTCAGGTTTTTTGTCTTTCTTAATTGAGAGAAAAATTAAGCTTTGAAATTCAAATTAAATTCATGATTTAAATCGTGAATTAAATTCATGAATGATTTAAATAATTAAATTCATAATCGGAAAACAAAATGACTGCGACAAAAAATCATAAAAAAACGCCTTACATGCTTTTCAGCGATCTATAGTTTTACAAAAAAATTATATATTTAGTTTCGGCATCGGGGTTTCAAAGGAATTTTATCTGTTGATCCAGCCTTGCAACGCCGTAAAAAATGGGCTTTGGAGAATGGGATTTGTGATAACCGTTATAAGACGAAGAAAATGAATGATCTAGATGTTATTTTTCGACCATCTCAGGTATTTTTTGTGCTTTGTTTCCGGAGTTTTGTGGATGTTTGTTAATTCTTTTTTCTTGTGAATTCCGTTCTAGGCCAATTAAGTACTGTCTTTTGGAACTCTTCATTATTTCCATTTTAAACAGTTTGAAGGACTGTGAAAATGAGCGATCATTTTCTTTGTTTTTTAGGTCTTCGTATGTTTTCCTAATGCTTTCATACTTAATAATCCAATTATATATGTTATGTATATATATATATATATTTATATTTATATTCAAATTCCATGAATTCTCGTTGTAGGACAAATTTCATGCCCCTAGGACGGAGATCATTGAAGTAGTAAAATATGCTTCGCCCACCGCAACGAATCTTAATCGTCCTTTTATCAATATTTTGGATCAAGTATGAGTTTTTTAACAATTATGCCTTTAACAAGATATTAGATTATCGTTCTTTTTTTTAAAACTGTGCCGATCATAAAAAATTTATTGAGCAATTCCATAAACAAAAGGAAAATTATAAATATATGGCGAAATCTGCTTTTATTATTTAATTATTCAAATTTTTTTAAATTTTTTCAAACAAATTGAAAATATTTTTTGCTTCATATCTCCGAAAATTTTTGTGGGATTTTAATTAAATGAATTTATGGAAAAAATTTTCTGTGGAGTGCTCGCTCTCATTTGAAATTCAACGACACTTATAGGTGAGCGAAATGCAAGGGTTTGATGTTCACAAGCGTGTTACTGACTGTGTGCATGGCATGCTGGATGCACAATTAGCAGGCCTCGAAAATATGTTTTTGAGTGAAGAAAGGTATATAAGAAAGGTTAAAAAGTAAATAACGTGTCAAAGAAATAAATAAATACTGAATTGTAACAATAAAAATATAATAAGCGATAAGAATGATAATAATGAATAATTATTAAAAAAAAATTTTCTGTTCATTTGACTTGCGAAAATTTTTATTTACGAGTTAGTTAGATTTAATTTTTGTTTTTAATTGATAACTCCTTCGTCCTTGATTTGATTTTTAAAGATGAATCAGACCATTTTATTTTTATTTTTATATATTTGATTATATTTTTTGCTAAATTTCTTATATCCTGGCCCTCACAAACTTATTCAGCACGAGCTTTTTATTAGGAACATTAGCGTAAAAAATGTTTCATGATTTATGTACTCTTAGATGTCGAATGCATTTAATGGAATTTCCGTATCGAATCGGTATTCAGAGGTTGTCACAAAGTCGTGGTTTCGCGCTCATTCAAGAACCTTTTTTTCGTAGTCTTTTATTAGCAAGCGCCAAATATACACTTAGTACGTTTTCATTCTTTCTTTTAAGTTATTATTAAATAATTCAATTAACACTATATTTATGCAAATATTTTCAGAGGTTCAGTTGACTAAAGAACAAATTTCTATTCCTGCAAATCGTGGAAGATGTATGTTCGGTATTCTTGATGAAACGGGTTTGCTACAATACGGTCAAGTATTTGTGCAATATACGAACAATATTACTTTGAAGACTCCTGGAAAATACGCAGCAAGAACTATTGTTCGAGGTTTTCTTCATATTTTTTTCATAATTTTTCCTTTTTGATTTCTTATTTGTTTTATGGAAGGGTAAAGGTCGTTTTTGCTCTTTTTGCTATCGTCTCTGTCATCAATTTTCGGAATTTATTTTCTTCGGATCTTCTTACAAAATTAAAAATCTTGACGTTAAAAAATCCATCTTGGAGATTTATTTATCACAAAGTAATCCTCTTGCGAAAATTTTTAACCATACCAACAACCAGTAAAATAAGCTTAACCAGATAGTTAGCACTAATTATTTCACTATTTAAGGAATAAAAACGATAAAATAGCTCAGTGGATTGTTATTTACATTTGAAAGGACTAGGGTTCCACTCCTTGCAGAAATATAATATAAACCTGTAAACCTAGAAATATAAACCTGTTCTTAAAAAATTCTCATAATGCTGGCAACTCACCTCAGTCATCAATCTTCGAATTTATTTTTCCAGATCCTACAGAATTAAAAATCCTAATTGAAAATAAAATGAAAAATTCTGCTATCTCATTAAAAATAAAAAAATCTGTGTTGGAGATTTATTAGTATCTTGATTTACCTGGTGAAATTCGGCTGGTCTAACAAGCGAGCAGAATAAGCCTAGTCAAGGCATTTTTTAAAAAATTCATTTGGGAAATACGGAAGATAATATAGAATTTTCTAGGTTAAATAGGATTTAAGGGGATCATCTATGCTATTTTTGATTGAATTTCCTCCTAGAATCAAATTTGTAGTGAATTCTTGCAGGAATTATAAGGGATTATTTCAGTTGTATCAAAAAGCATCCATTTGTTTTCAGTACATTCTTTTCAAAAATATTTTTTGTAACGTAAGTTAATGACGTCGCGACTATTGCAGCTTCCTAGATGATGTAAATGAATGTATGGTTCCATTATTTGCAGCTTTTAATCTTTCTTTAAGCTCTTACTATGTTTATTATGAATCAGGCTTATTGTTGGGTATTTTAGATATTTTCTCGATGAAATAACATAAAAATACAAAATTTTTTCGTATAAATTAGAGAATGTAGAAAAACTGCGAAAAATACAGATGCAGAAATGCAGAAAAATTTTAGATACAAAAATTTAAAAAATAATTCATTTCCAAAAATTTTTAAAATTTTTCACCAAGTGAATTTTTGAAAAAAATTTCTATATAAAATTAGCGAAGCACTAGCTTTACCAAAAATGAACACCATTTACGTAAATATTCACAGTTTGCATACGAGATTTCTCGAATTCAAAAATATTTGATTTACTGTTATTAATTTAATTCTCCGAGTACTTTAATCAGATGAAAAAACTTTCAAATCTTTGGCAATTGTGTAAAAATGGTCGATTTTGGATTTTCTTATTTTCATTCGATTTTCATTGAACCGCTTGAACGTTTAAGCGGAATAAATATTATCTATCCATTTCCATCTTCATTTCAGTTTCATCGATGATTTTTCCTTGAGAGCCGCATTTTCACTTTTGGAAACTAATCATTTGCCCACTGCATATACTGAAGATATATTGTTCGCATTATTTTAGTCCCATGTCTAGACTCTGAATAAAGTAAGTAAGCTGAAAAAGAATATATTCAGGAATTGGGGAATTTAGGAATTGATTTCATTATAACTCCCTAATAAGTTTTGCAGAAGCACTTTATGTATCTGATACATATGTTTTGGTTTAAGCTTTGACCATGTCGTCAGTTATATTGTATATTTTTCATGAAATAATGAAAAACCAAATGAAATTTTTAGTTTTGCTATTATGAGTATTTAAAATTTTTCATATCTGATTCTCTTTAATGATAATTTTGAAAAAAATTTTGTAAAAAATATTTTCTAAATATTCTTACCTATTTTCATGGATAACACGAAAATGTGAATTAATTTTGATTACTGTTTGTATTTAGGAAGAGTGCTTGTTACGAAAAGTCCTTCTATTGTCGCTGGGGATGTGCGGATATTTGATTCGGTCGATATTCCTGAATTACATCATTTATGTGATGTTATTGTGTTTCCTCAGCATGGTCCTCGTCCACACACAGATGAAATGGCTGGTATGCTCTTTTTTATTAATTTTTTTATTTTTTTCTTTTTTTAATTGGAAAAAACGTCTTCATCTGTTATTTTATCTGGTATTGTGGTTCATTATTTTCAAGATATATTTAAAATGGTTAAAGAAGCGTATTTCTCACTTTTATTTCTAAAATACCTTTTTTAATAACAACAAATTCTTCACATTGTAAAAAATAAAGTTGTAAGGTTATTCAGGTTCTGACTTGGATGGTGATGAATACATCGTTGTTTGGGATCCGAGGCTTCAGTTTGATTATAATGAAGCCCCGATGGAATATGATAAAGCTTCTCGTCTTCCAGAGGATGTTGACGATGAGGAAGTGGTAAGATTATTAGCCATCGCCAATATTATCGATTAATTAAATGAATTTAGTCAAAATCTTATTTTTAAATCCTCACTTAATCCTCATTTTTCTGTGCAGAATTTGCGAAAAATTTTTTAAAGCCCGTAGGGTGAAAAATTTAAAAATAATAATCGGAGGCGATGAAGCCTATATTCTCTCTTATCTACATTCTTTAATACAAGCAGATAGAAAAGAAAAAATAATAGCAACAAGTGGTAGAAAAACAGAATTTGTGCATTTCAGTCCCTTAGGATTTTTTCTTCTTGAACAAATAAAAAATATCTTTCCACAGGTGCGAGAAATGCGACGTTTTTTTGTTGATTATATTAAGCAGGATTCGATTGGTTCTATATCAAATGCTTTTTTAGTTAATTCAGATTTGTATGGTATTACTAGTGAGGTAATGTTTTATTATTTGAAGAAAAAAAAAATCTGAGACGAAGAATTTGTATTGAATCGATATTATTATATTTTTTCGATTTATTGAGATTTTTTTCCAGTTCGATTAAAATAAAATAATTAAAATAATTCAATAGCAATTAATATCTTTTTGATATCTATCGCACTTTATAGTATTTTTGAAGGTATGCCGGAGTATTGCCCAAAAGCACTCACAATCAGTCGATTTTCCAAAAACAGGACAACCGCCACAGCCTTTAGTAAAGATATGGTCAAAAATTGAAACAGATGATGGGATTAAATATGTACCACCTGAAAGAGCGCAACGATTTCCTGATTTTATGTGTAAGTATCACGAGCCGAGCTATGTTTCTCCTCGCCTTGTTGGCGATATTTTCAGGTTATTTATTTTTTATGCACTTATTTTCCATGTACTAGCGTTCATTGTTGATCGTAGGTGTGTTGGTTGAGTGTGGTTTCATTTATATTTTTGAATTTATCTTAGAAATGAATCTATATGTATTTTGCATTTTAGGCGGATACAACTGCTTGATGAGGTAATGACAGTTGCACTTGCATCCGAGCAAGTAGCATATTCGTTGGATCCGTTACTGGTTTATGATGGTTGGGAAGCATATGAGGCACATGCAACAACATGTTTCCATGCTTATACGGCTCATTTAAGAGTATTTTTCTGGTTCTTACCTTAAATTCTCTTTATTATTAGAAAGAAGAGTGAGAAAAATTCTAAGCTATCCTTGAAAAACTAGGCTTGTGTGGAATTAAAGTAAATTCTAAAATTTTGGGAAATGCTCAAAATTTTTTCTTTAAGTCTTATCGTTGTGGTAAAATCATTCTTTCTGATATAATGTTTCGGTATTAAATAATGTTCTGATGTTTCTTTTAAAATTTCTTTTAGGCTTTGTTGGACAATTATGGGATCGACGATGAAGGTCAGTTGTTCACTGGTTGTTTTAGTATTATTCGCAATCGCATTAATGGTCGAGATGGCGATGATATGTCATTATTTAATACCGGTTTTATGATCGAGATAAAAGTCACCCAAATATTCAGGAGGTTACTTATCATTATTTGAAATATATTTCTTAGAGCTGATAACTTTTCAAATAGATATCGATTTCTTCCAATTTTGTGGCAACAACTTTATTTTCTAATATTTTGCGACTTCCACTTTTCTCATCTTTTAGTTTTCGACATGATTTTTTCCATGAATTTGGTGGATTTATGCAAAATACACAAGCTGAGAAACAAGGTCGAGAAGCTAATTATGATAATGTGGATCGGCGCTTCTGTAGTAACCCTACCGAAAAAATGAAGCAAAAAGCTTCAGCCTTTTATATCGTTTGTTATCGTTCGTTTTTATTTTATTTTTTACTGAATAAAGTTCTTAGTTTTTTTCTGATGTAATGTTAGTAATATTAGTAATGCATTCTGTTTTTAGGAGAAGTGCAAAATAGCCCAAGGCGGATTTTATCTTTTCCTTGGATAGTTTGGGATGTGCTTGCTGTTATTAAGCAGCATAATATGACGCGAAGCGATCATAAATATATTTCCTTGGATCCTCTCAGCGAACGTATGTCAGATGTACAGTTTTTAGATTTAATATTTTAAAACAAAAATTTTTTTTTTCAAATATTTAATTTAAGTTCAATATTCAAATATTGAATATTGAACTCAAATTTTTTCCAAAAAATTATACTTTTTTGTGTAAGTCATTTAGCATATTCTTTGTTTTTAAGTTCATTGAACAATATTGTTCGCAAAATGCTTATGATATGGAAGTAACGATGAATACATTGTCTGAAGGAGACACAGGTCTTCACGCTATCAAACGTTATTGCCGTAAATACGATGGTAATTGTGCGATATATTTCCTGTTTGATCCATATTTTGAGTGCTTCCTTTCAAAATTTTTGTTCGAATGTTGTTGAAATTGAAATTGTAAATTTTTGATGATTGGTGGCGAAGTTCATTTTAGGGTTGGATAAACTTATGTTTTTTCTTTGTAAATGGTCCGAATTTCAAGAACTCTTGGAGGGTCGTCTCAAACGTGAACATATTTGCTTATTACTATTACAGTTTGGACTCGGTGCCTTAAGTAGTGATAACACGCTAGCAGATGATTGTCATTTTTTGGAGATGGTTTGTAATTCTCATTACGTCTTTTTTATTTCGCATTTAGGGTAGATTTCATGAATTTTTTCGTTTTATAAAAAAGTTAATTATTTAGATTTAAAAATGAACAAATTTGAACAAATTGACCTTTATTTTAGTTTTACTTTAGTAGTGTTGTCTTTAATTTTCTTTATAATAAATATAATTTCAGACTGATGATATCATACCTAATGATTCTGCTGAAATCGTCCATTTAAGTGACAGAATCGGAGGTCTCGGTCGTTGTTTTATACATTTTTTGCGTTATCTTAGCTCAAGCACATTTAGAAAAATAAAAATGTTAAATTTTCTCGACCAAAATTTGGGTTATTATTCAATTTTATTTCGAGGACAATGGTTCGAATTGCATCGAGTACTGATTTTTTCATTATTATCTTATAATACAATAATTCTGAACAATAACATTTCTTAGAATATTCACTTCTCTAGATTATAGGGAGAATGAATTTTAAAATTTAATCAGTAGAAATGCCAATCATTGTATAATACAGGTTTTTACTTTTATTAATAATTAATAATAATTAAGTTAGACAGTAGACATACTGACGTTTTTTTAAATATCAGCTAGATTTCAGTTTTATGTGCACGGTGAAACAACAGAAGAAGAAGAAATCGAGAAATGTTATATAATCTCCAATAATTTAATTTAATCTAATTTAACCGTTAAAATATTTGTTCTCACAATTTTTAATTTTTTCCTATTATTACAGGCAGCTGTTAAATCATTTTATCGTTTAATTTTGACCGGTCGATTTGGAGATCTGCCTGTGAATTTAGAGTCCAGTTTACCAGACCTCTCTTACCAGGTTTTCTGCTTATGCTGTTTTCTGTCTTTATAGCATTGAGCAGCTTTACATGTGAAATTCATATCACTTAAACGAATGGCTCAGGATCTAAAAAAAATTTAATTCTTTTATTTTTTCTTCAAAAAATAATTCATCTTTTTAGTCTGATCGAATAATCGAAGCTGAACCATTTACCATTGAATTACCTGAAGATTTGAAAATTTATGATGAAGATTTGCGTCAAAAAATGATTAAATATTCTGGCGTTCACCGTTTGCATTTAAGAAGGAAATCAGATTTTAAACGTTGGTTGCTTCGGCTGATAAAACTAATAAAGCTGATATTCCACTGATAAAATTCATTAATGAGCCTTCGAAAATTTTATTTTTTAGGTTTAAGCACTGTGAACGATTTTCTTTAGTTTGTGCTACTCACATTTAGGTTTTTGGTTCTTTTGAATTTTTAGAAGAGGTTTTCGTAATTAAAAAAGAGAAATTGCATTTCAGCATTCGAATCGATGCAAAATCTTGTTCAATTTATTTAAAAAATTGTTTTGTTACATAGAATATTTCCACTTCATTTATTTTAGACCGAGTTTTTGTATCAGCAATGGGCACTATCGAAGCGATTTATCGACTTCATCTTTTGTTGGCTGTAAAACCTACACTTAACATAGAAGAGGATAGTAAAAAAAGAAATGATATGATGGTGCGGCTAGTATATGAGCGAATTAAATCTTTGCCATGAATTTATATTTGATGCCTTAAAATTTGTTATTATCTTTGTTATCATTTTATCATTTATCACTTTATGTTGTTTTTCTTGTATTTTTACTAAATTTTAAAATTTTATTTATTTTGTTTATTTATTTAAATTTTATTTTCAGTTCCAGTTAGTTAAAAATATTGTTTTTATCTCTTCTTTGTCCCTCCAGACAAATGGTAATCGGCCAGTCAAAACAACACATTAAAGTAAAAGTTGTTGTTTTTTATAATCATTGAGAATTCGATGGTAATTGTAGAGGGATAGATGCTGAAGAAGAATAACTAGGATTCGTGGCTTGCAATTCCCTAATGAATTAAATCTTTATCGTAAACGACTTTTAGTTGCTGATTTGAATATCAAGAATATAAGAATTGCTTATAATGATGTTTAAGGATTAAAATAAGGATTAAAGGTCCAGTGCAATGCTTTTGGTGAAAGATAACAAAATGTTGCAATGGTGGAGCATTTATCTGTACTTTGCAGTTGCCATCCGGACTTAACCTGTCACAAAATCTATTGATGATCAGTTGGTAGTTGGTAGTTGGTGATTTGGAGATTTCGAAATATGATGGTATTCCCATAGGAGGTCATTCGACTCAGGACATTTTACTGAAATATTTTTAAATATTTAAGTAAGTCTATGCGTACGGGAAATAAATACTAATTTATAAAAACTAATTATTTTCGAAATAAAAACTAATTTTCTTTTGAGGATAGAATGAGAATGAGTTCTTGTTCAGTTTGGAGCCCCGATACACACTATTCGATTCCCCAGAGGGTTAAACCCGTACAAAAATACGAGTGATGCTAGCGACTCACCTGTATTTCTATCGACAAGCGATTCCCTGGCATATTGTCCAATGCGACAAGCCAGCGGAGCGAGTGGGGCGAGTCTGTAATGGTGACGGCTCTCAAAAAAAGAATATTCAGGTAAGCGGTTGATTGGAATATGGCCATATGGCAGTATATGACCATATGGCCATTTGGCAATTCTCAAGTCGTATTCAAACCAGTCAGAGCATAAAATCACAGGTCTCGAAGATGGTAAAATTCTTTTTTCTAATAAATGATGAACTACAATTGATGTTCGACTGTGTACCCATACATAGTGAAAAGGAGAGATATTAGGAAGTTTCCTACCCGTGATCATTCCTACCCAAACTACATCCTATGCATCCTGAATCTCACATGATCATACCACCACTTTAATACCATTTATATTAGTAATATCGGTTCCTACGCAAAACGCTGATTATCATCACTTTTCCACCGTCCATATTAAAAATTGGCGCATAATTCGCTGATTGCGGAGAGCTTTGTGATGATTAGTGTCAAAATTGGTGCACATAGGAAAGAAGATTTCGAGGGTATAGGCGATTCAGGCAAATGCATAGAGAATGGAAGAGGAATAATTTCTTTTGCTGTTAACTATGACTCTTAAAAATGGTGCGAACTGTTAGAAGAAAGTGAAAGTCCACAGCATAAGCTTCGATTTGTAAAGTTTGGCTTTAAGCTGAAAGCATGGAATATAGTTTAGACGATTAGTAAACTTTTACCAATATTTCCAAATAATTTTCTCATCTAAATTTAAATTTCGAAATATTTCGTAGAATAGCAGTGAAGTTTATTTGCCATATTGCCTTGAAGGTTCTCGTCGAGCAGCTTTTTCCTCCCATATCTGATCGTAATCACTCTTCTCGCTCGCGACGTTATAATTCTTTTCGAAATGCTTTTTTCCTAGAAAACTGATAAAACCGATTAAATTTTGTTAAATATTCGCTAATTCAGATTGCAGAATTAGCAAAAATTCTAGCTTAACTGTCATATCACCTTGTCATTATTTTTTCCTTATCACCTTATCATTATTTAGTTCATTTTATCATCTTATCATTATTTAGCTGAAAATTGTTGATTGGGTTTACAGCATTTTTCATCAAATTATGACACGCTTAGAAGCAAAAATACTTTTCTTTTTATTCTATCCTCATTTCTATAGTTCAACAGTTCACTTGGCAAACTAATACGCAATAGCCAAATTTTTGACTTTTCATTTCTAGCGTGGTACTTATCGGAACGCTAAGCATTTCCTACCTTTTTTCGGAGGTTTAACATGATGCAATAAAATAAATCCGATTTTCAAATGCTTGCTTACTTTCATAATAGCTCCTTTATTATTCTAAAAATTCCAATTTTAATTATGGCAATTAATTAATTTATTGATAATAAAATAAATGAATGCCTTAATAGCGAATTCATTTTGCAAACTTTTTGACAAATACACTAATAAATTTTAAATATTCTCGCGCAAAATCTAAAATTCTATGACTATGCAACCATTTTTATGAGAATTCTTTTTTCAAAAGAAACTTTTTCCACGTCGTATTTAGGTGCGGAAAAAATTGTAACTAATTTACGTTTGCAAAAAAATCCAAAACCATTTGTCATTGTCTGAAAATTCACCAATTATTGCGCTTTTCCACTAGCAATTTTTATTGTGAAACGATAATAATTAATTTGCATAAAGAAATTTTTACGAAATTAAAAATATATTAACGCGGAAGAGAGAATAAAAAACGCGAATTGTGCTTTACGCGATTTATCCTAACCTGGTGTGCGCGTACAATCATGTCGATTTTCAGTGCGTTGCATAGTCGTAGAACGACATTTTCGCCAAAAAATACGCTTACACCGCGTATATTGTTGGCCGCGAAACCATTCAAACCGATCATTGGGTCAGCCCATAGTAAATCGCAAACAAGCGGATTTTCAGTTATATTTCTGATTGGCCTTTTAATCTGAATAAATTATTTTCTTATTTTCTTCAGATTTTGAGAATTCTCATAATATATAGCAACATTTGCAGAATTAGAATAATTTGACGCTGCCAGCCATAAAGTTTGCAGAAATGAAAGATCATTCGGTTTCAAAGTCAGTCAGTCAGCCAGTCGGTTTTATTATAAGGAATAAAAATAGAAGCATACTTTTCGGATATCGTCCAGAGATTTCAAATTTGGGCTTAAACCGCCGTGCATGCAAAGTATTTTTCCTTTTATGATTGCAGCTAATGGCAGATAGTCGAAAACATCGTTAAATGCATCCCACAAATTCAACGCATCCGATTCTGTGAAGCGATTTTTCAACTCATCGTAGAAACCATATATCTGATTCACAAGTGCAATTTCATGGTTACCGCGTAGAAGATTGAACTGTTAAATTAAAATTTAAATCGAACTGAAACAAATTAAAACACTTGTTTGTGGTTTGTTTCGACAGGTACCATTAAGCTGCGGTTGGAATCATTTTTCGTTCGATGGTAAATACCCTCTTTTTTGTCTCTTCTTTTGATGGCAATCGCTATTTTGACTTCGACTGAACATTTCTTCGCCAAGGGCTCACTTGGCAATAAGCGTAAAAAAGAAGGTGACATAAAGGAAAATCGCATAATATTTATGTGCATTGAAATTGGAAAATACAGTTTATTAACAAAATAACTATTAAAAACCTGAGAACTTTTTTTGAAAATAAAAAAATTTATAATTTTGGACCAAATTCAACCCAAAATTTACCATCTTTGGAAATGCAAGTTTGTACGCGAATAAGCAACAAATGCATTCTAACGACTGCGGCCCACGATCGACATAATCACCTAAGAATAGAAAGCGATTCATAGTTGCACCACTTCTTCCGTTCCTCCCCGTCGTTATGAAAATTCGATGCAAATCATCGTACTGAAAATACCCAAATATTTTCGTTGTTTAATGATGCAAATCTTTAGCAAATGAAGGCCTATTATTTAAATAAATTTACTATGCTTAACAATGAGGAATTCGAAAATAAAATTTAGAAGAGGAAATTTCAACTAGAATTTTATAAAATTCTTAATTCAATATTTAAACTTCAATAGGAAATAGGAAATCAACAATTTTTCACGGAAAACTTTCTTTTGCAAAAGTTTTACTAGTCTTTCTGGACGCAGAGTCACATGAAGGCAATCAACCGATTTAACTTTCAAAGATAGAAGCACCAAGAGATAGGAGTCGAACCGTAGGAGCTTAGTCAAATTTTTTTTAAACACCTGAACTGCATACTTACTTGACCGTGTATATCCCCAACTATAATGCAAGGTGCATTCACTGTTAACAGCGTTTCTTCTTCAATGAGCAGTTTTTTGATGTTCTTTAGCACATCCAGTATTTCTTTTTTCTCATATTTAATGCCTGCAAAAATAATTTCATGAATAATGAATATGAGGAGGAAATAAATTTTCTTGGCGACAGGGAAGCTTTTTGGGAAGAATTCTAAAAAAGAATTATTTTGGATTATTCGGAGAATTAAATAAATAATCGACTAAATTTTACGACTTTTTCGCTTAAAAAAAGTTTAAAACTTTTGAACAAATATTTTTTATTAGTTTTATTGCTTTAAAGGCCTTAAAAAAACTTTTTTTTTTTCTCGAATTTCGCCTATTTCGAAAATTCCCATAGCTTATAAATCGCATAAAAATTACGTGTTTTCCTTTCATTTCCTCTTTTTTTCATTTTTTTTTCCTTTTAAACTTTTTTTTGATCCCAAAAGATAATTGTAAAATAATCAAAGGTTCACCTCAAATGCATTTTTTGGTACTTTTTGGATTTTCGCAATTTAAATTTTTTTTTATAAAATTAGAAGGGAAGAATGATAAATGATAAATGATAATGATAAGGGAAGAATGAACAATTTAAATCTTTGGCCAAATTTTAGAGCAGCACTTACGTTTTCCAGCAGTGAAGCGAAAATGCTTCTTGAAAAATGCTTCGTGAGTGACCGGTAATTTACGCGAGCGACCAGCGTATGTCGATGGTGAAAATGAAGCTGCCTTCCGGTGCTGTTTCTCATTCATTCATCAAATTTTTGCTAATCTATCCAAAAAGTTTACATTTGTACTATTAACGAAGGTCAAATAAACTATTAGAAAATAAGGTTGCGAAATAAAGGAAGACCACTGCTGAGTAGTGAAAATGGTTCTTGGCAAGCTGTTCAGTGGAACGAGGCAATTTCTTGCACATCAGCAGAAGTAATTTCTTTCGTAGAGCTCAAATACAACCTGACCGACCATTCATTTTTCTAAATTTGCTGTCATATTCGACCGCTGAGAAATTAACAGCGAATTAACTGAAGGCTAAAGAAGGAAAAAAAAAAACCAACCGGGTTTATATTAAAAAATAACCAATAATGAATTCAGGACAGAAATTTATTCAGTAGTTTTTAAAAATTCTACTTAAATAAATAATTCAAAACAAACTTATTCAAATATTTTACAAATCAATTTTATTTATATCAGTGGCAATGCGTGTTAATCGAATTATATCAACGCTGCTGGTGTGGACAAGAAAAAGTGATAAAAGTGATAAAGTGATAAAAGTGATAAGAAAAAATGATATGTGACTGGTTCAATGAATTCCAAACATTACTCGTTCACTTTTTTAGTCATATATATACATTTTTTTTTTCAAATTTCATTGTCCATTTTATTATTTTCTTCAAATTTAATTTTTTTTTTGTCTTTGGCAGGAGAACCTGCTACTATGTCAAAAATCCGGGTGGCTGCTGGGGACCCACCTGTAACTCTATGCCCAAGTGACTCTATGGTGAAGGATCAGATACACTTCATACGGCGTCTGCGTCTCCCGACGCGCATAATATTTCGAGCCCGGTGGTACATGCGATAAGTATACAATCCGGGTTTAAAGGAATCGCAAGGCTGGTAAATAAAATGTGCTCTCAAGCCAGGGTAATTCCTCAAAACCTATCAAAGGGAACACACCTCTGCACGCGCGACGAAGTATTAGCTGTGGAACGTCAGAACTCTTATGGACGTTGCAAGCCAAGTAATCACTGTCCACACCCTGTCTAAGTATCGTGTGGACGTCGCTTGCTTGTCGGAGGTCCGTCTTCCTACTTTGGGTCTCGAGCAATTGTTAATCCTGGTTCAGAGCAGAGATACTGGTTATATCACTGTGGTGCTTCGAATAACTCGGAACGAAAACGAAATGGCGTAGCGATTGTCATGTCTGACAAGGCCCATTCCGCTTTGATTGAGTGAAAACCGGTAAATGACCGTATGGCCTATGCCCATTTTAAGGGTAAGTTCTGTATCTCGGTCATCAGTGTCTATGCTCCAACTTTGTCGACAGATGACCGTTATAAAGACAAGTTCTATGCGGAACTTCAATTGCTAACAAAATCTCTACCGAAAAATGATATGATTATAATCGAGGGAGACTGGAATGCAAGCGTAGGTCATAATGCCGCTGCGATGACCTCAACAATTGGCAAATATGGCATCGGAGACCGGTGTGCCAATGGGGAACGTCTTTTTTTTTATGCCGAAGAGGATGAACTTTTTGTTAGTAATACTTGTTTCCAGCATCATAGAAAACATCTAGTCACGTGAAACTCCCCGGACAACCAACAGATTGATTATATTTTAGTCAGTCGCCATTGGAAGAGTTCCGTACTAGATAGTCGTTCCTATCGCGGTGCTAAAAAGGGTAATCTTCATGGAACATGTTATGGTTCGAGCCAACATCCGCATAAAATTGACAACTCGCAGAAAACAGCATCCCTCAAGATCCTTCAACTATCTCAAACTAAAAAATTCGGGGGCAGTGAGCGCATTTCAAACCGAATTATTGAAGCATCTCAATGATACAAATATCAATGATTTTTCTGGAACGGCAAATGAATACTGGTCCAAACTAAAGGAATGTCTCCGAAAATCAGCCACTTCCACGATAGGGCATACTAGTAGGAAGTGCGCTAGTTGGCTATCGGAAGCAATTGTCCAATTGTCTGAAAAAGCACGAATGTCAGGTGATCCTGACTACCAGGTGCTTCGAAGCAACAAAAGCAGCGAGACAGAAATCTCAAGAATGGAGGCGGCAGCTCGATTAGGCGACAATAGGAAACTATTCTACCTTCTTCATAAAGCAATTATGACTTGGGGAACGATCAGTGAAATGGTAAGAGAGAGCAATGGCGTACTAATTGAAAGTATTAATGATCGCCTCATAAGATGGAAAGAATTCTTTAAGGCCAAACTTAACCATGAAGCGCCATCTGTTGCCCCTGATATAGCTGATACGTTTGCCGAAGCATACGTGTACAATTGCGAGCCTCCAACAGAAGAAAGAATAATTTCAGTTATCCATAAACTTAAGGCCAACAAAACTCCAGGAAAAGATGGTCATCGGTCTGAGCTTTTTAAATGCTGTCCATCGCCCTTCATAACGCAGCTTCAACAAATGTATTCTTTAGTATGGAAAAAAGAAATATTACCAGACAATTCTGCTCCCAATTCTCAAGAAAGGTGATAGGACATACTGCGACAATTATCGAGGAATCAGCCTATTAGACGTCTCAACAAAAATTTTTGTTTCTCTGCTACTCAACAGACTTATGGAAGTACGAGATAGCAGGATACGCCCTAATCAAACTGGTTTCAGACCAGAGCGCAGTTGTGCTGACCAGATATTCACGTTAAGAAGGGTATTGGAACATCGCTTCAAATATTTGCAACCCACTGTCACGTGTTTCATCGACTTTGCGACTGCCTTTGATTCAATTGATAAAGCGACGCTTTGGAGGGTGATGGAACGTGACGGTGTTCCAGAGAAAATCATTAGACTCATAAAGGTATTTCATGAGCGCACGTCGTTGTCTGTGTATATGGGGAGCTGACAGATTCCTTCGAAATAAGAACAGGTGTCCATCAGGGCTGTGTCCTTTCCCCCACAATATTCAATTATGCGATAGACTGGATAATGGACACTGCTTGTCGGCACTCAAGAGATGTCCAAATTAGTCCAGAGCATCCTATCATCATCAGATCTTGAATACGCTGATGATGTAATCCTTTTTGATGACAAATAACGAAATGCAAGCAATACTAAATAACGTGTCAGAAACTGCAGCAAGAATCGGACTCAGGATCAATGTAAATAAAACGAAAGTCTTTTCTCTTTGTGCAAGAAGCTGATAAAAAGCCTCTTTTTGTAAATTCATTGCCGGTTGAGGAAGTGCCTGATTTCAAATACCTTGGGTCCACTCTAATACCAAATGGACAGGCAAAAGATGATATTATAACTCGGATCACGGCAGCTAGAAATGCGTTCTTCCGGTTGACGAAACCTTTATGGAATCGTCGTGAAATCACCATAAAAACGAAAATCCGCATCTATATTGCCGTGATCCGTTCGATCTTATTATATGGTTCTGAGACATGGCCAATGAGAGTGGAGGATATTAAGAAGTTATCTGCCTTTGACCACTCTTATCTAAGGTACATATTGCGGGTTCGCCGAGTGGATAAAATCTCACTACATCGCATCCACCTTCGTTCAAATACCACTTGCATAAATAATGTCACTGAACGCCGCCTTCGCTGGTTAAGGCACATTCTCCGTCGTCCACCACACGATTTGACGTTTCGTTATTTGCTAAACCGTGTGACGGTTGGTGTCAAAAGCGAGGTGGGCCAATCAAGACCTGGACTGATACGGTGAGAAAAGATTTTGAACGTATAGGTGAAAAGCAATATATGGATTTAAAAGATGGAAAAAGGAATGGCTTCCATTACTGTCGACGATGCTTAGAAGCGTCTCACCCTTGTAGCCGTTGGAGCCAGCCTAACCAGTAATGGTGAGAGCTGTTAGAAGAAGAAGAAGGTCACACATTTACATTTTTGTTCCTCCTGATGAATGGATCTCATCTCTGATAATGAAAGAATAATGAGTTAAAAAAAGAATCCATGAATGAAATAAAAATACCATTTGTAAGAATAGGGGTTATTCGAGGAAAACAAATTCTTTAACTTACGACTGGAAAAATTTCAGCCTTCTAAGCTAGGAATTCCTAAAAATAAATTATGTAGATTCTGTCTTCTGTGAACTATCTTTTTAGACAATAAATTTTTTAAATAAATAAAGACGAAATATTCGTTAAAAAATATTTTAGAATATTTTTTATAGGGGAGAGTATTAACTCATTAAGAATATTTTTTCCAGGAATTTTTTCTGGAAATAAACTTTCGACCAAATTATTACCATTTGAATTCTTCGCTGTCGAATTATGCACTGCCGAACACGAACAAAACGATAAAAATTTTTCTAACGCATAAATAATTTATTTTTAAAGATAAATCGTATAATTGAAAAATTAAACTTTAACTGCAATTTTTGCAAATAAATAATTTGCATAAATTATAAGTTGAAATAAATTAAGTAAAAATAATGCGAATAATCGCTAATTTTTATAAAAAGATTTTTTATCAGTTAAAAATTAAATTATTAAATATTTCTGGTTTGTGGCTGATTTATTAGCCGCAAAATGGCGAGGAATCCCTTCGCCAAATACTCCCCCCTTGTGAATAGAATTACAGGTGAATATCCGACTTTAACCTTCCAAACTTTAGGATATTGAAAATCAAAAATTAATTTATGATTTGATAGGTATATCAGAATTGGTAGGCATATCAAATCCACTCTTTTTCCCTTAGAAAACAGCACTTTTTTTCTATTGCAGAAAGATATTTCGCAAAAGAATGCCCAAAAAATCTCCCATAAATTATTAATTTTCCATTATTTCATCAGATTTCTTTTACTTTTAGCATTTATCTTATCTATCACTGATTATTTTCTCCAAAGGTGCACTTGAAGACGGAATTTATCGCAGAGGAAGCTGAGGATTTATCTTTTCTATCACTGATTATTTTCTCCAAAGGTGCACTTGGAAAGGAAATTTACTCCACAGGAAATTGAGGAATACAGCAGCAAAATCCCTCCAACATATGAAAATGTAAATGAATACATATTTATTTGCATGTAATACTATAATAATAATGTAAGCATTCCAACAATCCTTTACATATTTTCTAATTTATTCGACACAACGCACTTTTTCCGAAAAGTTCCATGTGAAAGAAGTATTCGTTGAGAATATTTAATCATAAAAAAATCTGAAAATTGCGAACCAACTTTTACCAAACAAAATACTGGAAAAATGTGACCTAAAGCGGAATCCTCCAGGAATGTGAATGATGGCAAATGCCAAACACAAACTGATAAGTCATTAAAAATACGAAAATACAACATTGATTTTATTCGTCGTCGATTTTCTAAGTAATTTATAAAGATGAATTTTCTAAGAAACTCCATTTATGGTTCATTTAATTATATAAAATTAATTTATGAAAATAGAAATGAATAATTTATAATATATTAATAATTTTAACGTTTAAAATTTCCTACAACTTTCATTTTAATTTCAATAAAATTTCGATTTTAAATAAATAGAAGTGCAAATATATTTTACAAAATTTATTTATTAATTTATCTATAATTTTTATGCGGAAACATTCAGTTGTAACGAAAAAAAATTAATCTCTCCTATTCGATTAAATTTTCGCTATATTCTTTGTTCGGCTTTGTTACAACTCTTCGTCCGTCGTAGCCACAGCCTAATTTCAGTTTTATTCGCAAAATTGCATAACCAATATTATAAAATCGCAGAAATCGTAGAACCTAAAATGAGTGAATAAATAAAAAACAAAGATCGACAACTCTCTGATCGCAACTTAGGTTGAACTGTTTCATCTTATATATCAAAATCCTTTAATTGTTTCGCGATGGATGATGATTTCCACATGAATGACGACGACCTCTGACCCCGTTTCGTCTCGTTGACCTTTTTCTGATGTTTAATATAAAGCATTTGTTTTACGAAATAAAAATGAGAATTTTTTCACAATCAATACTATGTGAAATAGTTATTTTTAAAAAAATTTTTCTTGGACGAATTATTTTTGAATTATTTTGAATTTTCATCCAAAGAATCTTTTGATAAAAACGTTCAACCATTTCTGCTTAGGCAAGTGGCTAGTGCTTCACTTTGAAAGACAAGGCTTCAATTCTGTGCCATCCCTTCCTCCTCTCCTTCCATCTTCCATCTCATAAGAACAATTCTTAAAAAAAAGTCAGAACAAATTAAAACAGTTAACCTAATATTTTATCAGTAAATGATTCCTCAGCTAAAATTTATATTTCACTAACGAGCATGAGCATAGCTGACCAGATTGCATTTTATATATCCATTTTATACGTAAATTCTGCAATTTTTGCACTTTTCATGAAAGTTTGAAATGATAATGAACTGAAAAAAATGCATTATTTTCTAGTTTATTTTAGATTATCTTCCCGTTTTTTAGTAATTTGTCAGGTTCTGTTTGGAATTTACTGGTCCTTCTATTCTCCAGCATAAAATTGGTAGAATCTCACAGGAAATGTTTTTGCCATTTGCACTTTTCCTTGTATTATCTGAAGTGTCCGAATTCAAACTTCACAACACAGTTTCATTTTCCATTTTCCGAATAATTTCTAAAAAATAACTGCCACAACCTCGCATTAATAACATCTTGAAGTGATATTAAAAATTATAATTTAAAAGCCTTGAAAAATTTCAAAATAAAACCCAAAAATGATCCTAATTTAGCTATAATTTTCGATCAGATTTTTTCAAAATCAAATTTCTGAAAAGTGTTCGAGAAATGCTCACCACTTCTGGTTAATCTCACTCAGCTGGCTTATCGGACCAGATAAATTCTACCAGAGAGTAAAGATATAAATGAGCCGTCGTCATTACCGAAATGAGCCGAAGAAAATATAATCTCGAACTTGAAAAGACTAGCTTTAAAATCGGTTGAAATAAAAGTGAAAGAGAATAAGTATCTCAAATGAAATAAAACTTATTAAAAATACCCGAATTTCATAATTTTTTGTGGTTTTGTATAAATAAATATTTATGAACCAAATATTTCTTTGAAAGCCTGTAAAAAAAAAACAATGAAAACGAGAAAAAACATTTCCATTCATATAAACCTCTTTTTATTTGAAAAATTTTCAAAATATAATATTGGCGAATATAAAGCAAATTTATGAGTTTTTGCAAATTCTATCAGCCTAATATCCCACAATACATATGCAAACCTGTACATTATAATAAATTAAAATCTTATGTTGCAATTATGAAATCTACAACAAGCAAAGAATTACGGAAATGGAATGTTCATTTTCGCTTTATTGTCGCAAGCGCTGCAGCCACTATCCCTCCAATTAAGATAAGGCCACTTCCAATAATAGCAGCTCCCAAAAGACCATCTGAAAATATATTTTTAATCTATTTTTTGGCTCTATGATCATTAAATTGCAAAACTGTCGGCATTTAATAAGAAATTATTTTTCTCTCTTTATTTAGTTGTTCATTTATTTAATATTTATGAATTTGTTATTCTTTATTAATATTAATTTATTAATAATAATAATAAAAGTAATAGTAACACCTCATTACTCTTCTATTATATTTCGCAACCATCCAAAATATCGCTAATAACCTCTTTGATTACTTATTTATATCACTAAATAAAACTTTGTAGTGAAAAAGCCTGGTCTTTCGATGCGCATGATACCTCTATTTGGTGATACATGGGATACGTATATCAAGCAAGCCATAGGTATTAGGAATGAGACGATAATCGCCATGAGATATTTAAACGGATATTACAAGGAATTTTTTGAGACAAAAATAGAGAACATTAATATTATTATTATTATTATTATTAATATTATTATTTGAATCAAAAAAAAATTTATTAAAATTTAATCATATTAAATTGCTTATCTAGGAAAAAAATTATGACATCGCAAGCCACCAGCCTGATTATAATCATATGCAGAATGATATATTCCAGAGACAATCATTCGCCTCAGAAAGGCATTCTATTAACGAAAACAGTCTGTATATATGGAAATAAATCACTTCAAGAATTGGTTGAGTCAAGCTAGTCCTTTATCCTACAATATTCAATATGCGGCAGACTTGATTATGGACACCACTTAATTGCATTCATGAGATGCACAAATCAGTTCAAACTATAGTCACAGAATATATTGACGACGAAAATCCTTTCCGCTGATAGTCATAAAGGAAGAGATGCTAGAAATATATCGACATCCGCAGCAAAAATCGACCACATAGGAAATAAAATAAAAGTTTTAGTGATTTGTCACGGTTTAAGGAAATGGCAGATAAATACCTTGTATTCACTTCTATACTAAGCAGCTAAACGAAAAAATTGCAAGAAAGCTGGATAACTGCAATTAGAAATGGTTTTTCTCTGGAGAAACCTCTATAGAATCATCGCCATTCAAATCACCATTAAAACGAAAGTTCACTTGGCTACCATGTGCACCATCATGTTATATATTGCGAAACATGACAAATGAGGATGGAAAATGTTAAGAAACTATCCACCACATTTGCGATATATTTCGCATTTGAAAAGTAGATCCTATCCGATTATATCCATCCCGATTATATCTATTTGCAACCAAAATATCGCCAAGAACGTCGATATAGAAGAAAAAAGAAGTGGCTTCATCACATAGTATCAGATCGATTTGGAAGCGCTTTACCCTTGCAGCCAACTGAATCAGCTTAAGTAATAATGGTGGAAGGAGAAAAACCTGTCGTTACTGGCTCATTTCGAGCATCACAGTTGTGCTTCCATCCTTGGCAAAAAGAATGCCATCAAAAAAATGAGAGCGGTACCATTTGTACTTCTATCTCCAATTGATTAGTGAGGAAAAGGCATCGCTCTAATAGCAAGAAGAATAAGCCTACGCAGAAATAAGTCCTATTAAGTAAAAGCACTTTCGCTGCAGAATCATATGCATCTTCAAAATCAATAGGATATAGTCACAACAACATATTTTTTATATTATTATATTATATTTTTCACAAGTTAAAATATCAAAATCAAGAAGAAATTCCGAAAAAAATGGAAAACAAACCATTACGCATTCTATTTTTGATTATATTTTCCATTTCAGTAGCACATGCAGCATTACTCTGTGCTTGTTTAACGACATTTAAGTAAGCTAATGCTCGATCATATTCCTATAAAAAATCACATTCATAATTGAAAAATTCATCCCCAATAAAAAAGAAATAAAAAAAATTAGAAAAATTTCAAATTAAGGTTAAATACCTTTAAACGCGTATGTGCGATAACCAGTTGAATTATAATTCGTTCTTTCGAGTATTCTGTTGAAATATTTAAAAATTCTGAAAATTTAAAAGCCTTAATTTAAAAGCATAAGCTTATTATAAAATATAAATTCTAAAATATATTTAGATTAAAAGATTATATAAATTTTAAAGTAGCATTTAGATTGAAGTATTTAGATTGAAAGATATTTTTAATGAGTAGGAGGTACGAAAACGCAATGAATGGTAACTTATTTTGAAAGAGAAGACAAAGGAATAGCTTTGCCATTTAAAAAAAATGGGTGGCAGTAAACCAACTGTATTTTCAGTCAAGTGATCAATCATATGGCAAAAATTTTTTACCGCAGTGATAGCCAGCGGAGCTAATCTATCCAGGAATGAGCGATGCCAACCACTTATTAAACCAATTATTATAGATAACTACAATAAAATCACATTTTTGATTCAAATTTACGAAAAATACTTTCTAGAAGTTCGATTCCTTTCCTAATGTTCTCTTTATTAGATTTTGTTAATGCTATGCAGTATCTGAATAAAACAGCATCAGATTGCCGTTCTCCCATTACTTGATTCTCATATTCTTTGGCGTAAAACTGAAATATATTTTTTAAATTAAGAAAACAATCCATTTTCTAATGTGCTAATCAAAAGAATTTTAATCATAAAAAAATAAAAATCTGCGAAACTAGAGAATAAAGAATTGCGCAAAAAATTTATAGCAAAACTCATTTTAAAAAAATTTAAAAAAATTTGAGTCTTTTAAAAGAATTAATAGATATGATCTACGTCAAGCAAAAAAATTTAAAAAAATTTGAGTCTTTTAAAAGAATTAATAGATATGATCTACGTCAAGCAGCAGAGGTTTCGATTCTATAAGCCCTGACAGGAATAAGCCTGATATTAAAAAATCCGAACGATGCTGGCGACCCATCTGTACTTCTATTGGCAAGTGACTCTCTGACAAAACTTGTATGGTCCAATAAGCCAGCGAAGCAAAATCTAACTAGAAAACTAACTTGTTTATTTTTTTATTATTAAAGGAAACGACAAAAAATTCAAAAAAATAATCTCTCTTTAAAAATACTCCTAGTAAATACTCCAATAAATGTAAAGAATTTTTCTCCTATTTAGACCACAAAAAATTTTCATAAATTTTAATCATCCAATAGTTATTTCCTTGCATTTATTAGAATATTGGAAAAAATATTAGCTATCATAAAAAATATATTTTCATATTTGAAAGAGTAAATTTTAAATATTAAGGCAAATCACCGAAAGGAAAAGGTCCGAAATATAGTGGATAAATCGATTACAAAAATCTAAAAACTATTTAAATCTAAAACTAAAATGAAATGAATACCAATAAACAATAAAGCTTACAAAATAAACTATGAAAATTGAAAAAAATATTGATTAACCTCCAATTCTCGTTTATCGATACGTCCACTGAATAAATCTTCGAGATCAAGTTCATCGCAATCGTTCATTTTTTCGATGCCTTAAAAAATAATTTATCAAAATGATAAAAATTTTTTAACGAAAATAAGAAAAATATCAACGAAAATTTATGAGAAAATAACTGAGTTTATGGCGGAAATAAAGAATTTTCTATTAATTTTCTTCATGAGAAACTAGCCGAACATGAAGGGCGAAATCTTCTAGAATAAATCCACGGAATTGGGAGAAAGCTGAAAATCTCCGGAATAAATCCACGGAATGAGGAGAAAGCTGAAAATCTCCGGAATAAATCCACGGGGTGGGGAGAAAGCTGAAAATCTCCGGAATAAATCCGCAGAGCGGGGAGAAAGCTGAAAATCTCCGGAATAAATCCGCGGAGCGGGGAGAAAGCTGAAAATCTCCGGAATAAATCCACGGGGTGGGGAGGAAACCAAAAATTTCCATAATTAAATAAATGAAAAAAATACCAATAAAAATGAAATATATTAAAGCCAAAAAAACTTTTCCAGAAATTTTCTAAACAAAATATTTCGAAGGCATTTCAACAAAAAAATTCCCCAACAATAAAGCACGCAACTGCCCAGCCAACAGAAGTTTTTCTCACGAAAATAGTCCTATTTCCCAGCCGCCACATTTAATCTGCATTATAGCAATGGATTAGTTTATAAATAGAACGAGGCCGGTTGCGTTTATAGTGTTCGCAATTGGGTGCTCGGTGCATTCGTGTAGCGAACTGATATTGGAGGAGATAAGAATTTCGCCAGCATATTTTAATTTTAGTGATAACGTTGCTTGCGGAAATTAGAGGACCCGAAATTGGGTCCATTCGGCCAGTCACAACTTTGTGCTAAATAGCCTTAAATTTTAAGCTAAACATACTGGCATCCTTAGATCTTCCAAATGGGAAATATTCAATGAAAAATATTTAAATTTAGAAAAGCTAAGGTTATCATATCTTTCGTTTCGACATGCTTTTTATCAGAAGTGATAAAAATTACTGATAAATCGATTCTGAATTAAAATAAACACGCTAATATTAAAAAATTCTAAACTGATATTTAACATAACAATTTCATCAAAATAACCCAATACGCATCAGAATCTTATCAAATTTTATTACCTTATCAATAATTTTTTATCAACTAATTTAATATAATTCATTTCAATAAAATGCTTCACGTTTCTCATATTTTTATCATTTTATTTGCTTTGCAAGCGTACAACCTCATTTGCAGCGAAACTTTACGATCGATTCATATTGTAAGTTTTTTTTTATTTAAAATAATTGAATTTTAATTACAATATTTTTATTGAGAATTACTTTTATTTATTTACTTTATTAATATTTACAAAAAAATAAATAATAGCAACGGAAAGTTCCTTGAATTTAACTGCGATGAACCATCGAGTTGCTTGGAATGCATTTGGAACGCAGAGATATGGCTGCGAAACACCAATCGAGCAGGAAATAATCTCTGTAATTCGCAAAGCCAAGAAGTTCGCCGAAGATGGTCCGCAAACCGTACTCTTCAAATGATACTCTCAGCATCCTTCGCAACCTGCAAAATTTATATTCACTGGTACAAGAGAAGGACCAGACACCATGCGAGTGGAACAAAGCAATTCTGCTCCCAGTTCCCAAGAAAGATGGTAGGTCGCACTGCGATATCTGTGGAGGAATCACCTTGCTATGTTTCTGGGAAGATTTTTGTTTCTTTTCTGCAGAATACATTCATATAAGTGCTTTGGCAAGATTCGCGCAACACGATGGTGAAGTTGCAGAGAAGTTAAGGAAATCAGACTAATCAAAGCATTTTGTCGGCATAGATCAACGTAAATTTATGCGTTCAGGGCAAATGACACTTTTGAAATACGTATCGATGTGTGTCAAGGCTGCGTTCTTTCCCTTACACTTTACAGCTGTGTGACAAAATGGATTATAATCATCGCTGGCACTAAGAATATATACAGATCAGTCCAAATCACGGACAGTATCGGGAACCTTGAATACACTAATGATGTTGCCATTTTCACTGAAAGTTATAAGGAACGAAAATGAAGTGAGTATCCGCACCCGCAAAGGCGAAATTTGGCCTTCAAATCGTAAAGACGAAACTATTTTCGACTTATGACTTATGCACAGATATCTTGTATAAATACAATATACTAGGATCGCAATCCATATAAATTCATCACCCGTTCAGGAAGTGTCAGATCTTAATTATCTCGAGTCCATATTCATGTCTAATGGCTGGTGCTGTACTACTGATGAAATCATACCTATAGGATAGGTACAACGAGAGGAGATTTTGAACGTATAGGCGATCCAGCGATATGCGGGTTCAGTGGAAAAAGAAATAGACTAGTTATTTTCAGGGTTTTTTATCAGATCGAGAGGCTTGGAAATACATCTTCATCACTAGTGGAGCAAGCCAAACAGGCTAGAATAAGAGGAATGAGAAAAAAATATTGGGCATAAAAATTCCAAAAAATATGATAAAATTTTATATATATATATATATGTATATTTGATAGGGTATAGAATGGCTAAATATATTGTTGCTTCCATTTCGGAGTGCCAGTGCTGGGATACGAGTGAACTTGCATTTCAAAAATAAGATTACTGGCTCATTCCGCTCCTAGCAGTCCACTCAGCCAGGTGTTTCCTCGCAAACAATAAGCCAGTAGAGTGAGCCAAAAATAATGAGCGCCTTAGAAAAGAAATATAGAAATATACAATTAGAACATAAATAAATACTCGAAGAGAGAATGGTTTAGCCTGGATTCAGCCAAAGCCTCATTCCTTTTCCCTTATCTTTTTTCCAATGCCTAAGCCAATATCGCTGAGTCAAAATAAAAATTTTAAAAATTTGAAAGATCTAAAATATAATTTTGCAAAAAAAAAGGAGAAAAACAATTTGTTCAATATGAAAATGATAAAATTTGTGGAGCAGAATTGAAAACTATAATTTTGCTGAAATATATTTTTAAATATATAAAATGAAACTAATAGAGAAATAAAAAAATAATTTAAATAAATATAAAATAAATAAATATAAAATAAAGAAATAAAAATATAAATTTAAAATAAAAATAAAATAAAATAAAAATAAATTTTATAATTTCAAGTGATCTAATATTAATTAAAGCTATTTCGTCATGGTGAAAGAGCTCCAGCTATGCTCATTTTCCCAACTGACGATAAGGATATCCGAGAAAGCTTTTTTGTCGAGCCTAGTGAAATCACAAATGTAAGAATCCTCGTTTTTCTTATAAAAAAACAAAAATTTATAAAAAAAATTCCCGAAAAAAAAGGTATCAATTAGTTTACAGTATCAAAGCAGTTATCTTTTATAACCAAAAGTAATCTACTAAGTGACATCGACCCGAACTTTGGTGCACTAATTTCATAAATCGCCAATAATTTTCTAGCAATTCTTATAAAATAAAATTTACTCCTTTGACGATATTTTAATTTTAATACACAGATAGAATTAACGATGTTTTTTTTTATTAAAATTTCCAATAAAATGAGTATGATTATTTTTAAGATGGAATCGTTTTTAGGATGGAATAATGCAGGAATATTTGCTGGGTGAAGAGTTGAAGGAATTATATGGTCATTTCATTGGCAAATATTATCAACCTTCAGAGGTTTTAAAAAATTTTAAGATGATTTTGGAAAAATAAAAGCTCATTTAATTCCAATTAATTTTTTATCTCTTCATTTTCTAATATTTCTGGTTTAATTGGCTCCATCGGCTAATAGGATGAGACCGATAGTCATTTGGGGATAGAAGTAAGAAGAAGTCCTTCCATTGGAAATTTATAAGACAGACTTATCATACCTATCAATAGTTGTGGCTTTCAATTGCTAAATTTATCGGAGAAAAGAAAAAATCATGCAATAGATCGATTCTTGATTCTTCGTTTTGCCATAAATCTTTCATTTTTATGATTTTATAGTTGAGGGTGATAACTGGTGTCGATAATCGAACAATAGTTAGTGCATTAGCTGTTCTTGCATCACTCCTTCGGCCAGTTGGACGACAAATTTGGAACGAGAATTTACCCTGGCAGCCCATCGCAATTCACACAAATGAAATTTTAGACCAAGTAGCCTTCCAATTTTATAATTTTTCAAATGAATTTTGCTCACCACCAGTATTTCAAATTTCATTCGAATAAGAAATTTTTCTATCTGAATAAATATTTTATAAAAATATTCACAATAATCTGATATTTTCCAGCTAGTTATCAGCCAGCATTTAATGCTTTTTTCTTGCATTTGCAGTCATCGTTTGGTGTTTTCGATTCTTGCCCAAATCTTCGAGAAAAATTAAAGCAGAGTGAAGGCTATACAACTCTACTTCAACGTGATGCCAATTTTAAGCAATGGCTATCTAATATGACCGGACTCACTTTATCTGATTTATTTTTCTATCAAACTGTGCTAGATGAGTTAATCATAAGGGTATACTTTTTGAAGATTCTTGGAATATCATAATAAAATATTTTTCGCAAAAACTTTAGATTAAGCTAACACAAATGTTTTGCTTAAGAATAAAATGGGTGTATATTAGGTGTATTGAAGTTAAACCTGCCTTTTATATTTAGATTTTGCATCATATCCACAGGCGTTTTTTTTTGAACAAAAATATATTTATTCTTTTCAAACGAAAGATGAATTTCTTAACACTCTTTTCTCTAACAATTCTGTTGCTTCTCTAATGATTTAAAATTAATGCCCTGATTGCTCTAAAAATACGAAGAATTTTTATAGCATAATTTGAAAGGATTATTTTTACCTGAATGGGCTAATGGCGATCATTATAGCGAGATTTTTTCAAAGAAAAAATTGCGACTTCATGTAGATTTTATTAAACTTTTTATAGACGACGCAGGAGGTAAGTTTATCATTTTTTCAATAAGTTTATCATTTTTTGTATTTGTTTTTAGTTTCTATAACTGTTATTTGATTACTGAAGAAAAATTACTCTTTACTAATTATGCCAGAAGAAACTAGGAATGTGGCTAATTACTTTATTCCCAATTGTATTAATGAGCTTTTAGCAAATTTTTTAATTAACTTATCTCATTTAGCCTTGCTTTTGGATCTTTTCTCGAGCTCCATCGACGATATAATACACAACAGAACTTCAAATAAATCCTTTCTTTATTCTGGAGTAATAATTTTTTTTATTATCTGAGAAATTCTTAAGTTTGTAAATCAAAATTATTAGATTTTCACATCATTTTTAGCACGATTCAAATTTGATAACTTTCGGAATGTATTTAAATTTGATACAATTTACGGAATTACCTCCATATGCCTCATACATGGCTATTGAACATCATTTAGCCGAAGGCGAAGATATAATCAAGGTGAGATTTCTTTGAATTTCTTAAAAAAATTATTTGAAAAAATGGAGTAAACGAAGATTCTTCATCGCCGCCTCTTTCTCAGCCATCCTGTAGTCCACAAGAAAATGAATTCTAGAAGAGAGAATACATTCACTATATTACTCGCAGAATTTTGCCAGCTGCATTTGGTAGGCTTATAGATTTCCCCTTTATATATGTTATATATAATGCCAATCTTTCGTATTTGAAACAAAACTAAATAAACAAAATAGTTAAAATTTAAAAATCGCAAAAAATAAAGATTCTTTCTTTGTCAAATATCAAGTATTCAAAATTCAAAAGTTGTTTTTTTGAGAAAAAATTAATAAAAATGAAATTAAATTTAATAAATTAAAATTAATAAAAGAAAAATTCAAACGATTGGTGCGTTGGTGGCTCAGTGACAAGATAAGTGCCACTGAGAATCGTGAGTTCAAGTCCGCCGATGCACCATTCTTCGTCGAGTGGCATTATAGCTTAATAAAGAAAAACAAAGATAGAATGGCTCATTAGCTTGTAGCTCATTTCAAAGCGCGGACGTTGAAACTCTAGTCCTGGCAAGAGTAAACCTGTTTAATAATCCGGGTAATACCGGCGAATCACCTGCACTTCTATCGCGAAGAAAGTCCTTTGCATATTTGTCAATGCCACAAGCCAGTTGAGCGAGTTTAAATAGTAATGGTGAGTGCTCTTTAAAAAAAATTAAGATGATTGGTCCACAGATATGGTATCGTTCAAAGCTAAACACAAGTCGAATATTGCTATCTATACCAGGATGCCCAGCTCCTTGTGGTTTTCAAACCTTTCAGAATTTGAATAGGAGAATTTCAACGAATAAATGGCTATCCATTTGCAAAGGAGAATATGCAAATATGGCTATTTCTTATTGGCAGGCTCGATTTTAATTTTTCATTACAGTGTGATTTACAATAAGTTTTTAGAATTGATTTCTGAATTGCATTACTAATTTTATTATTTAAAAAAGCCTCAGATTGAGTTGACATCCATTGCATTGCCATTATTTAACAACAACGGTATTGTAGATTGGTTCCATTAGTTAACAGAAATGAGGAGATCCTTTCTGCAATAAGTGCGTTAATGCAGGTATATGCCCAACAACCACCGATTTTTATTTTTGGCGACACTTTTAGTCTTAATTAGCAGTGAAAATCGAGATACTTAGTCAAAACAACATACTCCTCAACCATTCACCATTCACGTTTCGTGTAATCATTTCAGGGAGCCAAAGATGTTATCATTATTCTGCTAATTATCCTCAACGTAGTTCTGATGTTCATTTGCAGCGCATTTAAGAGACGAATAAATATGGTTACAGATCCTGAACAAAGTCATTTATTACGAGCTACAAGCAGAAGACAGAAGTGATTTAAGAATATTTTTAAAGCAAATCATGCTTATTGTACTCGTACATTGTCATTTATTGAAACACGCATTTCGAAAAATTGCTTAAATCATTTTTTCAATTTTATTGTAGAATTAATATTTAAATATTTATTCATTGATCATAAATATAATGGAAGATTTGTAAATTGGTGATAATGGTAATACAATTTTTCTTCATCTTAATAGCACTCACTGGTTCATTTTGCTGGCTTATACTTCTAAGAAATCACCAGGAAATTGCTACCATCGGTACCACCAGTATTTCACTTTTAATGATAGGTTATCAAAAAAAAGTACATTACAACGACGAAATCTGAAAAGCAAAGATGCGCAAATTAAAATATTGTGTAATACTGCAAATAACTGTAAATTGTAAATTTAAACTGTAAGCTGTAAATTTTTTGTGAACCATTTTTTCTTCCTTCCTTATCGTTTTCGAATTGTTCAAATTTAAAAATTTTGTGATAAAAAGCTAAATTTTTAATTTCTTCGAGCATTTTACTTAAAAATTTTATTTAATTACTTCAAATTTTCGTGTTTTCAAATTTTTTCCATTTCACGTTTCGTCTTTAAATGGGTCGTTGATCATCGATCGTTAATCGAAGAAATGCATTTGTTTTTGTCTTTCATTGTAAAATTCTTTTTATTTCTAAAATTTTAAAACCGAATTTATTGAATTTGGAATTGAAATCACTTTTCTTTATTTATTTTTTACTTTTTCCATTAGTTAACATTCGCATTTTCCTTTATTTATTAGAAATAAAATAAGAACAAATAAAAAATAAAACAAATAAAATTTGGGATTTAAAAAATGAATAGAGTTCGGTTGTGAATTTGGCAGAAAAATTAAGGAACTTTTGATACTTTTGATTCCTAAATATTTTCTTCCGTATCTCTGAATTTACTCGAATTTTTGTCTTTAAAGGGAGAATTAAAAAGAGATATTTTTTGTTTATAAATTATATTACCTATTAAACCAAAACCATATTTGTAAATTCTAAATCAAATGATTAGCAATTAGCAAATGTAACAGCACCACGGAGATAATGGCACGATTACCGTATTGAAAATGTGCTCAGAAATGAGCAGAACCGATTGAAGGCCAACAAAAGGCGTGCGGCCCAATAGAATCATAGACTGAGATCGAATCAGAACCCTTTTGTATGAGATCGCAGCTGTGGTAAACGAGCGACCAAAAATTGTTACATGCATCGACGGACAATATGTTCCATAATCGAAACTTATTGCATATCTAAAGGCATTCAAACGATTGGAAAAATTATCAATAATGAGTGCATATATTGCAAAAGATAGAGAGCCAAGCAATTCGAGCTACCAGTGATGAACAACTTTCCATAAATACGAATAAATTGGAGTGTCCCTTTTTAACATATCGGAGTAGACTTGGCGGGGCCGATTTGGATAAAACAAGATGGTTACAAAGTGAAAAATTGGATCGCCTTATTTATTTGCATTGCTACAAGAATTTAGAACTTAGAATTCTTAGAACTCGCTGACGACTTGGAAGCAGAAAGTTTCTTGCTTTCGCTGGGAAATTTCATCGCACTCAGAGGGAAACCGAAATCGTTACTATTAGACAATGCAAAAAACTTCATCAAAAGACACAATATACAAGATACAATTTAATATAGCGAAGTACAAAATGGAATGGAAATTCATTTCCAAGTATGCCCCATGGCCTGGTGGAGTTTATGTTTAATTGGAATTATGAAAAGAACATTGTGCTTAAAAGTGGGCAGAATCGAAGCTTGGATGCGGCCGCAATTTTATACCGATTCTATTCCTCTTTGGGACACAAATTATTATTCGATTTTATTGATAGAAGACGCTGGCGTGGGGGTAGGCTAACGATTTTAGCAAGTCATTTATATATCCCGACAACAGGCAATTCGGCAGACATAGGAACGAGAGGATTGAAATGCAAGATTTGTAAGGGAATATTCTATGGTGGCATGGACCAGACTGGTTAACAAAAATAAATGTTATCTGGCCTGCCAATTTACGATTAGAAAGAAATGAATAGATTGAAGAAATGGAGGTGAATTGGAAAGATATAAATTAGTTACGATATCAAAAACGGTGCCAAAGTTAAATTTACATTAGATTATGAAAGAATTAGTAATTTTATAAGGCTTCGATGGGTAATAGCGTACGTATTACCTTTTGTCAACCTTATCAATAGGAGAACAAGAGATTATTGCGATTGGGAGAATTCACCTGGTCTAATAATTGCACAAAAAATACAACAAGCCGAGAAGATCTTAATAAAACGAATCGACCAATCAACTTAATAGCTCCATTGGTGATAAATGAAGACGTCGACAACGAAGAACGATTCGAGTTTGGGGAATCAAAGATCCCTCCAGGAGTGTGCTCAAAAATGAGCAGAATCGATTGAAGGCCAACAAAAGCGTGGTTGCGGCTGCAATTTTGTTCGATTCTATTCTTTTTTGTGTCGCCAATTATTCGATTTTGTTGATAGAAAACGGTAGCTTGAAGTTAGGCTAACGATTTTAGTAAGTTATTTAATGTAATTCTTTAGCTAAATAAAGATTTAATTACCCAAGTTAGAGGTACACGTCGAACGATAATAACGATAATATAAAGAATAATTGAATTCTTTTTCTGGTTACAGAAAGAAAGAAAGAAGATTGGTCCTATTATCGAATAAATTTGCCATTAAGAAATTCAGGTGCTGTTGGCGACCTATCTTTTCTGTATTCTTAGCAAAGCAATTCCCTGGCAAAAATTTCTATCACCAGGACTTAGCCAGGCCAGAGCTGCATATCGCTTAATTCATATGAATAAAACTTATAAAATAAAATTTCGCTATTTAAAATATTTTAATAATTGAAGTAACAAATTCAGCATATAACTATAACCATTAATTTAGAAGCTAAGAATCTACTAAAATTTTAAATTTTTTTCAATTCTTTTGAATAAAATTTATCTAAAAAAATTACAAAATTCTTATTCAAAATTCGATAAATTTTCAGCTAATTTGAATAATTTAAATTTAAATTTAAATGAATTTAGGCTTTGACATGAATAAAAGTTTTAATACGAACGATCCAATTACAACGTATTGCACACAAGTAAATTTTTCATTAATTTAAATTTTACTTAATACAAAGATGAGAATTGTAGAAAAGCAATTTAAAATGAAAAATTAAGCTTTAAAATGAGAATCAACAAATTATTACTAAATATATATGCGAACGGTGTGATGTTTGGACCTACTTACGTTGCTATTTCAAAGTGACTCTTCTGATGGCTTATCTGATGGAACCAACTGAATTAGAAATGGCGGGACTTTAAAATGAAAAACGGTGGTGAAGAACCTTATATATGTATGTATAATCTTCAGTCTATATGCTTTTATGAAGAAATAATTTGGTAGATTTTCATGTTTTTTTTAGATGAGTGTCGTGGAAGATATTCTTCAGAAAAAAATTGCAGAAAAAACGAAAGAATGTGAGATGCGCAAAATGTTAGGAGCACCTGAGGTCCTACAACTTGGCCAAAATATGATTCGATTAACGAAAGCCAAGCGAGTTTTGGATATTGGTAAATTTCGACAATATCATATTTACAATCTTATTCGATAGAAAACCGGAAAATATTTCAATTTAGTTCGATTTTTCAGATTTTATAGAAAAAATTACAATGATTTCCTTTTTAAATGAGAGTTAAGCAAATAAACTTGATTTAGGAACATTCACCGGTGCTTCGGCGCTTGCTTGGGCATTAGCTCTTCCGATTGACGGCCAAGTAATTTCAATGGATATTACCCATGATTTTCTAAATAAATATGGCAGGGATATTATCGAATCGAAAATGGATGTCGCAAAAAAGATCGATTTCAAGTTGGGCAAGGCTATCGATACTTTGGGTAAGCAAATTCTCGTTTTTCTTATTCTTTATCTGCATTATAATTGCACTTTTTATGGTTTATCTGTCTCTATTGACACTTCTATGATGGGACTTCCTCACTAAAAAGCTGTTTAGAGATGTAGGGAAGTACCAGTTCACTTTTACTTCCTTCGACGTACAGAAATCGTTCTCCTATGTTGATCTCATTTTAAAATAATCAAATGTTCATTCGAACTTTCTTGTATTTTGTTAATGCTTATATAAATATTTAATCGGATGAGAAAGAGCAAAACTTATTTTTTTAAAATGTATAATTATTTCAACCCTATCTTTTGGACTAATTTATAAGAAAATTGCGAGTGTCAGCCAGTTTTTTCAGACTCTCTTATAGAAGCAAAACAAGAAGGACAATGGGATTTTGCATTCATCGATGCTGATAAGCAGAATTATTTACACTATTATCAAAAAAGTATGCAGTTACTTCGACACGGTGGTGTAATTATAGTTGATAACGTTAGTTCTAATTTTTTAATTATTATTTTTTTCCTTTCTCTTTCTGAATGATTTTAACTTTTAATCATTATCAACTATTATTTTAAAAAAATCATTATCTCAACGTGATTTTATCAAAAAAATCTCCATTGCGGATAAAAATTTTGTGAATATATTCCAAGAAATATTTTTGCTTAATTTTTTCTTTATTCGTAATATAAATTCTAAACCCACAATTAATACATCGAATTGAGAATGGTTGATTCTTGAAAAATAAACTGAATAGAGCCAAATGTATTAAATGTATTAAATTCATATGCTGTTTATATGGTTTCGCATAGATTAAACGTTCATAGATTCGATTGATATTCTTTGACAGTCTTTGAAACAGTGAATTAAACAAACCGAAAATTCTATCTGCCCTTAGAAAGATAAAAAAAATCCATATCAAATATTGCAAATTTTTCATGAACTTCGCGAAATTTGACTCAAAAAGAAGAATGCAACAATAAAACAATTGATTGAGCGAAATTGTTTTAGAATAATGTGGTACTTTGTGGTAATCCAACCAGATAAACACTGTTTATGCGATTTGCCAAATCCTTTTAGGCTCTGTGGAGTGGAAAAGTTGTTGCTGAAGAAAAAGATGAAGAAACAAAGAATATCGACAGTTTGAATCGATTTGTGTCAGCAGACGATCGCGTTGATAATATTTTACTAAATCTCGGTGATGGAACTCATCTGATTTTCAAAAAATATATTTAAGATGGATCTTCGCTGAAACAACTGCAAATTTAGACTTAACGATGCGAATTATCCAATTAATTCATCCATAATAATCACATTTTATCAATATCCATGCACCATTTTCTTGCTAATTTTACATAGAAATTATGCAGAAAATGATAATAATTTGATAATAATGAAAATGATAATAATTTGTAATAGTATTCGTTTTTTTTTTTTATATTTTTCACAACAAATCAATCGTTTCCTAATTTTTCGAAGCTTTTGGTGGTACTTTTATGGCGATGGTTGTTAACGGTAGCAGCCGTATTTTTCATTTAATGGTTACCCAACTATGAAATTAGAGAATAATCGAAGAAAACTAATATCAGCGAATGTTTGTAGTGCATAGAAATCTAAGCTTCTTTAATCATTTCTTCTGTTGAAGTATTCTACTATGGAAACGCTTTTGGCCTAATCTCTCAACTCTAAATACACCAAGTTTTTATTTGATTAATAAGAAGGCGAATAAAGAATCGGAATTAGAAAACTTGGAAAATTGTTGTGTATCGGATAGAATCGTTAAGCAAATAAATCTGCAAATAAATTGACGAGTGAAAAATGCATAATGAAAAATAATCCATTTAGCTATTTTATAGAGATAAGCTCAGCATCACAAATAAAAATTGATGAAGTAGACGGAATTCATATAAACTTGGCAAAAGTTATGAATTTATACATTCTTTCTTTTTTTTTGAATATTCAGTAATCGGAAATTAATCAAATTTAGATGGAGAAAATGTTCATTTGGCAGTGATCTAATGAACGGCCATTCATTTAACTAATAAATCTATGAGATTTTAAAAATAAATTATCAGAAATAAAAATTAAATATCTCTTGAAAATTTCCAAGCTTATCACTAAATCACATGGATTTCGCCGCGAATCTGAAGTTAACATCGGTCATATGCCTTAGAAATTATGTTAGAAATCAACGGAATAGATGAATTAATCGAAAAAACTGAAATTTTCTAAATATTGCTAATTTAAATTTTGCGAATAATTGATGGGATTATTAACCGCAACGTGGGAAAAAAAATTAGTTTACTGGTTGCCATAAAGAAAGATAACGGACTTTACGGATGGCAGATAAGATTTCATGGATTTTATCATGAAAATAGAAGAGAAAAAAATGAAGGGGAAGGATATAATGAAGAATAAGATTGTTAATATTACCAGCTTTTAAGCAAATTTTTTTGCCTTTCTCAATTCTAAGGAAAGAAGAACCATTCGAAATTAGCAAAACGAGCCTAACGGAACAATAAATATGCTAATATTTGTCTTATTCATATTATTATTGGAAATGCCCATTCTCATTGAGCCCATCCAATTAGAAACATCAAAAAACGGTAAGTTTGAGAGGGCTTAGAACACAAATTAAGAGAGTAAAAGTTTTTCGCTTTCATATACTTAGTTCCTTGCTTATATTTAGATTAGTGGAATTAACAATACTTTTTTCTCCATGCAGATTCCCATTCTCACATACTCCATTAAAAAGTACTCGTTACAAGCGAAAAATTTGGAATTTAAAGAAATTGGAGTGAAAAAAATTTAAAAATAACAAAAACTATAATAAAAACAATGGCAAACCTAGCAGTCAGAACTGTTTTGTAATAGCCTTTCCTGTCCTTTATCCATGAGAGTAACTTGAATACTTAAATAAAGCGGCAAAAATTTTATACTGTATAAATGATAGTTCAGAGATGATAAACCGCTTTTTTTCCATTTGGATAATGTCTCATTAATTGAAGGAGTATAACAACTAAATACAAATTTGTAATTGTTTAGATTAAGCAAAGCAAATTTAGTTGGAATAACTTAGGATTCAATAAGACTGAACTTGCTTGCATTGCTGGTTCCTGCTTGATTTGCATGAGGCAACATTGTATAACGTGCTAGGCTTTTTGGATACCGCGATATACTATAACCAGCCAGTAGCACCCTGCAATCGTCTCACTTAATGTAATTAAATTTTTTTTCAAAAATTATAAGTGATAAAAAAAGATGACAATTTATAGTTAAAGAAAACTATTTCATAAAATTACTGATCATAGTTGCGATTGAAAATGAAAAATTAGCAAGAAATTTTAAAAATCTTAGAACTTTTTTAAAAATTTCAAAAATGCATTATGTACATGAATATTAGCGTTGTCGAATTAGCATTGTAAAATTTGAATTTCCGAAAATTTAATTTAAATTAAGTAGTCCAAACTAAGGAAGTACCATAGAAATTTTCAGCGAGAGAGAATTTAGCTTTTTTGCTTGGAAAATCAAGTGATTTGAAAAAAGTTCACCTATTGTGTGCATCATCATCTTCGCCTCCCCATCCCCAATAATCATTCGAAAAACCATTCATTCTCAGGAATTGTTCCTTTGTAAAAGCACATATTCCTCCGAAATATTTCTTATATGGTATGCTGAAATATATATAAATGGGGATCCACGAAGAATTTAAGTCTTTTTTTTTAACAGTATTCTTACAAAAAAATAAGCTTAAAGTTTAAAAATACAGGGCTATACCTATAGTTATATTTGCTCATGGCAGCAGATAAATGAAGAGGTTGATCTAAACATCTATATGGAATTCGATCATTTTCAGGTAGTAAATCAATATCATGGAATATAAAGCATTCCCAATCATAGAGCTTTTGAGCTTCGACGAATCCAATATTCATTAAAGCACCACGATTGAACTTTTCCTTACCAAGTTGGCTGATAATAATCACCATATAATCGAGCATTTGTTTCGGTAACCATTGATGCATATTGTAAAGAAATAATCTGCGATGCAGAGGACGATTCCTACAATTCAAAATTCACAATTCCTATAATTCAGAAAAATTTGAAGCAACTTTGAGACCTTTGGTATCACTTAATTCGAAAAGCACCTAATATTTCCTAATATTTCGACTTGCATAATTTTATGCTCCAAATTTATTATTCGCTACCACTTTTCTCGAATGGGTAATTTCTTTATTAATTGATAGAAGAAAGAAAGAAAATTGGAAGGAAAATTTGGACCCCACTTTTACCTATTCTAAAAAATTGGAGATTGACCTATAAGGAACTATTATAGCAATTCGATGTCGAGCACGGCAATTTCTAGGCTCACCGTGTCCACCGGGCGCCAACATTGAGAAAACTTTTTCCATAGCCTTCATATCTGGTGAAACTTTTCGTATTCTGATAAGCCCTTTTAAAACACTTGAGTTTTCCGCACAAAATGGCAGATTTTTGTTTCTTGTAATTATTTTATTTTTATGCAAGTTGTCTAAAAAAATGGTTTCTAAAAAATGAATTAAAAAATGAATTAAAAATAATAATAAAAAAATAATAAAAATTGGTAAAACGATGAGATAATTTATATGTACCAGAAACGAAAATGAGCAAAAGTTCAGAGCGCCAAGGCCAGAAATCTGAGTTGGAAAATTATAAGGTCTTCCGAATCTATCTTCTTGTTAAAATTCTCCTAAAATCTATTAAACACCTTTTTATCGCCTTCATAACTCTTTATTACCTTCACTATGTCGCCGAACCTCGCTCTTCTTCTTCTCAATCCATTAGTGAGGTTTTTCAACTCATCTTTTTATTTGAACCATAATCCTCCTCCCTTATTTTATTTTCCTCTATTTTCTTGAGGAATGAAATAAAGAGATTGGAAAAATTGTTCCAAAATTTCTATTTTAAGACATTGCAAGAAAATTGTGTTGAAAGGTTTAAACGGACTTTTTGCTTTCCAAACTGTTTCATTTCCCAGCTGCTTTGTCTCAAAAGATAAATGGTATTTGTAAATTAGAATCGTCCAGTATATGAAAAGAATATATGAAATAATCGCCGTTATCCACAGCAATTTATTTTGCCGCATTGCCTTTAAAAAAAACAATTTTAATATTTTACCATCCAAAATTTGTCGTTTTTTTTTTTTAAATTAAGCAATATTATAAATATTATAAAACAACATCGATGAAAATTCGCTCCTATTGATTTTTAGTGTAATTTTAGTAATAAAATTAAAATTAAATTATTTTATATCGATAAAATTGTATTTTACTTTATTTTATATTTTATTTTATATTCTAATAATTATATTTTAAAAAATTAACATATCTATTACGAAATTAATTTTCTTTACACGGATTAGTTTCATTTTATTTCACTTTCTTTGGTGTATTTTTCGTTCGCTGTCGTTTGAAAATCGCAGTTCGATCGTAGTTTCGCTCATACAAACTCAAATTCAAATTTAAAAATTTGAATAATTAAGTGAATAAAATTAAATTTGCAATTAACGTAATCGTAAAACAGTTACCAGAATAAAATAGCAAAAGAATAATAAAATAAAATAAAAAAGAATAATAAAAGAATAATAAATAATAAAACATCGGAGATCGACCATTTCTACTCGCTGCTCGAGTCGTAATTATTTATATTATACATTATATATTATACATATTATATATTATATTATATTATATTATATTATATTATATTATATTATATTATATTATATTATATTAATTATATTATATATTATATTATATATATATTGTTATGTATATATATTTATGTATTGTATAATATATATTGTATAATATTTATTGTAATATATATATTTATATAGTGATTTACATTATATATATTATTATATATTTTATTTAAATTCTTTAAATAGGTTTCTTAGTAGAGATTTCAGTAACAATATTTGATTCCGCCTTCTCTCGTTTTCGTATTTCCAAAAGGGTTTTAAAAGCCCATCTGGAATGTCCTCAGAACTTCCTCACCATCAGTTCCCTTCAAAGGATAAGATTGATTGGTCATTAGATTGATTGGTGTTAACCGATCCGATCTCAGTAAGACTGAAATTGAACGTATTCCGCTATCCGAACTCCACTTTGAATTTCTAATTCCACTTTTAATTTCAGCAGGTCGTGGGTTCATGCTACCATTTGATATTACTCTTCTATTTGCAGGTCCTTATTCTTATACCCACCGAGTTGCCCGAATCTAATGTAAATCAGATTCAGTGTTCCAGTGTTCTATTATGAATAATTGGTAACTTTTATAACTCCTAGTCATGATCCATTAAAATATAGATTGATTGTCTGTCCACATGGATCAACCAGCTCCAATTATCTAAGTAGTTTGCCATTTCCACTTCAAATAATACCGCCAAGAGCTCAGCCCTAGGTAATAATATCATTGTTTGTTTATTGGAATTAATCGAATTTTTTGCAAATATAAAGTCTGATTTCCGTTCCCCTTCATTTTATCTCTTATTCCACTGGTGCGTCCACAAATACCTAAAGAATTTCATTAGCTGAGTCTTGCTTTTATTAGCACCATGTCATTGAATTATTGGTTATTACCTATGAACTTTCGTATGTTTGCTTACGAATATTTGTTCTAAGTCGTTAAAGTGCTTTGCAGGTATCGCTTGTCAGCTTCATAATATTTTCATAATATTTTCAATATGAATATTTTTTAAAATTTTTTGCGCAATTTTGATAAATAAATGATAATAATGATAATGATGATAACGAATTATGGTTGTCGCTAAATGAAAAATTATTTGAAAGCAATCCAAATGGATTGTTCACAATAAATTTATTTGCAAGAGCTTTGGCATGTAAAAATGTTATACTCGAGTACCAAATAATAATGTCGCTTCCGTATTGGCCACATGGATAATTTTGACTCCGAATTTGGGCCTCGCAACACGTCAAATAGCGGTACATATCATTATTTGTGTTAATCGTTTTGGTTGCACGAGTGGTAATTCTATTTTATTGTTGAGCGGTCGCTAGGTCTTCGCAGTGCTGATGAATGGTTTCCTTTAAAGTGGAAGTGTTTTGGCTGCTTGGTGCATTTTTTTTCATATATTTTGCCATTTTCTTGTGGATTTTCGTAGATAAGCCTCCTTTTATATTCTCTCACATTCGGACAATCACCCCTCCAAAGAGATCACCAATCACCACTTCATTACGAAGTGCACATTGCCTCTTAATGTTTGTGATCACGTTGAATATCGATATTTGTTCGTAATTTGTATATAGTGGTTTGGTCTTTGTCTGAATGCTTCTTGGCTCTCTCGGATCATTCGATATTCTTTCCTAATATATCGTTTCAGTGAAATAATTCGTTTAAAAAATTTCGTAATTTTCCTAATGGCCAATTTCGTGTTTTGTATCGATCTCACTGGCCTTTAAAACTACTCAAGGGATGGAGGACGTAATAGTACACTGAAATAACAATCGCTTAGCACTTTCCTCCATTTACATAAATTTCTAGATATTGGTGATCGCCTTTTGGTTTATTGTAACGTTGGTAGATATGAATTGCTGCCCATCTGAGCACCATCGAATTCATATAAGGAAAACGTGAGATGCGAATTTTACATTGTCGCAGATTCACCGTTATATTTGGTTCGACTGGATGAAGTTTGTCTTTCTCCATAATAGTTCCAACAGATCCTTTAAAATACTTTTGACTAATTTTCCCTTTAATTTGCTCATTTCAACGATCGTTTATGCAAAGTCCATATTAGCACCGAAGTTGTTAGTTTCAGCTTTTGACGTATTCAAAAATTGCAGCTACACTCAGTGATTTATTTCATTTATTTTGTTCACTGATATCCTTCTATGCTTTCTACTATCCTTTTACTGATATCCCTCTTTATTTTATAGCTAAATCTCCTTGACAAATGGCTTTGCATCCTTTCCAGTCTGCGTTTGCATCGACCATGGAATTTCATAATCCTTCTAAAGCATTCATTTAGGGCTTTTGTGTCCCTGTGATTATGTTTATTTCAGACATTAAGACTCGTGAAATGAGAGAAAAAACAATTGAAGTTTAAAAAATCATTTACTTTTATTCGATGCCTTTTTATCGTCCGAAATCCTTGATATTCAATATTGTTGGGTTCCGAACATGCAAAATCGTTGATAACGAAATTAACTATCACTATTCGAATTAATTTTTACATATATTGTATTATTTTTTCATATGTGAAAATCGCAATTTGAATCTCAAAATTGACTAATTAAACCAATGCTATAAAAGATAAAACTAAATCGTGCAATATAATCGCAAAGCAGTAAATAAAACAAAATAAAATTTAAAAAAAATGAATAAAACATAAAATAAAATAAAGAAAAAATAAAATAAAATAAAAATAAAATAAAATTAAGGGTGATAGCGAACCGAGTTCCCCCTTTACAGATTCATAAATCATGCATTTTTCACCTCCAAACTTAGTTATTCCATGCTTTTCGAATCCGTCAGTACTCCTATTACCACTGGGACTGCCTTCATTCATAAATATATTTTTTTAAGCAGTCCCTCACCATTACTAGTTAAACTGGCTCCACTGGCTTTTTCTCCTCTCCATCTAACTTCTTTTGGTCCCCTTAGGACTCTTTCGAGCTATATTTTTTAAACACTTGAAAGTGCAATTATTGCGATTATAGAGTTTTCTGAAGTTTTGATAAAGTTTCTTACATAATTTATTCGACTATAAAATTTTTTTCTTCATTACAATTGCGATGAGATTTTTACTACAATAATTAGCAAAATATTAAAAATATTGAAGTTGACATTTAAAAAAATAAAAAATTTGCTAATCAACTTGCTTAAGGATTTATTGATTATCTTTCAGAATTTTTCGGTTTATTTTTCAAAAACTTCCATTTTTTATAAAAATTTGAAAAAATCCACGAAGGAAATGAAATACAGAAAAAACGTAACAATACAGCATTAATCCCATTTATTAACTGAAATAACGACGATTACAATTGTTAATACTGAAAATAATTTATTAAAATATTAGCGTGAATGATGGGAAAGCCATAAAGTAAATAAAATGAAAAGCTGAACATAAGTAAATATTTGGCAATTTCCGCAGTGGAATCGCACAATTAATAAAATATTCGAGCTGTGTTTGTATTTTAGCGGCAAAGCAGTTTTATCCGGAAAATCAGTGGAAGTTATGACACCATCATCATCCGAACACTATGCGTATGGTAATATTGAGTGGTATTAGAAGAAAAAAGGAATCAAAGAAATTAAATGCTGGATGGATTAAAAAAGTGAATATTGTTGACATGATGATCGTTTTGCCTTTTGCTTTATATTTATTGCTCCTTTTTATTTTCTAGATGTAGCAATC